TTGCTTCGTAAGTTCTTTTCCTGATTTTGTTAAAATTAATTATACGATTTGTTATAAGTTTCTTTTATTTAATTAAATTTAGATGATACTCCTAACAGTATGTATATTTATTTATGTTATGTGTGTATATATATATATATATATATATATATGGATATATATGACATATTACTATTATTATTCATGTCCATTCATTCTATCTTGCGCCATCCACCACCTTCTGTCTTTTCTCCTCTACCCAAAGGTTGTCTGGAAGAAATCGCTTTAGCGATAAGACCGCCTTTTGTGCCTAGCCTACCTTTCTGTACATTATGAATATTGTTTTTTCTTTGGATTGTTTTTAAGGTGCAATAAAGAGTTATAAATAAAAATAAATAAATAAATATAAATATATTTTGCATTAAGAAAAAATTGTATGATAAAAATTGTAAAGATAAATTTCTGTCTACTAGGTTATCAACTTATTTATTTGAAGGCATATATACCATACTTATATTAAAATGTGAGCATCGACATTCCTTCATCGATTCGTCATTATATAATAATTCACCTAAATGAAACAAAATGTTGAACTCTCATTATTCTTCGTTCCCCTCTCCTTTAATTATATATAACATTTCAAGTGACAAAAGCATGAGTTAATAATAAAGTTAAATTACAGCAAGTCACCCGATCAAACTCGCACCAAAGACCTAAATAAACGTTTGTTCATGTTTCCAACGACAAACTTAATCTACAGTGTTCAGCGGCCGTAAAGAGTGAAATGTGAAAGCGACTAAAACAGCAAAGTGCAGGAAAACTTGAGGGAAGATGCGGTAAAGATTTCATTTGAAGTGTCTTGGGAGAGGCGAAATAAAATTCCGCTGCCAAGATTTACAGGCGGTTAACAGAAAACTCCTGCGCCCATTTCAAATTCACACAAAGGCTCGACTTTAATTAGTTTCCTTTATAAAATAAGTGGCGCCTAAATTAGATTCTTGACCAACTTAATATTTATAGTCCTGAAGCGCCAAAAACTTACTCCATTTGAATGTAACGTAAAAGTTTTGCTTCTTATATATGCTTCAATACTTCAATGTTTTCACAGTTACTTAGTGGTAAAATCATCTCGTTATGTCAGCTTTATGCGACCAGCCATACCAGTTATCTCGTCAGCCTTTATGCGACCAGCCTGGGGGCAGGCCCTTTTTTATCTTATATAAAATCAATCTTCTTATATTATTATGCAAAAACAATAAACAACAATCGATTATTACATCCTAAGTAATAGGGACTACCAGCCTCTTTACTAACGAGGTATCCCATATCAGGTCAACCTCCACGCGGTCCCCCGAAAACTAACACATATAATAATGAATTGCCACTGTGGGCTAATTAACCTGACCTGACGAGTAGCGTAGACCTGTTTACTACTTCATCATCATCAACAAAAATAAAATACAAATATCTATTAATGGATTATTGGTCAGATAAAGTTGTTAAAAAAATTGGAAAATATCTCTGTCCTAATCCAGAAGTATTTATGCAATAGGTCAGTCAAATTTGTAAAAAATATATTTATGTCATCTATGTAATATAATTAGTGAAACAAAACAAACATAGCTGTACAAAATAGGACCAATTATATTTATCATTAAAACTATAGACTTGATCTTAAAATTAATGGCACTTAACTCCTTTATATAGTCTAGCTGAGGTTTCATTTCATCGCTATAGGTAAAAGGAATCCGGCCTTTTACAACAAAAACATTAATTAATTGAAATGACTTTGTAGTTAAGGTTTTCACAGGTAACAGATGCTGTTAACATTGCTCTGGAGTTCTAACAAATTATTCACTCAGTGAATATCGCCACGTATTAACAAAATATTATCACAGAATACATAATAGTACTCCGCTGTTATTACTTCGGGCTTAATAGAAACAGCTAGTTTTAATTTATTGTTTATACCCATTAGGTAGTTTTATATTATTACAAATTATTGAAATATGTACCTACATCATCATCATTGCCTTGCCTTTATCTCATTATTTGGGGTCGTAAATATGTACCTACATATGCATAAAAAGGTAAAATCTGTAACATCTGAGAATAAAAAAAACAGTCTATAGTCGTGTTTGAATTACAAATAAACAGGTTATTAACATCAAATTCATCTAGGTTTACATATGAAGCAACAGCTTTCAAATAATATTTTAGAACCTGTTTAATCAGATGAAATTATAATTTGACTTTACAATTTCATCTGATTGAGTTAATATGTTATACGCAGACAATGAAAATCGCCACACTAAAGTGCTTTTATTGCTGCTTCTTTCACACAGGTGAACTGTGCAGGGTTTGCGACTTGAAACCACAGCTACAGTCTACATTGTTGTCGGATTCCATTGAACGAAATTGTATCACCAGGCGCTTTATTACGTAACGCTGTTACTAACAATCTCATTTCAAATAGATTTAAATTACATATACTAGGTCGATTTAATGAACATAGGATAATAAGTATTCTATAAAGGATGGAACATTAAAACACCGACTTCTTTTCGCATAGTGAGAGCACGCACTTATTTTATATATGACACCGAGCGTCACCGCTATCGTCTCAGTCCGACTACAATATTGTGTAGAAAACGGATAGAATTATATTAATTAGATTGTGCGCACTCTCAAATGTATTTATTAAAAAAATAATATAGAATATACAAATACAGAAACGTATCGTATATATTTATGTAAATATACGTACATATAATAATAAAAATAACTATGTATATAAAAAAGTAACCAAAATGTTTTAAGAGCGTAGTGCGTCGCCTACATATTCCTTTTTTTAAATATAATTTTAGTAAGGATTACTTTGAATGGCAATAGAATTGCCGATGTCACGTTTCTGAAATAGGCTATTTCGATGACGCTTCTACAAGACTAACGCATCGTACAGGACTTCTATGCCATATTCAGATATCGGCATAAAAACACAATTTTTTTTCACGTACAACGGGCCCAAACGAGATGCTGATTGCCGAAAATGGAGTTCCGCTTACAATTACAACCCTATCTTTTAAATTCTTGGACCAAATTAAACATAATGTAGCATTCATAAAAATTTGCTTAAGAAAAGACGTAATAATCTATATAATTAAATATAAGGTTATACCAAATTACTATAAACAAAAACAAGTCAGTTATATTTATTACGCATAATAGAAACAAATTGAATTTATGGAAACATCACGGCGCTCTGTGTCTTTTAGAACAATCCCCATAAAGCTCCCTTGAGCCGACCCCGCCGATACAGGCATCGAAAAAGATTTTATCTCAGAACAAAGTCACGGTGAGAGACATTTGCGACTTTTGATTTAAACAGCTAACACTCCTGAGTATTTGCTCAAAGATTTATATCTATTTAAGTAACATATAGTATTATTATGGATATACTATTCACTTATTTATATACTTTTCATTCTTTTCACCTTTTTAGATTTTAATTCGAATGCAATGTCAGTTCGAATTAGAATAAAAATAATATAAGGTCTCACATATGCCTTAGATACACTGTAAATTTTATTCAAATCTATTCAATTGTTTATGCTTAATTAAGTAAATAACATGGAATCATCTTTTATGACATTATCATTTATAACAGTAGCAAATACATACAAGTCATTCAGAATTCTGTCTGTCGGTCTATTTGTTGCCTTTTAGCGCCAATAAATTTGAAGATATGTTGATTATATTACGAAAACGAACATTTATCTTTTACCTAAAAAAACCAGACAAAATCCTATTTAACAGCTATTATAGTCATGACAATTAATTTAAAAAACATAGACTTTAAAGTCTCCTCTAGTAGCTTCTATCTTTTGGTCTCGTCTCGAGTAACTAAATGTAGGCAAAACCTCTTTGAGAGACGCCGACGTTCATTGCCCATGCTATCGAAGTAGCTACCGGTGTCCAAGGTTCTTTTTTTGTAACTACTCTAATGGCCGCAACTGGCTTACAGGAGCACTTGACAACAATTCCTGCCTGGCTGATAGAACTTTAGTCCAAAAGTTCGAATCTAGGTTCAGGTCGTAGTAATTACGATTCCGTTGGAATGGGCAAGGGATCGATTGGGATTTAATGCCTTTACTAAATAGAAAACTGGCGACCCATTTGCATAATCCTAGGTAGCTAGTCCCCAGGGTACTTATTGCAGCCGTAGAGTGCCTATAGTACATATATTTTTTATCCATTTACCCAGCATAATACTTATAAGTAACTTACTGTATATTTCTTATATTATGATTAAATATGTAAACAATAAATTGAAAAGTTAAATAAGAATCAGCTATACATATAAATAAAATTGGAGTGTCTGTTTGTAATATTGAAATAACCGTTCTTTACTACATGCATCTGAATATAAATACGGTACATACACCAAAATAACATTTTTCACAATTTTTGTCTGTCTGTCTGTTCCGGCTAAAAAAGTAGCTATTTCAGAGATAGCTGGACCGATTTTGACAGGACTTTTTTGGCAGGTAGCTGGTGTAATAAGGAGTAACATAGCCTATATTTATTTTAGGAAAATTATATTTTTTAGAAAAATAATACAAATTCCACGCGGACGACGTCGCGGGAACCGCTAGTGTAAAATAAAATTGAACTGTAACAAGCAAAGATCATTAATTATTTTAATTTCGTTGATCATAGCTAAATAATGAGTCAGGATATTTAAAGCAAATAAAAGAATTACAAGTATGTTGTATTCAACTCGAGGATAATAATAGTCTAAATAGCAATGACCAAATGAAATATTGCTAAGGATATAACCCCTGACTTTGATAGTCGGTATCTGGCGGTTGAGTGTTGAGACGGTCGTGTCACGAAGCTTTAATAGGATTTACCCAATGTTTCGCCCTCAGTTTAAATAAATTAGGGATCGACCTATATATTCATACATAAATAATTATAAAGAAACTACATAAAGTGCTCATTTAATAATTTATTATTAAATTAACATGTGCCAGATATTTTTAATAATGTTAGTGAAAATGTGTACTTTTGAATTCAAATGTAAGTAAATTAATTATTACGATTATTGGTAATAAAGAAGAGAGCCTATATTTTCAATATGTATCGTTCGCATGCTAGAAATTAAAATTTCCATTTGTAACAGGTTAAATTGTGCAATTCAGTTATTATAGCATAGCGGTCTCAAGTCGATTTTTTCTTCCTTGCGCAATAATTATACAAAATTGTGTGCATAATTTCATTTGCCCACTTTAGCTGGCAAGCAAATGTAAACTGTAGTTAAGATATAGCATTCAAATTATACGGTGCAGAAGCATCTTAGTTTTATTATCTTAACAAGCACAATATATATGCGTTTTGAATATTTAAAAACTCTTCAAATTTTGAATGCAATTTTCTTATTCATTCCACTGTAGGTACAGTAGTGTTTGTACAGTTTTAACCTCCGCTTATCGTTTGGAAATATCTCGGTATCTCTTAAAGGAATTACCAAACCATATTTGTCCTAGAATTTTTTCCTTGAATGGAGTAGGCCGTTTGTCATCTCTAAGTTTATAAAATATTATAATTTCAATATTGTTTCCCGGCTTTAAAATTGTGTCGTCGTTCACTGAGTTAAAAAAAATGCAGCGTTATACGATACAACAACGTGTCTTCATTTTATTTAACATAATGAAAGTTTGACGTCCGCTGTTCTCTGTATAATTTTATACATTATATGTCAAAAAAAAGTTTTAACCTTGTCAACTTGAAATAATTATTACAAAAATTCTTAGAGACAAAGAACTGGATCAGTTCAGTTGGAGAGCTAAATTCACTGGTCGTCCAAAAATAAACCATTCTATATAGAAGCAGCGCGTGTTGGTAAAAACCCAGAAACATCAAATCAGCGTCGTGGACGAGAATTTCAAGATTTAAGAACCTCTCTACAGCGTATTCTCATAAAAGATCTGTGTCTGCCTGCTTACAAAATTCAATTACCACAACAACTGAAGCCTAATGAGCATGAACAGCGAAGAAAGTTGGTGGAATGGATTATTAATCGACAAAAAGTGAATGCTGGTTTATCGAACAAAATAATTAGGGGCATCACAATTTCACTTCGATTTTTTTGTTAATCGCCAAAATTGCCGATTAACAAATCCTCGTTTGTTAATCGCAAAAATCGGCTCGGAGAACCGGGAGACCGAGAGAGAGTGATTAGCGAAAAACAAATGCACCCACAACGTGTCACTGTTCGGTGCGGATTTTGGGCAGGAGCCATCAGAACATACTTTTTTGAGATTGAGGCCGGTTAAGGAGCAGCTGATGATGGTGCTTGATATCGCAAAGACACAGTTGTTTCCTCTGAAATTAGGTATCTGAAATGATATGTTGATGTAGCCAATAATTGATTTCAACTAGACAGTGCCACATATCATACAGCTAATGAAACAATTCAATTAGTACATGAGACATTGCCTGGTCGTGTAATCTCTCGATTAAATGATCAGAATTAGATCATGTGATTTAACAGCATTTTATTTTTTCTTATGGTGTTATTTAAAGTGTTAGACTACAATTCTACAACCACAGGTGCATTAGACGAGCAACGAAATTCAGCCACAATTATGCAGGTCATGAAAAATATCGACAAAAGGATGTGTAGGTATATGCCAGAAAAGCCGTAGAGGCCATTTGCCAGATGTGTTATTACATAGCATATAAACATTACATAGTATAACAAACATATTTACTTTTTGATTAATTTAAAAAATAAATACCTAAAACCTCAATAAATACCTCTTTTATATTTAATTAAAATATTGAATTAATTTTGGGATAACCTGTATAAATAAATAATAACATAAATCAAACATAGAGGAAGTTCATTAAAAAATAATATGAAATAAATATAAAACATTTATAACCCTCAAACACGTACTGCAATAGCGGTCAAGTTAAATAGCAAGTATTAGCACAACTTCAAGTGAAAATTAATTGAAATTGTAATTTTACGAATGGTTGATTAAGGTTGTTAATGGTTCAATAGGAGAATAGTATGAACTAATCGAATTAGTGAAAACAGTGTTGCTATTGGATTTAGGGGAATTTTTAGCTCATTAATGATTGACAAAAAAAAACAAAATTACAAGTCTGCAGGCTAAAAAAACAGAACTTAGCAGGCTTGCTTAACTTATTAAAAACTACAGCTATAATTATTTTTAATGGGAAATGGTGACTACTAATACAAATTTTTGTAGGTTTTTTTTATTTGGCGGTAATATTTTAATAATAAGGGAAAAGCAGGTCATCCTCTGCAATGAAACGAAGTTGTACTAATATATTTTTATCCTAATCGTAGTTATACCTAGATTATTTATAATTAGATATGCCTTAATTGTAGGAAATTCCTATTATCTATTTATATTAATTTATTGAATTCATAGAAATTCTATATTTTCTGCTGTAATACACCATAAGATTTCCGATCACTATTGTACAGCGATGGCGTGCACCAGCAGCTCATCGCCGTCACCGTCGCCGGACGTGTCGGCCGCGCTGGCGCTGGACTCACCGGTTAACCGGCGTATTATTTGATTACTTTACAGTGCGCAATAAATTAAAAGCTACTGATTTCAGTCAAATATTAAATTTAAAATGTCCTATAAAAATTTACACAGAGTTATATAATATTTTTACGGCCATTTACAACACTTCTTACAAAACTATGTTAAAAATACTAATAGAGGAAGAAAGGGTTGGGTAAACACTAAAATAAAAAATATGATAAAAATAAGAGATCAGTTATTCATTACATGGTTTAATGATAAATATAATATGTTAAAAGGCTAAAACTATACAAGATACAGAAACAAATGTAACAAATTAATTTCAAAAACTAGAAATTAACATAAAATAAAATGCATTAATGAATGTAATGGCAATGTTAAAAAATTTTGGGAAAGAATTAATTATCTCTTAGGTAACAATAAAAAATCTATAGACGATACCTATTATTAAAAAATATGAAATATGATGGTCATACTTCCCAAATTGCTAGTAACTTTGCCACAACATTCCAGTCGGATGTTGAAAACATTAAACACGTATGTAACGAGACATGGATTCCTAGATCTAGTTATGTGAGTGAATCATCAGTGTCTATGAGGTGGAAGCCAGTTACGCAGTATAATGTCCAAAAAGTAACTGGCCCCGACTACATACGCATGGTTGACTTAAAATATATTATAAGAGAAATTAGTCCTGTCATATCCAAGTTAATAAATTTGTCTATTTCTATGTGTATGTTCCCATGCAAACTTAAAGAATCAAGTGCGCCCGGTACACAAAAAAGGAAATTGTAAAATTCTAATTACAGACCAATAGCCATATTATCAAGTGTAGAAAAAATAATTGAGAAGTGTCTGATTGATCAATTGAGTAGTTATCTTGGTAATAATGAAATAATAGATAAGTGTCAGTATGGATTCCAAAAAGTGAAAAGTACAACTTCACTTTTAGCAAAATTTACAGATGATGTCAATGGATTTCTTAACGAAAAAAAAATAATTGTTGCCATTTTCTATGATTTCAAAAAAGCCTTTGACACCCTCCAGCACGAGCCTCTTCTGCAGGCAATGGAGGAGGGTGGGGTGAGAGGGCCACTTAACAGCTGGTTCCGTGATTATCTCACTGCGCGCACCTACCGAGTTAGAGTGGGAGTAAATTGTAAACCTTGGTATGCAAATAGACGAAAATTTTAATTGGAGATATCATATAGAAAAACTTTGTGATAAAATGCGAGTTATGTTGTGTAAATTCAATAATTTGCAATTTAAATTACCACCATAAAAAGTATTAAGGTGTTTGTATATGGCTTTAAAAGATTCTATGATCGGCTATGGTCTTGAATGTTATGGTTTAACATTTAAAACTTATATAGAAAAAATTGAAATAATATAAATAAGATTTTTAAAATTAATTGTAGGGGAAAAACTAAAAATAACATTTAAAGACAACTATAAAGAGTTATTTAAAATTTGTAACATTCTACCTGCATCAGAAAAACATACATAGGTACTTATTAGCTACTAAAAACCACAGCAAACAACACCATATGACGAAAACAAGCCATAGTATAGAAACTAGGAATTGTGTACAAGGGAAATACGAAACCCCACTCCTACATCTAAATAATTATTATGGATATCGACTGTTACAATTAAAATTGACTGAAATATTTAATAAAATGCCTCAACATATCAGAAATCAAAATACCTAGATATAAATCTCTTTGTATAAATTATAGAAACCATTTATTAAAAACATATAACCTAGAAACTTAATAAACATAAAAATCTTGTCCTTATTTAATAGTATTTAATACTTAAATATTGTAAAACGGAGTACTGTATTTTATGTGTACGTTAAAATACTGTCTAAAATAATATATAAACATGTACCTATTTGTAAGTAGATAAGAGAGAACTACGTGCCTGCAGACAAATCCCGACAAGTTTTGCAGTATAATAGAATAATAATATGTAAAATTTGAAAAATAAAGCTTTTTATCTATCTAAGAGCAACATCGCAATATTATTTTAAAAGGCGACATCTAGATATCGTTTCTCACAACTCGCAGCAAATAATGCGATTTGAAGCACGAACGAGTTAGCACATATAGCTGTCATTCAAATAGTTTCATCGAATGGAATGAAGGAATAGAGGTTGCAACTCGGACATTGTTTATTATCAATTCGTTCCATTTCTGTGGTTTTCATTCTAAATAGACATATTCAATCTTTTCTTCTTTGACGGTACTCATAAATATTCTTTGATACCTGAAATCGACTTGGAAAATGATTATTTTATATCATTTAATAGTCTTTTGATTTATAGTATTTACAAATATCAATTCTGTATCTCTAAAATATAAAACGTCATTTGAATAAGTAGACATGGACTATGAATAACAATATCAATGACTCAGGTCACCTGTTCATTGTATAGTAAAAAAATTGTCGATAATCAAATAATAACACACGTTTTGTTATTTAATTTTGTAACGACTTTTTATGTTAAACATAGATAGAAGAGAATAGACAAAAGAGTATATTAATAAGTATTAAGCTAATGTCTTCAATGGACTCTTTCTTTTTATAAGGAAAATAATATATCACTATTTAAAAAAGGTTAATGTGTGTATGATTAATTTATTGTATTGTAGACAAACAAACTCAACTGTTAACTTAGAATATCAATTATTTTGACCTGTAAAAAATACATTTCTTAATCAAATCTTTTCATTCTTCATATTCCATTATAATACTCGCGTGCCGGTTATGAACGAATTATATTGATTCAATCCCTAGCGACCGAACGAAGTGTAAATGTAACCAATCACCAGCTAGTATTTTCCACGTAAATGAGAACAGACTGATACGAAAACAAGTTCTCAGGAATCTGTCATTCAGATGACTGTACAATCAGTGAATCCACCTTGAAAAATTACATACTTATTTTATTGTGTTGTGGTTAAAAAGTAAGTAACGAATTTAATTATTACTCATGTATTCAGTTGCACATTAATTAGCAGTTAAATTATAAGAATTTACCACTATTTTCTAACTTCTGCCTTACATGTAGCTAAAACGACGTCACTCAAATGTATCGAAAATTATCAGTTTTATTACTTTACTCATGTATTTCTATACTTTAGTACATTATTAACAATTTGTACTGTTCTTTGAGGTAATCTTGTAAATTATAATTTCCTTTTTTTTATTACTTATTATAAAAACAGTATGAGTTTTACTACTGTTGAACAAAGTACTTAACTGTTTCATGTAATTGTATTTTGTGACAATAGTACGACTATAGGAATAGTAACACTTACTTTCCAAAACTTATGGAGAGAGGCCTTAAACAATGGGTGTACCTCTACATTTGACAATTACCAGTTGTGCTTAATTGAGTGCTATTAAGAATATGTGTCAACTCCTCGCGTTGTAATATTGAGCAACGCCCTGAATAATACGCTCTATTAATAAGACATATTGCACATTATATTATCACTCTATACTTATTCAGTACCTCTGTTGATAACAAAGATAAGATAGATATGTACCTACCTGTAAGTGTATGCTGTGTTAGTTGTATGATGGACGCTACGTTAGCATGTGTGCGTCGTTTAATGTGTCTTTTAATTTGTTTTAGGTAACAGGGTCAAAATGACGGCCCAAGTTCAAGCACTGTATGACTTCACTGGGGACCCCGGGACCACTGAAATGTCAATTACGTCTGGAGAAATACTAACACTAATTAACACGGATATTGGTGAAGGTTGGTGGGAGGGCAGGAATGCTAAAGGCGAAACGGGTCTATTCCCTGCTGCTTATGTAAGAAAACTCACTCCTGAAGAACTGGAACACACAAGTACAGCCCCGACACATGCAGCGCCAGCAGCTCCAAGATATGACCAAGCTGCTGATGATTGGGGGGATCAGCAGTACAGTGCTGGTGACAACAACTACCACAGAGGAACATCACAAGAAGATGGATGGGAGGATGATTGGGATGATGAGACATATTCAGAAATTGGTCCTGCACAACATAAATCACACCACAGCCAGCATCCTCAACCAGTAGCCTTGCCAGGAATGCCTATAAATGATATGAATAATCTTGATGATGGAGCATCCAATTATGGCTCCTCTGTTGGAACTGTTAGGCGAAATAAATTTGCTCCCTCTTCTAAAGTCACTGGTGAAAGTTACCTACTTGGCACTTTAAATATTGAGGTACCAGATCATGATAAAGTTTACATTGTACAAAATGAAGAGGGTTATGTATGGTCACCTCTACCAAATCCATACTCAGTAACTGTAGCCTCACCGAAAAAAGAATCAAAATTTAAAGGTATTAAAAGTTTTATTGCATACCAATTGACACCTTCATTTAATAATATTCAAGTTTCTAGAAGATACAAACATTTTGATTGGCTACATGAGAGATTACAAGAGAAGTTCACTTTAATTCCTATCCCACCATTGCCAGACAAACAAATTTCAGGGCGATATGATGAGCAGTTGATTGAACGCAGGCGAGTCCAACTTCAAGAATTTGTGGACTGGATGTGTCGGCATCCAGTACTATCCAAGAGCGAGGTCTGGCAACACTTTCTGACTTGTACTGATGAAAAAAAATGGAAGGCAGGCAAGCGACAGGCTGAGCGGGATCCTTTGCTGAGCCTAAATTATTGTATATCACTAGTTGTACCTGAGAAAGCTTTACTACAAACACAAGTGGATAGCATCACAGAACAGTGCCACACATTTGTAGCCAGTATGGACTCATCTGTGAAGTCTGTATCTAATATGTGCTTAGCACAAACAAAAAGATTCCAAGGACCTTACAAAATGGACTGTCAGAAGGTTGGTGAGGCCCTCTACAGTTTAGGCAATGCCCTCAGTCTGGATGAAGGGACAGTGATTTCCACATCAAAATTAACTTCAGCCATAAAAATGACAGGTGGTGCTTACATAGAGATTGGAAGAATGTATGATGACCAGCCAAAATATGACTGGGAACCTTTGGGTGACAAATTCCATTTATACAAAGGCATTATCGGATCATTTCCTGATGTACTAGCAAATCACAAGGGAGCTGTTCAAAAGAAGCGGGAATGTGAAAGATTGACAGGGGAGCACAAAATGGAAATAGCGCAGCTGAATGAAGTCTTAAGAAGGACTGATGTTATATCTTATGCACTTCTTGCCGAAGTAAACCACTTTAAATCTGAAAGAACAACAGACTTGAAGGCCACTATGCAAAAATTCCTAAGGCAGCAAATTACATTTTATAAAAAAATTGTAGAAAAATTGGAAATAACACTGCAACAGTATGATGATTAATTTATTATATATGACTCAAGGAAGAGTTTTGAGACAATTAATATTATACAATGGAATAAACCATTATTGTATACTGGTCTAAATTATGAAATAATTTGTTTTGTAGATTATCAAATAATTAAGTACCAATCCAAAGGATTGCACATTTGGTTTGATTTGATCTATGAATATGAAATGTATTCACTTTGTGATGAAATTATGGACTGACTGTATATTATACATTAATAAATTGTGGTACACATTATCTTTTATAAACTAAAGTATTCTGTATATATATTTGCATAGAATCTTCAATAGATAATTACTTATTTTTGATCAATTATATACACAATATTCTAATTGTACTAACTGTGGATCAATTATTTTGACATTTTGTTGTTTAATTTTAGATTAAGTATTGTATTATATATTCCACTTTTATAAGGTATTTTATAGGGCCTGCTAATTAAATAAATACTGTAATTCGTTTAAATGTTTTTTAATCAATGCATAATATGTGTTGTATATTTTTTTCCATCATTAAAGGAGGACCTATTTAGGTCGTAAGGTTTTGCGTGATTTTTGATTGTAAGTACTTAAATTCTGTTATTAAAATAAACCAAGTGCTTGAATGCAGTCATCACAAATTTTTCTATTGTTCACAGGAATTTCGGAGTCGATATGTGCAGTCAAAGATAAAACTCGAATAATCCTGAAGCCTTTTGTGGGAGTAGTAGATATACTACAATGGCAGAAGATAAGAAAAAGGATGGTAGTGCCCTTTTAGCAAAAAAGAAGAAAGTAAAGCCAAGGAAATCGCGGGACGCTGACTGTTGCAGTGTGAATTTCTTGAAATGCGTTTTGCATATTTTCAACGTCGTATTTTTGGTAAGCAACTTTCTTGTACTATTTACGCTATATTGTGATTAAAAATACATCTATATAATACAATAATACTCTCTCTTACGAATGTTTTCTTAATTTCTTTCAAATTACATAATAACTTGTTATACTATTTCCTTAATTTAATCAGATCAATACGTAAAATAGCATTATTTCATGTTTAACGTTTTTATGAACAAAGGTAGTATTTAAAATGGTAAAAGATATATTCATCCCAAATACTTGAATAGAAGCAAATTAACTACTGTTATTCTTGTCAATGAATTTGTCCTGGAGGATATTGCGGCCAAAAATAATGGCTTAATATAGGAACTAGTAGTTATTATTATATATTATAATAAATACAGTATTTGTGGCAAGCAGTTGGGCAGGCCCATTCTGCGGCGAACAGTGAATAACTGCATTAATGATTATAAAAAAGTGAATCACATGATAATGTAGTTATAGTTTTAATTATTAATTATATTGCTTAGCATACATTTTTATCTTTTGCTCTATATGTACCACTTATAGAACACATATTTAAAGGAATGTTAAAATATATTTTCTTAATTATAGTGTCTGTGGATGTTTGTTACTTTCTTTCTTTTACTACTTTCACGCCAAAAGTACTGGATTTTGATTAAATTTTACAGTAATATAGCTTATACGCAAGCTTATCAGAAGGACACAGCTCATAATTTAAAGAGATGTTATGTAAATTCACCTAAATTTAGTGATTAACTTGACAAGTAAGTTGAAATTGCGCGAGTCACCTTGTCTGATATAATGCAGTGGTTGCTATGCTTCTACACTTCATTCTAGGCTAAGGTAATTCAACATATCGCAGTCGTGGCATAACAGCCACTAAGGGCGTTTGGTTGGTTATTCGGAATACCATTTACCATCACACCGCTCGCCATCGACAGGGAATTCAACTCCACGCGCTGAAATCAAAGTGGTCTTGGACAGTGCTGTTTCAGAGGAGCGTCTTCCCGCGTACACTTAGATTGTAAAACCTACCTGCCGAGGTTTTCTTGGAAGACTACAACATGAGGTTTTTCAAGGATATACAAAGGTTTCTTATGGGACGGCTACGCGCATGTGACACCCCTCTTAAAAAACTTATTATATAAATATCTAAGTAACCAATCAGAACTATTAAAAGTAATGTGAAAATGAAGAATGTACTAACATCGTACGCAAAATGAATTTCGGTTATATTTGACAAATAAATTCATTTCTTTGCTAGGGGTCTTCGAATACCGGTAATTAATGGCCCGCTGGTTGTACTTTGACGACTACTGATGTAATGTATGGTGTTCAGTTTGCAGGTATAGGCGTCCTGGTGGTAGGGGCGTGGACTGTAGCCACCAGACATAGATATGTGGCGCTACTACCAACACCGACATACCCAGCCATTGCCTACATGTTGGTGTTCGCAGGCGCACTCGGCGTGCCCATGAGTGGGCTTGGATGCTGCGGACTTAAGACTGAAAATAGAACCAGTTTACTATGCGTATGTATTATTTATTTTATTATCTGTAATTAAGAGATTTTTACGTATTACTTACTTAGACTTACGTGATTAGATTACTATTTTTTTACATAATTTTTTAGACATCTCTGTATTAATACATGCGTCGAAAATTGTGTAAGTACCCCTTTTTAAGGAAATTACGCGGAGGTGTTGCTTTTCATTGACAGTTAAAATTTATGCGAAGAAAGTGAGAGCAGTATGCTATTTTTTTATAGTTATTATATTTATTAATTAAATGTATTATTATAATAAAATAACCACGGAACAATTCACACAGCATCATCTAGCCCCAAGCTAAGCAGAACACGTGTTATATGTATTAGACAAGATGTAATTACATTTTATTATAAATACTTACATATTATACCTAATAATAGTCGCTCTCATAAATACTTGAATTTCGCGACCATTGTAAGTAGCTATACGCTATCGCTAGACCACCGAAGCCTTTAATAACGTGAAAATTTTAAACGTATCGTTTTTATATATTGAAAGTAAAATGTCATTGCTAGCGTCAGATTGAGTACTAGTTTTCGTATCCTAAATGTATGGTACATTTAGGATTAAAGACCTACAAATTGTAAATTACGATATGTATGTTTTATTTCATCATTGATCGAAACAGTCAGAATGCACTTATAGTCTCAAATAGGACCACGCGTGGGCGATGAGCGGAAAATAGGATACTATGCGAGTCCAATGGGTTGGTCAATGAACTAGCTCGGTCATGGCGAATGTCACAATTTGAAACACAATTGTTTATCGTATACTGTTATGACCTTATTTGAACACCAATGATAATATTTTCATAGTTCAGAAAATGGTTTCTCTAATGTACTACTTTTAAGTGAAGCTATGCAACAATATGATACATAGATAAATCAATTATTTATCTTACACTATATAATATATGTAACACTATTTCTGTACATAGGTCATCGTAACAATTTATGATTATGTGTAAAAATCTGGCTATTTACTTTGGATGTAGAATTAATAAGAGCCATATATAATGTAAATTAATAGTAGCAGTACATTTCACACATTGCCGTCTAATTTCAAACATGAGCTTGTGCTATGGGTTCTATACAACTGAATTAATAGAAATATTTTTTTACATATTTTTTTCTGTAATTATGTAATTACATACATAATTACAGAAAAAAATGGAAAAAAATACATATAAAATATACATGTAATACACCCAAATCAATACAAACAAACTCATGAATATAAACGATTTTATCGTGCCAATAGGACCTGCGATGATGATTAATAATTATTTTTAAATTAACACCACAGAAACATTTCAGTTTTCCGAGCATGTAACATATTTTTTTAATTGTATCAGATATTACTAAAATTCTTTAGCATGTTTTATACATTTAACGTACCTGTATGAGCCTTTAATACATAAATCACAAGAAAACGCTAATAAATGCATTGCTCCCATTCATAATAACCATAATAATTGTTTAAAAACAATTGATTAACTGCAAGTACAATGATAATGGTAAAACTGATACATATACGTGTTATTTAAATATTTACTATGTATGAATTATCGTAAAATGTATTAAAGATAAAACGATAAATCAATTTTGCTTTTAAAAGTACTATACGTAACTAATTCTTGGAATAATCGATTCAAAACTAAAATCGCTTTAATCAATCTGGGTGTTTTCTATGTATTATATGTGTGTATTTATATCAGTTATCTAGTACCCTTCACACAACTCTATGCTTGGGGCTAACTGGCGCTGTGTGAGTTGTCCTGATTATTATGATTGATATTATATTATAATAAAAATGCAGTCACTTTCGAATTGTACGATAGTATGTAAATACAGTAGTGTAATGTACTAAAGGTGTATGTTCTTCTTTCTTAATTAATGTCTGTGACTAACATATGAAAAACCGAAACCATTGTAATTACAAAAATTACCTACACAGAAATCGAGTTGCAATCACCTAAATAATTCGCAATATATCCTTAACCAATAACAACACTCGATAACGATTCCACGATAATTTTGTTTTCCTTTGAGAAAGTATACAGTTATAAAAACAAAAATTGTACGGTTGCTCACTCGCATACCTATTTATATACCGACTTGTAGGTAATAATTAATGAAAGCATACTGTTTCACATTCATATGATATTATTTTTTATATGTACTCTAATTCAGAATAGATTTTGATAGATATTTTAAAAATTGATATAATAGAAACTCCTATGATTAGTCTGTATTTCTGGATATATTACACGATAACTTTGCTAATATTCTGACGTCCTACGTGGTCTTCTAAAGGTTTTTTTTAATGGTTGATAATGGAATGGTGCACCCGCCTGCGCTAACGATTTACGCTGGCGGGGCACCAGTGGAGGATTATAAGATGAGCATGAGGTCAGGTCAGTTAGCCCATCGTGACAAATTCAACAGCACACTATTATATGGTATGATAATAGATCAAGAACCTATTCTCAGATCTACCAAGTATACATATATTTATCAAAATGGGTTAACCCTCTTTGGAAAAGTATGGCAGCTAACACATCATAATTTTATATATATAGAGATATAATTTATACCAATACTGAAACATGGTTTAGGTACATCTAATTACGCAACCGGCACCAATAAATAAGATAACTACAAATGTCACCAGCTTGTATTTATCTTGACGGTGTTAGCACAAAATCGCAAGAGACATCGTTCTACATAATTATCTCTATATGAATAATATTGATGTTCAGAAATACGTTAAAGTATTTTATTTTCAACTAGCTGTGCCCGCGACTTCATCCGTTTTGAATACCGTGACCTCGGATATTTTAAATTATTAGGCTAATTATAAAAAGCCAAAGAATAATGTTATTCGTTCTAACTTCAAAAATTACGCATATCCATACAAACTTTCATTTCCTATTTTATTTTACCCCCCAAGGGGTTTACAGCCTGAAAAATAAGTTTCAAACTCTTAGCTTTTTAAATGACGATACTTCCATACAACCTTTCACCTCCCCTTTCAACCTCGTACAACCCTTTTTTGCATTAAAATTATGTCCTTTCTAGGAGTCTAGACTATCTGTTTACGAAATTTCATTTAAATTTGTTACGTAGTTTTGGTGTGGCAGTGGCAGACAGACAGACAGAGTTACTTTCGTATCTATACTCTGTTTGTAATATTGAAATAACCGTTTTTTTACTACATGCATATGAATATAAATACGATACAATCACCAAAATAGCATTTTTTACAATTTTTGTTTGTCTGTCTGTTTGTTCCGGCTAATCTCTGAAATGACTGGACCGATTTTGACGGGACTTTTTTTGACAGGTAACTGATGTAATAAGGAGTAACTTAGGCTACTTTTATTTTAGAAAAATAAAGTTAATTTCCACGCGGACGCAGTCGCGGAAACAGCTAGTTTGAATATTATTAAGGATAACTATTTTTCCAAAATTAGTTGATACCATATAAAGCTATTGATAACGAAATGTCCATGAACCTAAACTTGCATGACGTAAATACCTAAATTTTTAAAACTATTTACATCATCTTACCTTGATATTACAGAAGCTATGTTTATGCAAACATCAAACAATGACACACCTACCATATTATTATACTTGATAAGCGCAGATCAATTCTTTTCTCAAAAAAAGTTAAATTTAAATTAAATTAAACATACAACAAAAACCAATACACAGTCTTATTAGCTCAGATATATATATAATATATATTTTTGAAAATAAGATTAAGCTATAAATTTAAAGAAAACTTAAGCTACAGTACAAATAAGACCACATAATAGCAACACAGTCTTGTTCAGCTCAGACTATGTATTTTTTTCGGCGTATTTCAACTATTATTCAAAAGTAATGCAGTTGACGTGCGTATTTTCACATATTATCAATGAGCAATACCTCTAACTAACAACAGCCTTGACTATAATTGACCTGACAATTATGGGCACGTACGAAATTTATATCAACTAAGCAGCAACCGTCTAAGGTTTTCTTCTTTTGTATTAATATAAAAGTGCCTACATTTAGCATACTGTCAATAGGGTCGATTATTTTAATCGCTTCATTTAAGGTAAAATTGACCCAACTAATTGGCTGTACTAATCTTGGCCCATGTCTTGCTTGTAATAAATAATAAAAAAATGGATGCTTTGTACTTAAATTTACACTATAGTCTATAATCTAATTTAAATATACTGATCTGTCCTGAAATATTCATATAAAATTAAATATAACTATAATGATAATTTTCTTTAAAGTATACAGCTCATTATTACATACACACAAACGAATAGAGGAAATTAGGAAGAAACTTTTACAGAATATATGTTAATAAATATATAATACATATAATATATAAGCTTAAAGAAGCTAAGAAAAATATCCCCCCTAAAGGCGTAAATTATTATGATCGTATTAATTTTAACTTTACGCCATTTAAATTTTATACTAAATGGTATAAAATTTAAATGGCGTAAAGTTAAAATCTTTTCATAATTTACGTATTAATAAATTGATAGAGGACATTGTATAAATTTATAGTTTATTTTTGTCGTTACATTATCATTAATAGATGCTATACAAAGAATATGCAATATTATAACTGTCGACATCGTTCTATTTAATGAAATCATCGAACCGTTTTGTTTGCATCAGATTACATCCCAACACACATTATCATACAACTAAAAGCCTTTATATGTATTTATTACAAGTCGCGTAGAAACCCTAATACTATTATTGTGTTTCAAACCCTCATATAATAGGCTTTACTATAAATAAACAGATAGTAGACGTATATATTTTTTTTTATTTCAGTATACATACTTCCTGTTGATAACATTCATACTCGAGGCTGGCGCGGGCGGGCTGGCATACTACTACGAGGTGGCAGTGGAAGACGAACTGCGGGCGGAATTAAATCATACATTCTTGTATAATTACGCCCTCGACAACACCATTTCTAATGCTGTTGACCGCATGCAAACAGAGGTTCGGATTTTTTTTATTAATTCCCACACATTTTAAAAATCTATTGTACTTAACTATATATCTTACTAACATAAAGGCGAAAGTTTGTGAGTATGGATGAATGGACGTTTAATTTTCTCTAGGACGATATTGGACCATGTTTTGTATAATAACACCTAGGCTAAAATTTAAAAAGATATTACATAAATTGGACGAAATATATCAATATATATGTCAGGTGTGAAACAGACGAAATTGTGGGGGTCAGATAGTTTATTATAAAAGCGATGTGGCGTGGTAGTTTAATACATTTACTTTGACCGAAAGGATGTCAGTTGAAATGTGGTCGATACAAAAAAGTTTATTTGTTAATTTATATGTCACTGTCGGTGATGGATACACAGGTAATAAATCAATTCGACAGACAGCAGTAGGCTCGCGCCGTACTTCGTTGAGATTTTTTTTATGTAAATAGAATCGCAAACAAGCTGGCGGCCATAAATGGTACCCGTCGTCTATATACATCAACACTACGTGACATCCAAGATATCATGCGTTACCGTTCCGGAAGTCTCTAAAATTATCATCAAGTTGACACACAAAGTGAAACGGAAAACGTCAATCCGAATTTCATATTTACGTTTATCTATTAAACAATACAAACATAGGAATACTATTACTAGACAATATAATTACGAGTTGTTCGTTCCAAAAATAATCATGTATATTATGGTGTTTATATCAAAGTAATAAATATATTATCCTTATACATTTAATTTTGCTCATATTTATGGGACATCCAAAACAGACACTGATAGTCAAAGAATTCATTGAAATATATTATAAATATGTAAATATATCAATATAAATATAATACTCTAAATATGTTCATACTGTGCTGATTGTTTCGAGTTCACTATTCCTCTATACTAACATAGCTGCCTCCTTCCATACTGTGGGCTGACATAGGTTACATTCAGCATTTACTGCAAGAAATATTGAGTAGTTATCCGCCTGTTAGAGAAACTTTAAAAGAATAATCTGAAATTGATATCATGAGACGTCTAAATTCTTTTGTTAATTTCGATATCCTTCAAGCCAGAGACCTCACTAAGTAGACTGAGGAAATCTAGATCTAAAGACTAACTTATTTCTTAGAATAAATATGTAATATACTAATTTGTATATAGAAATGTCATTTGAGATGTCATTCAAGTAATTTCACAGGAGATAAGATAGTGAGTATGACTCATAGTAATAAATAATATAGTACAGTCTGTATAAACAACTTACTCGTTAAATTGTGCTTCGATTATATTTATTTTAATACCTATAATGTTTGTACAGTCATCTCGTGGCCTTGATGAGCAAGTACTTATTAGTTTAAACATTTGAATTGTATCAATGAAACTATAGATCTAATATTCAAATTAATTATAAGAAAAAGTATAATCACTATATAGAGAATAGTAAATTTAGCTCTCGTCAAGTAGCAATCATACTAAATTCTACTGCAATTTCCCGAACATTGATGAACTATCTATCTGTTATCTGGGGTCCATCAAGTCGTTACAATCCCCAGAATAGCAGTGTTTAAATTTTTACACCCACTGACGAAAATAAACATCCCTAGTACTCACAAGTGTATTAACATTACGCTTTTTGATAGTTGTAGACTGCACTTATTGGAATGAAACTAAAATAAAATCAAAGTTTTCTCAAAAAAAATGTTTTATCTTAATTGAGACATGCTAACATATAAGAATAAATCCTTCACGTGAAATAGATATATGTTTATTGTTTATGACCCGCGCAACTTTGTCTGCATCACTAACTTGACATTTACCATTATATTTCCCACAATTTACATAACATATTTTTAAATTATAGCCTATGTGTTATGATCATATAGTTTCTGCGTTAAAGAATAACAAACATTCATCCATTCACCCTTACTGACAAACTTTCTCGTTTATAATATTATTCTAGTAAGGTTTATTATCCATGTTTGCTCCTTCAGTTTAAATGCTGCGGCGCCGTACGATATCAAGACTGGAGGAGGAGCGCGTGGCACGAACACGATCCTCGGCTCCTCGTACCAGATTCATGTTGTATAACTGTCTCCAACCGCTGCGGTGTCAGGGACCACCCTTCCAACATCTACCACAATGTGAGTAGTACTAATTACCTTATAGTTGATAATGGAATGGTTCACCCGACTGCGCTAGCGGTTTACGCTGGCGGGGCACCAGTGGAGAATGATAAGATGAGCATGAGGTCAGATCAAAACCAATTACGTTATACAACTATCACATAATTTGCACCGTTCGATTATCAACATAATGGAATGGGGCACTCGCCTGCACTAATGGGTTATGATAGCGGGGCACCATAGTGTTAAATTCACCATATCAGTGGAACCCACGCGGAGGTCAACCTGGTATGGTACATTGTTAGCAGTTATTAGTCTACATTACTAAGAATCACCTTCCCCCCCAGTACCAATTACCAAAATTTGTAACTACAAAGCAACCGCTAAAACAGCATTTAAATGAGTGTTTAAGGCTGACTATTTCAGCTATAATAAACCAGATCCATTGACTGAACGGTGCTCGCCTATTCATGAACTCGGAACCATCAGGCAAGAGTGGGCTTACAGCTGCTCCATAAATTCTTTCGCGACTTTGGTGTTATTTTAGCGGCTTTAATACCCCCTGCGTTCCCCACATTTATATTGTTCGTCGAATAGTTATAAAAACTTATAAACCAATTATTTAGTCTTATTTTATCACGATGGTGGCAAAACGAGCATACGGCCCACCTGATGGTAATCGGTTGCCGTAGCCTATCGTCTGAAACACCAGTGTAATTCCTTATTATCGTATTTTCTTAAATATACTATATACTTATATCTTCTCTTCCAGGGCTGCATACGACAGTTTACGAATCACATTCGAGACCACCTAATAATCCTCGCGGCGGTCGGCGTCGGGATGTCGGTCATACCAATCTTCGGGTTCCTCTTTTCTTTCATTCTCTACGTTAAGATCAAACACGTCTTGGACTGACCTCGGCCTAAGCCGGCGGCCAGCAAGAACCGGAAAGTATTCGACAAGTCAGCCTCGGCCGGCGACTTGACGAAGTACCAGGGTCGGGTCGGCTCTCAGAGAATACCGCCGAAGTTGGGAAGTACTAGAACAAAACGAAGTGTAAAACGACCGCCATGTCCGCTCCACCCCGCGGCCGATAAAGGTGGCAATGTGCCTATATCCACTATCAGCGATAATGTTAGCATTTAGATATATTAATTTTGCAGTCAAACCAAATACTTAGTCCTCAAGTAAGATCCTTTTTAATATAACTATAATGGTATCTGGTTAACCTTTACCGAACACAGGGCAATCTAAATATAACCGTTCCCATGTTCAATCAGACCAAAGCCTCCTTGTTCTTCCTTTCATTCTCCTTGCTCTTCCAAACCTTGTTGTTAAAATTATTCAAAGTTTTTAGAGTTCCGTATCAAAATTATAAATCCTTTGTTGTCAGTCTGAGCGTTAATACGTTTTAAACGTAAAATCCGTAAAGATGTAGCAAACAAACTTCGAATCTTAAGTATATCTACGGAATTCTATTAATACATGCCCTACACTCTATTTATATTCACGCGAGGCCCACTTTTATGCGTTACACTATTCTAAATTCAATATTAATCACTTTTTTCGAAGCTATTTTTCCTATATAGTACGGTAAAAATTTACATTTCATTTCATGTGTTCATTTGATGTTACATAATGATATAGAATTTAAACAATGTTCATGTCTAGCCAGTAGCTATTTAAGTAGTAAAAGTGACCGAATTTATATCAAAATGTGTCTAAGTCATACGTTTGAGTAATATGTTAGATGAGAAATTGTTATATGTGTATTTAATATGGTGCTATATTTGTTATAGATACCTTAGGCCGTTGTGTACTTAACACGGGATATAGGATGGAACATCGAATAAAAAGAATGTCACGATAATTAATAAAACTTTCACATCTATGATACAGTGATACCATGAACACCTACTAATATTTATTATAAATAAAATACGACGCAGCATTTGCCGTATCTATGGACTAACATAAAATCTTTCAAGTAAATAAAATATAAAAATATAATAATCAAATTATTTTACATAATGTATGAAATAGTTTAGTTATTTCTATTATGAAATATTGAATGATTCGAATTTGAAGTATTATGGTATGGCCATTAAACATGAGTCAGAATTTATTTTTATTTATATATGCAAATGACCAAAGCATTTCAAATACAGCTAACTGACTATTCTATTATTCATTATTCAATTACATATAGTAAAGGTAATAGGTATCTTGTCACTAAGGAAAAAGGTCGCTTCCCATAATTACATCTAATTTTATTGACGACATTAAATATTTCTGAATAATCATTTAAACAGTGTTTTTTATAATTTTATTTTTTATATAGTTGCGTTAAACATTTAACAAGTTGAACATTATAATTGAATCTAATATGTTTTATATTTCTTTATTTACCAACTACAATCTAATTTACATTAAATAATATATATATTAAATAATTAAACACGTGTCATGTATTTTATACTTATAAACAATTTATGGGCTACAGAATTCGTTTTTAAATTATTATTCAGAAAATTGTAGAAGATATCACTTGAATTTTAACATAAATAAAATTAAAAGTAATGTCGATGTCGGTATGATCTTTTTTTTTTTACAAAAATCTGTGTGTGTCTAGCATTAGAATAGCGCCCAAATTACTATGCATAACAAAATTATATACGATAATAAATCGTTCTTAAAACACAAAAGCGCACTTTCGAACATATCGATCGCTTGCACCATTAAATCTAAAAGGCTACGTTTGAATTCAATTTGATTGTAGTTAAATATTTGCTTTTATTATGTCGTACTACACGCTTCTCTAAATCATAAAGATTTATCGGGCGGGTATGAAAGTTACACTCATGTCCCACATTCAAGAACCGGCTTAAAAATAAATCGAATAAATGTTCTACAATCTGCAACGAAAAAGTTACAACATAAAATTCAGCGTTTACCATTCCTGAAACTGACCAATTTGAACAAAATAGGGTTCTAAGAAAGGAAATAATTGGACCTTACAAACCTTGTATCTTTCATACCAAATCACGGATGCGTCCGTGATTTAGTATGAAAGATACAAGTTTGTTTTTTATTTTCCATGTATATTCACATTTTCGCAAATGTTATCACTAGGATTCGAGTTCTTGTATATCTGTGACATCTTATATATTTTATATGCTACCACTAATGCGTGACTCTGTATACATTTTAACCCACTAAGTATGTATTGTAGTACACTAATACATGTAACAAACTATACCTAAGCTGTATTGTGCCTTAATAATATATAAGAAATAGATAATAATTGTGGAAATTATATCCAGGATTCTCTATTATTTAAAATTATATGGACGAAATAGATTACAGGAAAGAAAATAATTTAATATATGTAATGTCATATCTATCTGTATATTAAATTATGTTGTATAAAGATTATTAGTATTTATTTAAATAATATGGATTTATTAATTATAATAAAAAATAATACAGAATCCTGTAAAATAGATAATGGTGTTTTAATTTTAATTGTTTTACACATCATTGTTTTTATATTTTATTTAAAACCAAAAATATTTATATAAATTATTTTACGGGTAATTAATTTTTAACTATTAATTTATTAAATATATTTAATTATTATTGTTTTGCTATCATCACAGAAGTCTACAACCGCAAATAGTGTAACTCACAAACGAGTGCCGACATTTTATTTTACTCTAAATAAAGTATATTAGTTTATAAAAATAGAAAAAAAAGGAAACTGTGTCAAAATTAAAGTACAATTTTTTTTAGTTTTAAAGATATTTAAATATGTTTATATTTTGCATTACTTTTAAAAAATAACTTTGATATTTATTAATTGTCGATTTTTCTTGTCTTATGTTGTATAATTGGCAGCAGTAACTCCACCGTTCTGTTTTACGCAAAAATTCTTACGATCAAATATTGCGTACATTTTTTCATGATATACGCTATTGTTCTCTTATAATATAGAATAGAAGTACCGTAAATAACATACAATACTTCAGAATAAATTACGGATTTTAATCCTACCAACTATTAATTGTTTATAAGTAGGTAGGTTTATATCCACGACAAACGGAATTGGAAATCGCAGAGCACTGTCGTGATCACTCGTCTGTGTTAGTTCTAACAAATATGTTTACAAATATTAGACAACAGTGAAAAAAATTATCAACAAACTTAAATTACACTGGAAATAACTAAGTTAATCTGTCACTATTTATCCATTAATAAAATAAATAAATACTAATAAATCAGTTCTTTATTACTAAAACTGACAGTTTTTTTTTAAAAGTAACTGATACGATATTTAAATTAACACAAAATGTAGTCGCATTCTTGTAGATATATATGGTCAACCCTGGCTATACAACTATGTATACAAAGTCAACAGCTATATTTACACATTTTTGTGATACATCAGTATGTCAATAATTAAATATATTTATTTTATTACAATTGAATCATTTTTATTGCGGTTGTATTCTTCAACTAAATACATTTTATTTTATTCTAATAACTGTAAAATCGTGATCTTCACATTTAATATTCTTGTTATTTAATACAATTTAAATCAAAATCTTGTTTTTTTTTTCTCTCTTTGATAATAGTCTAATTACAACACACTACCAATACTGTTTTTCAGAATAGCGTAAGTATCTATTAAATATTTAAAAGGAAAACAAGCTTATTTGATCAGTTACCAATTGATTTCAGAAATTTATCAATCTGATACAAAGATTATCAAGCTGGAGATTTTAAGTATAATCATTCATTTTTATAAAATAAAAGTCGGTATAAACGAGTAAACACGGCTGAACGCATCCTAATCAAATTTCACGATAATATCAAGATGGACATAGGCTATTTTTATCAGCAAGCTATAATTGCTATCCCCGAGATTTCAGCTAATATTTTATTTTAATATTTGGCTAGCTAAACTCGTATTCCGCTTTATAAATCCGTCCTATGGAACTTGCTTAATGCAGCTTTTTAAGCACTACCCAATGATGAAAGCTAATGAAATGATCCTCACTAGTTCTCAGAACTGTCTTGATAGGATTTAACGTTGATGTTGATCTCTTTAAGGGTCATTGAATGAATTGTTCATCAATTAGAAGTGGGGTGACAAGAGTATCGAAGGGATACAAAATTTCGTGTTCTTGCATTTCAAGTTGGTTATGACGACATGATCTTAGTATTAAGACATGAAATTTGAAGAATTATCGAAAATACTTCTTATTATTTGCCATAAACAGGACATTATGGACATAGCTTATATACTCTAAACCAAGTCAATCAAAACACAGACAAAGTGCTTACACAGGCATTTAATAAACCATACTACATATAGCTGTTTTGCCTTTATGAGTAGGTACATAAACTGTAGGTAGTGACCGTTCTTACCATCGTTTTATTTATGGTAGACATAAAAAATTGTAATTGAAGTTATTAACATATAAAACACGAAATTATGATAATTATTATTAAATTAGATTGTAAGACGTCACGTCCCATGCGGGCCCCGGGCCCTCCCCTGCTATTAGCTCTTGTTAGGCCTACAATGTTGTTTACATGTGTTCAAGTCACTGACTCCACCGGACAAACCCGTGTTACAGTTTTAATCTTTTATTTTCACTAATTCCATCATAAACACATCAAGCTATACGTCAGCATTTTTTGTTCACGTCGCAACTGGTAACTTCGGACATATGTGAATATATACATATAAATAATATTAAAGTGTCTGTTTGTAATATTGAAATAACCGTATTTTACTACATGCATATGAATATAAATACGGTATATATACGAAAATAATTTTATTTACAATATTTGTCTGTCTGTCTGTTTGTTCCGGCTAATCTCTGAAATAGCGGGACCGATTTTAACGAGACACTTTTGGCAGGTAGCTGATGTAATAATGAGGAGTAACTTAGGCTACTTTTATTTTAGAAAAAATAAAAAATTTAAATTCCACGCGGACTAAGTCGCGGGCTACACTTAGTACGTGAATATAAATACCTACTAATTTACATTACGAAACCGTATCAGCAATTCAGCATACATGAAATCAATTTAATAATTTAATTTATGTATGAAATTACATTTATATCGATTTCATGAAAGTTTTTACTGAACTAATTTTAAATAAAATATATGCGCATAAATAGAGTAACAGATATAGGTACTATCGTGAATAGACCATGTAAAATGGCATTTAAATGACAAGACATATGTATGCAAAATGAATAAATGGAGCAAACAAGTGACTCTTTTGTATCCAAAAGACAAAGGCGCCAAAGAACTCGTTGGAAAGTCGACATTACCCTAGCTCGGGGATCTGTGGAATAGGTTTGCAGAGGACATGGAGAGAGCTGAAGGACGCATTTGCCAAAAGGCTCATCGAGTTACGAATGAGAATGAATGTAAATTATGTACAGCGAGGAATATGAGTCCAAACTATAACTTTACAAATATCCGACAAATTATACATATTATTTATTAAAAAAATTGCACGGTATAGACCTACATTTTTTAATGGATTATTATGGTATGGTTTCACGCCTGCGCTAATAGTTTACGCAGGCGAGGCACCAGTGGTGGATGATAAGATGAACATGAAGTCAGGTCAGTTAGGCCAACCTGACAAATTCACCTGGAATTTATCACGTTGGTTCCAGAGGAAACAACGTAGAGGTCAACCTGACTTGGTACGTTGCTAGCGATGGAGTATTAGTTCATATTACTAACAATCCATTTCCCCCTGTACCTACATACTCTAAAATTAAAACATGACTATAAAATTACTAATATCATAATTGATGTTATTTCATAATGAAAATTAGACGTAACCCTTTATATTAACAAAAAACTCATAATGTTAGTTCAGTATTGTAATTGCACAAAGGTGTTTTCCATTCTTAAAATAGCTACCGACTCATGTTTATATTTAGACAGGTAGGTATCTAAATGTTGTATTTTTACATCTAATTTACAGTGTTAATTACTCTATACTGTTTACGTTAATGTTAAGTAAGTACATAATCAAAATAAGATCATATCTAGATCAACCTATTAATGTCCTGACCCACTTTTAATTCATATAAAAAATTTCACATTTTATTTTAAGAATTATAATTGAATTAAATGGGTGCATCAGCACCAGCTTGCCCTTACAGTTCACGCTGGCTGGCAGTAGATAAAGGATAGAATTAATATGAGTTCAAGCCAGACAGCCCATGCTCGCACATTCACCTGGAATTTATCACGATAATTTCCAGGGGAAACCGCGTGGAGATCAACCTAATATAGTGCATAACAAACAATGAGATTATTAATCCTTATCACTAACAATCCAGTTTACGTGAAATATGCACGAGTCATTTCATATGACTAATAATAATAATTCATACAAATCCATTAATACAACTCAAGCGAGAGCATCATTTTAATCATCATCCATAAAAACAATATGATACTTCCGTTTTCCATTCTTGGAATGGAATAGTCGGACGGACGGATGCTCCCCCTTTTTCACGCCCTTATCTTGAAGTAGGTATCTGAACGAAAATTTAGAATTAATTACAGCATAGAAAGGGATAGATGCTTATTACAAAAATAAAATAGAACGAAGGATTATTTCTGTTTATGGAAAATTACCAAACAGTCTTAAAAATAATAACTTGGTTTAATTTTTTTAATTTTGTTGACGGTTTGTTCTAAACTAGGAATGTCCTAATCACATTAATGTCAATGTCTGTTTCCTGTAACACCGTAAAGAAAAAATAATATATTTGTTTTAAATTATTAGGAATCCTCATTGAGCAAGTCCAAGTCACTATTGACCAGTAGGTATAATATTTTTACATTAGCACATACTGCAACTTCGTAGGTACCTGAATTTTTTTTAATAACACAATTTTAAGTTTACCTTCATAGAAAACATTACTGATCACGGGTTAAGCCATTTCTGCAATTAACGTATACAGATCTACAACTTAAAATTCTAACAATTGTTTTGGTATCTATTACGTTGACAAAGTCATCGTAAAAGTAATCGTTTTTCTCTAATTCCTTATGTATAGACAGCGATAAGTTACAATTTTAATATATGTATAGAAATCATTTACCTAATTAGTCATAAAAATAGTAATCAACATATTGGCACCGTTATAACCAAAGCTTTGTAGTTTTAGTTTGGTTTTCCAAATTATTTATATTCATCTAGCGCCAACATCTAATATTAATTAGATTAGTAATTAGTAATCATCCATTTCCTGTACAGAGTTTCTTATATCATTCGTAGGTATCTGTCTAGCAATTTGGAACGTAAGCCTACCCACTTAAAATGCAATGTACGAATGAATCGAAAGATTAACGACCACACTGCGTCATGAGAATGACTTTAAATCGTTTGTAATTAACTACATATTGCTACATTTATATTTGATGTACACCAGTCGTTTCTGTGACAGTATCATCTACTGATCTCAAAATGTATTTCCTCCCAAAGTTTACTGTGATTTTGTGCATATTCCTCGGAACAGTGACTTCGAACGTGTATAATTATTATGATAATGAAGAAAGCATATGGTTCACAAATCCATATTTATCAAGATATATAAGATCAAGACCGTTTAACAGAGTGCCAATAGCTTATCCGCCGAGATTTATGTTAGGACCTATGACAGTGCAGCCATCACGACAGCAAGGTGTATATAAATATCCTAATTTAAATATAAATATTAATCGAGTGCCCTTTATATCTGTTCCACATTCACCGCAAATTGGAATACATCAACAAACTATGAACCGTCCATTTCGTCCGATAGGACCCCATGTACAATATGGATACCTTCCTAATACGAACGTTGAAAATCTTAATGGCAACTTTAACAATTTTATCAAGAATGATGTTAGACCAACGGTGAGTCCTTTTGTACGACCATCTGTTGAAAGTCAAAGCACTACAAGTCACGAACATAAGCCTTATGATCAAGTTATGCATAATAACGAGTATGGTCACGATCTTATGACGAGTACAGCATCCGCGACGCCGACATACACCGCACATACAAGTACTACTTCAAAGCCTATGCCTAGCCACGAGGAAAACCACCAAAACAAATATGAAGACTTTGAATATGAAATCGATGTCCGAAACGATACGGAATAGTTCTGAAACTAAGAACCTATCCTACATTTTATGTTTGTATACATAAAGTAGGTACGTAATATTATTATAGGTATTATAACTCTACACCTATAGTTTTTTTTTATATTTTGTTATTCTTGACAATTGTTACATATTTTAAATATTAAAGTTATAACAGATTGGATATATATTTAAGCATGGGTTTATCCAGGTGGGAAGCACAGCTGCCCCCCTCTCCCTCGCTCCTCATGCATCTAATTTATCCCTCCATGGGCCTGAAGCCTGGTATGCTACATGGGCAAATTATTTATATACTCATACAATTTTTAATTAGGTATATGAGACTGACTAAATCTATCTATTTATCTAATTTTTATTAATAAAAATGGATTTTAATATTAATATCTTGAACCTTGTTTGTATTAGCCTTGTTTAAACAGCTGATACATAATAATGTTTATTCACCTAAAAACTATATAATTATGTACATAAAAAGCTTCGTATTATATTATGTATGCCGTATCAAAACTGGTTTTGACATCTGAGAATCTCAACGATACTCGAAAGAATAACGTCAGTATAGTCTGCTCATAGCGCTATAGAGATACTTCCGAAGACAAAAACGTGTGTAAATTGTATTATTTTTATGTAAAACTTGTGATAATTATATAATCTTTATTCAAAATGAACGTAAGTTTTAAACCGCTATCAATTTTTGTGTTAATAACATTAACAAGTATGTGCGAAGGAGGTTTACCAATATTTGACGCGATTGTATCGGGTGTCCAAAAAACTCGGTCGGATATTCATAATACTGCTCACAAGATAATCGATACTCTGCGACCAAATACGGATATCAGCTTTAACTTTGGGACAAGTTTTAATATCAATCGAGGACAGCATGTTTACGGTCCACCTAATCAACCAGAATATGGAGTGCCTCCGGTACCACCTCAACAGCAACCGAATTACGAACCACAAAACAACAATCGACCCAATATTCCTGATCAAAATGGTTATTACTACAATAAGCCAAATGAACAGCTGAACGACAACTATAATAAACCAAATTACCCACACATGGTCCAAAACAATGGCAATGCTAATCTAAATGATAATCAAGTTCCTACAAATCAAAACAAAAATGAATACTACGACAAAAACGCTCATTATCAAGAAGATACGTCAAAACCAAAACAAGAAACGAACCAGTCGCAAATTGAGGCAGTGTTGGACAACATTTTTGGTAACAAAAAACTCGATGACAACAACAATAAATCAGAACACCACGACGACAAAAATAAGGACGATGAGCCGCTTTTCGTTCCACTGAACCCGAAAAGAGAGACCGCCGAGACTCATGACCAAGTAAAAAACGATGATGAGGAATTTCCAATAGATATAAGGTTTAAACAAGAATAAATATTAAATTTATTTTAAATATAACTATTCAATGTGTAATTAAATTTTCCAGAAGCTATGATTTGTGGTAATATTGAAATAAAAGTATTCTAACAAAGACGCATTTATTGTATACTTTTATTTATATCTAAAAGTATGGTATGTATCTTCTGTCCTTGAATGAGTCGATGATGTATTGTAAGTTTGTTTGATGAAATAAATAAAATATTTTTAAAATGTAACGAGCTGTACATCTAATAAATACGTCTAATTATATGATTGTTCATTTAGTTACTCTTCAATTTAAACGTACAAAAACTATTTATAATAATTTTAGTTTATTCACATAGCTATATTTAGCTTTATATATAATGTCTACAATTGTAACAACCCTGAAAATATCTTAAAACAATAGGGGACATAGAATATGTTAGAATTATTTGGTAGTTTGGTACCCCATGATGATATTACGTATCCTGAATCATGAATGACATACGAATCCACAATCATTATTATGTATATGTATGTATTTACGAAAAAAAAAATTATCTATGTATTTGTATCAGTTATCACCCATAACACTAGCTTAACTTCAGGACAATTCACACAGCGCCATCTACACCCACTAGGTGGCGCTGTGTGAATTGTCTTGAAATTATTATTATTATTGAAACCAGTAGGAAATTGTAAAAAAACCAAACTGTTAGATACTAAGCGATGACCCAGCCGAGAATTCAATCAAAAATATAGTTAAAAACGGTACCTTGCTATACAACTATGTCCATTAGCTATAAACCATTATATTATACTACTATCTAGTATTAACAAAACAGTAATGGCGCCCTCAGCTGTTCAGAATTTCTAGGTCGTATAACGACGCAACGGTAGACGAAGGCCTCTGACGTGTCTAATAGGTGTTCCGCATTTAGTGTTTTCATTATCAAATATATATTATGGTACTATCACTTCATTCTATTAATTAATAGAAATCTCACGGGAATCCACTGCCGAGGTACCGTTTAATATAAACAAGCCATAGTGTAGCATCTTCTATACATAGAAATAAAATTGGAGTGTCTATTTGTAATATTGAAATAACCGTTTTTTACTACATACATATGAATATAAATACGGTATATACACCAAAATATTTTTTTTACAATTTTTGTCTGTCTGTCTGTCGGTCTGTTTGTTCCGGGTAATCTCAAAAAATGGCGGGACCGATTTTGACGGGACTTTTTTTGGTTGGATTGCTGATGTAATAAAAAGTAACTTAGGATACTTTTATTTTATAAAAATTAAATTAAATTCCACGCGGACGAAGTCGCTGGAAAAGCTAGTAATAAATAAAAATGTATGTTTGTAATGTTATCATTAATTGTCTATCATAAGTATTTCCCATCATATTTTTTAAAATATCTTCTGGGTACGTCAGTGAAGGTTACTGAGATTAAATCCTGCATATATGTATATTTTTTTTATATTTATGACTCTGGTATATTTACTTTACTATATATTTATTATACTTTACTCTTTGATTGATGATAATGGAGTGATGCCCTGCGCTTTTCACTGGCGGGGCACCAGTGGAGAATGAGAATGAGGATCATGAGTCCACATTGCTAACAATCCCCTTTCCCCACTGTATGTACATATATATTGTAGGCATGGCTATATATTAATTGCTCGACCAACCGTCATAAAATTAAATAAAAAGGTAGTAATAAACGAATACGTTGGCCATATATCAATTGACTTATAAAATCAGAGAACTACAAGTACAGTTTTTTAAACCTCCTGCCTCCCGCCTCTCCTTACCACTCTGGGAATCCCATCACCCGATGCACTAACGAAGTGACACTCAATTTTGTCGGCTGTCGCATTAGCAAAACAAATAATAAATGTATAGCAGACAGCAAATTCGTTCAAGCAAATTATGAGATATAACTTGATCTCTTTACTGTCGTATAAAACCAATGTGGATAGGTTTTTCGTAGATTGTAAAACATCACAATTTATATGTCATAGTTAAACCTTGACGTAATAATACGCAGTTGAATGAATTACCTAATTATTAACAGGTTTTTATGATTGATGACGGTTGATTAACATTTCGATGATATCGATACGTAAATTACTAGTTGTGAACTGTTTCATGACTCACCCAGGTTTTAATCGTAAAAAGACTCGACAAGATTTTTTAGCAAATAAGCTGATCAAGTGGCAACCGTCACCTGTAAAGAGCTTCAAAGCCGTCACGTCATGGTGTTACAACCCTCATATGTTGTCATTCCTGAGACGTAAGCTTAATATGGCTTAATAAGTATGCTTAGCAAATTGCTAGGTTAAAATAGCTTAGACAGAGGTGAAGTCTGTATCGGGCAACCTCCACGTTGGCTGGGCTGCTCATCTACGTGGATACGTTCGGGATCGGCGGCTTGGTCGAACAACCTCCTAGTATGTTCCAGCATTGTTAGGTTCCCCATTGCCACGGCAATGGGGAACCTAACAATGCTGGAAATGGAAATGCCTGTGGAAATGCCTGGAATGTCTGTACACGGGGAACGATGGCTGGGCAATATTTGGTTCTGGTGGGATCTTAGCGATAGGGCAATAATGCCTTCGGGTTATCATTAACTCAGTGGCTAATAGTCTGACGAGAAAGGCGGCTCAAGCTGGGACAAGGGGTCCGTGTGGGACCCGTCCCGACCGTTAAGCCTCGTGTTGGTGGCCGCTTCTGCCGTAACTATACCTGTTATAAAGACAGGTGCGAAGCGGGCGCGAATCTGCGTGGGCGGCAGTGTCAGCAGCAGGCTTAAGTCGCCGCTTAAGTGCCGTCCACAAAACAAGAGTCGAGATGGGGAGGAGAGGCATTTCGTATTCCGGTGCGTCTCCACCACGGAGTGCGGAAGCGAGAGAACTGGGTAGAGTTCCCCCTACGCATTGACGATATTGACGCCCGTCGCCCCAAGGATCGAGGTCGATTGATAACCCGACCACGCGACGTCGGTACTATGGCAGCTACAAAGAATGCTGAGGGGTTTTTAGTGAGTAGGAGTGTCACAATACCCGTCCAACCTCTGAGATAACGGGTCTCCATGAGGGTTTTTCCCAAGTAAAAAAAAGGTGAGACAAAGGTACTCACTCACACAACTATTTACAGTCTAAATAGACTTTGGAATTAAAGCCATTCTAATACATATTATAAATGCAAAAGTAGGTATATCTGTCGGTTCACGATTAAGCGGCTTAACAGTTAGTCATGAAATTTGATATGAAGATAGATCACGAGAGATATCACAAGGTTGAACATAGTCTATCTTTTATCTAAGTTTAACAGACGAAGTAGCAGGAAAAACCTATAAACGACTTTGTGTAAAACTCGGTTGTGTGAAATGGGGATCAACTTTTTTTCGTATTAGTTATTTCGTAGCAGGATATTTGACTAAAAATGCTAGTAACGTAATATAACGTATAATACAGGAATAAAATCAATGCACATGTTAAAAAAAAATAGTATTATTGTATTTCTGTTTACTTCACAATACATTTATGAAAATATCATGTATACACGGAAGAACTTAGAGAGTTTTAAAAAACTCAAAGACTGTACAAGTAGAAACTTACGCAATATAAATAAGCTTATTTTACCTAAATGCCGTCTGCACAAAATCAGTAATTCATTCTATGGTAATTGCATAAGATTTTATAATAAACTGCCAGAATCTGCATTCAATCTGACAGAGAGGCAATTCAAATCTTATATTAAACAATTTTTATGTAAGAAAGCCTATTACAGGATAGACGAATTCATAGATGACAACATATCAAGTAAATAATTAGTTTATTAGCATACAACGTTATAATTTAATTTTCTCAATTTTTTCTTGATTTAATTGATTGATTTTAGAAATATGAAAGCGTAGCGGTTTTTGTATTGTTTGCCGCATGCATTCTTATGTAAAATGTGAATACAATAACTATCAGATGGCAATTGTAAGTAGCTTTGACGTGGTCTAGTGTTTTGAGTAGTCATGCTCACTAAAATGTCCAGACTTGTGGCGGCGTGGAGGGCCGGGTCATTGGGCTCCCTAAAATATGGTCGAGCGCAGTGATGGCTGGCTCATCCGTCATACTCGTGAACGGGTGCTGCTTGTAGGGACTGGTCTGCTCTAATCACTATGACTGATTTCCTCTTATTAATTGTTTAACCAGTTGGTTATATATTCAATATTTTTTCTATTTCAGTATTTAATTGAATTAGTGCTAATTGGTGGTTTGTATTCACACACTTAAACTTAAAAATGTAAAGTAATAATAAAATTATTTAAAAGAGCAACACGCAAGTTTCTTGCTCGTTCTTTTTGTGATGAGACAGCTTTCCGAACGAGCGGTAGATTAAAAAAATGTAATGACTATTTAAAAGTGCTTCAATGTAAGTTTATTTGAATAAATGATTTTCTATTCTATTCTATTCTGTTTAAGCATGCCTTAATCACGACCGCTATTCCAGATGCGGCAGTTCGTTTCTTTTTGATAAGATCCCTTTGATAGGAGCCTTTGCTATGGAATACGGATGCCCAAGTATTAAATATTATTTAGGCACATAAAAGATAATTTATTTATAATAAGAATATTTTATGGACAATAATAGAACGGTACCCGCCTGGGCTAACGGTTTACGCTGGCGGGGCACCAGTGGAGGATGACAAGATAAATATGAGATCAGGTCAGTGAGCCCATCGTGTTAAAGGAACCTCTTTTTCTCCGTTTCTTTTTATTATGTTGCCGGTATTTCCATTACCGAAGAGTCATATTATCAGAGTCTGTAATAAACCTACATGAATATTCACTCAGAAATTGAGAATGAATTTTATGTCGGCCAAATTTCAGCTCGCGATCTTTCAATCTAAGTCGGGGTTGTAGTACTTGTAGATCGACTTTCTCTTTTATTCCGATTGGAATATATCCGAAATATCAATCTGTATGCTGTATCTATCTATGTAGAGACCTATCAGTACGTAGATAGAATATTAAGTTAAATTTAACGTCATTGGGATACCCAAACCTGCACTGCGAGTCCAATGTAGGTAGGTAACGATTGACCAAGTGGGCGATCTCGTAAATTTATATGTCAGTTGGGATGGGACTTTACCATTGGGCACCACTTACATAATATTTTCAAATATTTAGCTGTTTGATGTCATTTCAAGGTAATTGATGTTGTTTTTTATAGTAAAAATATTAATATAAGGCAAATATACACAGAAAATATTAATATAAGGCAATATCACAGATGTTCTAATTAACATGCAGTGGAATATTTTGCAACTGTTTTGTAAATTAAAATATTTATGAATTATTACTTAATTCTAATAAACCGACCACGGCTTGTTGCTCTGAGTTAGTATTCAACGATTCACTGCTAAGCTAGGTCATTGTACAAATATTTGCATGTCAACGTAGGTATTCTAACTTATTCACGTGATTCAAGAGAATTTCTGAACCATTTCTAGTATATTTTTGTATCCATCCCAGTTTCTTTGGTGGAGATATGTTAGATTGGTGAAGATATGTTAGATCCTGCGCAACTTTTCGCTAGTTGAAACCCCAGCAAATCACGGAAAAAACGTCGGTCAGGATCAGGTAGCGAATTCATTAAATAATAAAAGTTATTAAAAAATAATAAAATGAACTATTCATTACCTTTTTCCACTACTCCCTCCAAACGAGCACAACGCTACCCCCGTAGAAAAACCGTGTTTAAATTTCCCTATTGATGGGCTAAATGACCTCACTTTATCTTAATCCTGTCATACTCCTCTAAAGCCCGCCAACGTATAAAACTAACGCAATCGGAAAACCCATTCCATCATCATCCATCAATAAAAAACTGTTACTCTTATGTATTTTTTAATATAGTCTGTGGTTGACACTTTGTCAGATCGCTAAAGGAAAAGTGATAGGTATGACGTAATAGGTGTTCCACATAGCATTGCCGATTTTTCATTTTATTGAAATTTTAATAAGTACCTATACATAAATTTTTAACAGTTTTATTACAAAAAAATATCGGAGTATTATTTACATGCAATGCAAACCACATATAATATACATTACATAACCAAATTAACATTATTTATTTATTCTGTGTTATTATTATCATTTTAAAGATTAGCTTTGCAAAAAGTAAGTGAGTATCTACATACTGAAAAGTATCCTTTATTTTAGGTAACCCCTATAAAATATATAACTTCGTATATTTTAAACTGCAGAGTAGAGTAGATTAATTCTTAGACTGTAGAATTATAAATATACTAGCTAATTCCGCGACTTGGTCCGCATGAGAATTAACTTTTTTATTACAATAAATAACATTTCTAAAACAAAAGTAGACTGAGGTCCTGTCAAAATTGGTCCAGCCGTTTCAAAAATTAGCAAGAAGAAACAGGCAGACAATTCTTTTTTATTATTTTTTATATAAGTACCTACCGTATATATATGTAAATCTAAATGCATATGTATTTAGAGTAAAGCTGTTACTTTGAAATTACAAATAGATACTTCAATTTTATTCATTTGTAGAAATACACATATATGTAGTAAATTACTATAGTATGTACCTAACATATAGTAACCAGTTGAGGTTTTTAAATTTAACGTGTTCCTTAAAATATTGAGTACTACCATATTATTTGTTCTATGATGAAATATTATTCACAGCTGCGCTAACTGTCACCAGTATGATGAAAGAAACGGTTCGAAATCAGGTCTCCTAAGTAGCACACTATATGTTGACACACGGTCTGCGTTTCTTCTTGAAAATTTATATCCTCTTAGTTATGGATCCTGCAACAGATATCAGACTTTCAGCATTTTAAACGTGTACCTATTTGAATTCTTCAAGAAAGGTGCTAGTTTCCCTAAAAATCGGCAACACGCCTGATATTCTTCTGGGGTTGTAGCATGTACCATCAAGTAGGCTTTAATTAATTTTAATACAATTCAAAGTAGGCATTGTCAACAGTAGATGTTGTGGTATGAACTCACGACGTCATGTGTTTATGTCATGGTCGTACACCACTAGGCCACCGAGTTCTCCAAAAGTATTAAAAAAATATAAATAGGTCTCAAAATTATAAAACAAATATTATTTATCAATGTACATGAAGTAGTTTTTAAAAATAACTCGAAATTACATTCTTGGAATTAATCTGGGTCACAGCTAAATTATGAATCAAATAAAATGTAACGGCGTATTAGCAGTTGTATAACTATTATTAAGTCCTGTCAGTCTGACAGAATGTACCACGGTTGTGTTGTCTTTATTATAGCAAAAAGTGTACATCAGTAGACTGCCGACCGAATAAAACCCACTGTTTATTTTTTAATCTTATTAATTTTAGTACATTGGATTGTCCAAGTCTATAAATAGTGCAGAGTAGTTTCTTAAGGCGTAGTACCATCTCATACTCTACAAAATCATACTACTACTAAACGTAAAAAAATATTTAGAGAGATGGATGTTTGTTGTTCTATAAAGCAAAAACTACTGATAGGATTTTGATGAAACTACTCGTATACAGCTTAAACGTCAGAATAATACATAGGCTATAATTTAAAAATTTATTGTTGTAATCATATGAAATAAAATTATTCGTGTAAAGATAAGATTTTCAAATTAAGAGCTAAATCAGTAGATACGCATTAAGATATATGGTGAAATAGCTTCTCTTAAATAATTGAAAAAAAAAGGAAACCAAATATTTATAATAACAATTCATATAAGTAACATGGTTAATAAAATTTAAAACTTTTTACTTACAGTACTTTATTCAGGAAATTAAATTATTATTATACCTACTGCAGCCTAGTTTTTTATAGTTAGATACATTATTGATCTACATTTGAATAGAATAAATAGAGATAAACTAGTAGTTTATCTCTACATAGGTATATCCCTTTATAACTAATGGCCCGATATTGCCTAAATAACACAAATATTTATATGAAATTCTTCAAATATCAAATGTATTTTAAATGACAAAGAAGTACGTTTTTTTAATGATTACTAAATAAAAATCTTGTATGAGAAGATTGATATATCTACCGTATTTCAACCCTCATAGTCGCGTTCCATGTTCCATCATGTTTATCGTTGGTGTCTGGAAAATGATAAATTCAATTCATGATACTATTTATAAATATTACAAATACCTACGTACAAGTGAAATTTAACAATATATAAATAGGATGAAATAAATGCTAATAACGTATTTAGCATATTGTGTTGAGGCAATACGAACGTCCGAGAGCAACTCATGCAAGTATTCGTAAAAACCTAAATGATACAAACAGACACTGTTCTCACACTGTTCACACGCGAGTGATCTATTCAAATAACCGACGTCCGGTCGACTAACTTGGCCTTAAGTGCAAAAAGCGTGAAGTCAACACGACAGAAGCCGATTCCTTATAACGTGCACAGCTGTTTCCCTATAAACACATTTTTCTCATACTGGGAATACTGACTATATATAAACACTACGTTTGCAATTATCGCCAACATACAGCGACAGTGTTAAGGATATTGTGATGATCGTATTACTCATTGCACTGTGTTTGCCTGCAGTAGGGAAAACAGACTCTTGGAACCCAGTTGTATCATACATTGTTTTAAGACGAAACAGTCAGCTCTCAGACTTCGGCGCAGCACCGCGTCATATGCCCAGTGAGCTCCTGCCGCTTTCACCGTTGCAACCGTTTGAGAATTCAGCACCGATCCACAATTACCGACCGGAATATCGAGTCGAAAGCGACCCACCTGATAACCCAATTTACTTGACCGTAAGAGAACACCAATCGAAGCTTTATATATCGCGTGTTGTGGAAGAAAAAATGAATCGGCCATTTTTCACAAATTCTAATAATAAACCAAATAATAAAGAACAGACATCTAGAAGCATGAACGACCAAATACATTTCCCGATTGATGAACCACCGAAGCCGGATCGTACATTGGACGTCTCGACACCTAATGAGGATGTAGCAGCTTACTTGACTGAAAGGGAAAGCGAGGTAACTACACTGAGACCTGTGGAAGCCATCACCAACTCCGGTCCCAATACTACGGAAATATCCGTGGATGATCGAGCGTCCTTTGACGGCGATCCCTGTCCAGCGGGGTTCGTCAAAGTTAACGGCAAATGTGTGGAGAAAGATTAAATTATATTGTGAATCCTAAAAATTGTGGACAATGTTTAGCAAGGTCTAGTGTATAATTATGGGTAATTATGGAACCTACCTACCTATTTATCTACGTAAGTACATTCGTGATGTGTGCATTAATGTGGCTCACCGAGACTAAATTATAATGACTTCCCTACATATATTTTGTGAGTAAGATGCAAAATAAATGTTAAAATTATTATTTTGTTTATTATTGTTAATATATGAATAAACTGTTATTTGTGTATATTATTAATTTTATATGAGACTATTCACTTTCTCGTTATACTAATATTATAAAAGAAAAAAGTGCGTTTGTCTGTCTGTTTGTTATCTTTTTAGAACCAAACGACTGAAAGGTTTTAAAAGTAATTTGACATGAAGATTGATGGTATCACAAAGAATGTTTTGTCCCAAAAAAGCAAATTTAATCGCTGGGTAATAATAACTAGTGTTTATAATACAAAATATGAAATTGTTATAATTATTTCATTATAAATGACAGGTTCTTATTGTTCTGGACTAATCACAACGGATTTTCTCTCATGTCGTTTGAAATGTAAAAACATTTCATTTCGTGAAGTAAAGTGAGATCGGGAATAAACTTGAATAATTTAAAATCTCTATTTATTTTTCTCAAAATACAAATTAAACAATATTGTTACATTAAATATGCCACCACTTGAACTTAGATAATAAGCTCATGTGTGTTATCATTACACAGTCCGTTCTCAACTATACAATAAGACAATTATATAACTTGTAATTACAAAAAAAATATAGAATTGTATTACTGAATAAATATATTATTGAAATGTACCTACTATAATGCTTAAAGGAATAAAAAGGAACAGAGATTTTTCTTTAGTAAATAATAGTATGTAATATTATGTTATCTGCGGTAATAGCTAATTAATAATAATTTTAAATTAAAATTTCTAGATAACAGTTCAACAGATTACGATTTTTGTCGAAATTTGGATAACTTCTTGCAAGGGAAGAAATTCATCTCTGATGGGGCGGGCAGTCCAAAGCGACTTCAAAGATTTTATTGATTTCCGTCCGAATGGTTTTTTTAGTAAAGGGATTAATGAACTACCTATGAGATGGCAAGACTGCATAAATAGCAATGGTGCATACTTTATTAAATAAATTTATTATATTTTGAAAAAAATCGACTTTAGATTAGGCCCTTACAAAACGCCAATTTCATATGTAAGGACCTAAATAATTAGTAAAGGTGATTTTTTTTTTAAAGATAATCGATAAATCGAGTTTTGATACTTATTAATATAAAATAACATATACCATAGCAATTTTGTAAAGAAAACATTCTACAGTAAAGTATCTATATTTTTAACATGTTGTGGAACAAAGATTTGGACAACAAAATTAATAATAATTAGACACCTCACTCACACCTGTTCCTAAGAAATAAGATTATGTCCGTGTATTGTAAAATTTAATGAAACACGTATGTTAATTAGCGAATCTATTAACACCACCACTATATCCATGATTCATTTATTATCGCCAATACCATCTGTCCAATCCACAGAGCCTACAGAGTGGAATCATTTTTATGGATGATGATGATGAAATGGTGCAAAAACGATATACGGTAGTACTGGGCTGGTGCCCATCAGTAAAAGATCATTAGTATGAAGATGAAGCCACAACTGCAATAGTTTTTAGTTGGAGGTCTTAACATGGCATTGCCAGCTATTAGCCCACTGGCCGCCGTTACCAACAATCCTCACCCGAGACTTCCCCAGCATTCGATATCGCGGGTATGTCTTTTATAGAGGCGCGTTTCTAATTTACTATTATTTACAATATTCTACAGAATAGTCAGTTAGGAACTTTCAAAAAGAAATATTTTTATTAGTATTGCATTCTGATTTTTAATTAGATCACGCGAGCAAAGGCGCATAAGGGAACCATTTCAACTCTGCCATTAAATATAATAAATAGTTAATCTATAATTAAATATTAGTCTTAATTTTTTATTTAACAATTGTTTATATGAAAAAACTAGCTGTCCCGGCAAACGTTGTTGTACCATATAAATTAATAACGCTATAAAAAAATAGGGGTTGATGATAGATGGGTGAAAATTTAGGATTTTATGTATTTTTGTATGTTGTATTATAAAAAAATTGAAACTAAAAATTTTGTCAAGAAAATAAAAAAAAAATTTAGGCGTGGACATTTAGGGAGATGAAAAATAGATGTTGGCCGATTCTCAGACCTTCTCAATACGCTCACAAAATTTCATGAGAATCGGTCAAGCCGTTTCGCAGGAGTATGGGAACGAAAACTGTGACACGAGAATTTTATATATAAGATAAACGTCATTCAGGTCTCATACGTTTTATTAAATATCCAGATACCATATCAGTGTATATGGTGTACAATACTGTACAATATGCAATATGCAATGAATATAAAATGACTGAAATTGCTTCCTTAAAATAAATTACATTTATTTATTTTGTAGATTTATTTTACGTAGAAATTTTAATGTACCTACCAACAAACTCGAAACCATAAACAAAAAGGTGAAAGATTAGAAATAGAAGTAAATACGTATGTGGCACTATTTAAAGTGGAAGAGAGGGACTTTCAGACGATGTAATACTCTTTACATAATCCTGTAAGCTATCATGCTCCAAGACTTACAATTAATAAGTCCACGCGTTGCAGTTATTCAAATAGTCGCTCATTTTATAAGCTTTAGCACAAAGTGTAGGTATTTTTTAAATGTATCTTAAATTTCCCTTCATTTAAATTCAAAACATTATCTGGCAATTTATTATAAAAACGTATACAATGTCCCATGAAAGACGTACTTACTCTTTTTAAACGAAAACTAGGCATATTTAATTTATTTTTATTCCTTGTATTAAAAGCGTATAAGTTACTATTCTTTGTAAATAAATTTAAGTTTTTATGTACGTACATAATATTTTCATATACATATTCCGGTTAGCTAGTAACAAATAAAAACGTGAAAATATTAAAACATATTAATTTGAATTGCCTGAATCTATATTTATCGCAACTATTAGAAGCGCAACCGTTATTATTTCTTAATTAAGGACCCTAATATTATCTATCCATTCCACAGAGCCTACTTCGTGGAATCTTTTTTGAATGGCGATGTAATGGTACATTAACAGTATACGGTGGCACTGGGTATATGTATAATCTGTTTATACACTATAATAAAAATGTGGTTATGGTGAAACATCCGTGTGCTTTATAAGGAATTGTTTCTATAGGGTTAATTTCACGCATTTAGCACTTAAGGCCATGGAAGTCAACTCTGGCACCGATGTTAATCAAATAAGCATTGTGTGAATTGTGGAAATTATTATTATTATTGATATACCAATAATTATACCAGACCATAAGGTGAACCGAGTCTTGGCTTCTATTGACTTCTATCATCGCTTCATTGAACTGTAGAACTACTCTCATGCACTCAATGTCTCTGTAGATATAATTATGTCTCTTCCGTCAGACAGAATACGATCTATTAATAGATAAATCGATAGATATACTTGACGGCAGGGAAAAAAAATATAATATAAATAATTTTACGGCTAAAATATCCTACATGAATAAAAATGCTATAGGTACATAATCTAAGAACCTACAATAGATATGATAAAAAATATTTGAGCACACCTTAAATTATCTAATTTAAATCTCGATTTACAAGTGCTTCTAGGTACGTAAATAAAATATACCTACTCTATTTCATTTACCTTATTTTTTTTACTTGGAGAAAATCACTCATGGCGACCCGCCCGCCCCGGGGGAGGCAAGCGGGTACTGTGAGACTCCTACTCCTAAAAACTTCAAGGTATCCCGACGAAGCGCCTATTGCCGCATTCGCAGGATCGAATGTCAATCCACCGCAGCTCCTGCAGCGTCGGACCGCTTTAGTTTGCGAGCCCCTTCGCTTTTATTTTGGGGTCCACCCCACCTCTCTTAAGAAGGCACGCGGGGATACGCGCGCCATCTTCTCGGGCTTTTCTTGGAGATGCGACCGCCCCCGCTGTCACACCTCAGGCCTTTAAGGCGATCTGAGGCGCCCATGCGCCCCTCCACCTCGAATCGCTTTGGATGGAGCCACCCTTATTGGTCGGTGTCCATCCTGCTCGGCCTGCTTTCACGACTGAGGGCTTTGGGGCCTTTCACACCTTTACCTTTAGACGGGGAACAGTTCTTCGCCCCCACCCAGTGGTCTGCCGGCCTGCCTTTAGAGGCACACACCGCACACCGCGGCGGGACGCACATGAGGCGGTCTAATGGTCGCTCTCCCCACAGCGATAGCAGAGACCGCTGCACCAAAGCGGAGTTCCTCCGCTTTGGTGCACTAGACGCGCACCCTCTTCTAGATAGCGGAAGCATCGCAGCTGTCTCTGTCTGAGCAGTTCAGCTTGAACAACTACCCAGCCAACTTTAAGTTTCGCCGCGGTGGTGATGGCCTTCACTGCACATATTGGAGCGCGGATCCAACAAGCACCCGTGCCGGTAGAGTTTCGGCGAACGTCCCTCACCTTGACCTCCTGTACCTGGCAATCCCCGGTGCTAGAAATGGCAGCGGCAATCTCTTGGACGCCAACGGAGTCGTCCAGACCCATTAGACGCATTTCCGCCTGTTTAACGAGCCTGGAGACCCGTGCCACCTCCTCCGGGACAAGTTCCCGAAGCTTAGCCGCTAAGGAATCTGCCTTCTCGCCGCTATCAACTCCAGGGATCTCCAGAATGCGACCACCCGTCACGGCGACTCGCAACCGGAGAGCGTCTATCCCCAGGTGCCTCAAGTCAATCTTGGATTTTGCCTCCCTGAGAATATTCGCATAGGAACTCTATTTCATTTACCTAACCTAACCTACAATAAAATCAAAGAGTTAAGTAATAAATAAATACTAAATATAGATAGGTAGTACGTACCTACTAATTAGTTTAAATCAATCTGAACTACTAAATCTAACTGTTAAAAAAAGTTTTTTTTTATAACACAGGGGACAAACGAGCATGCGGCTCACCTGATGGTAAGTGATTACCGAAGCCCATGAGCACCCGCAACACCAGGGGAATTGCAAGTACATTGTCGACCTTTTAAAAAGGAATAAGCTCTTTTCTTGAAGGTTATACCGGAAATACCATTGCTGGAAGGTGATTCCACAATGTGGTTTTGCTTGGCAAAAAGTTTCTAGAAAACCGCACTGTGGAAGATCACCATTCATCCAGATGATCAGGATGGTATTTCAGTTTCTGGCGGGTGGTACGGTGGTGAAACTCAGCAGCTGGTATTAATCCGAACAATTCCTCAGAACACTCCCCGTGATATATGCGGTAGAAAATGCACAGAGATGCAATATCTCGCCGCAAAGCCAATGGGTCGAGTCTGTCACATAGACGTTGATTACCAATGATACTGACTGCTCGGTTCTGAATGCGGTCAAATGGAAGTAGCTGGTATTGTGGTGCTCCCGCCCAGAGATACCGTACAGGGCTGCCGTGAAATACTGTCTTACTCTACGTAGCACACCAAGCTTTTTTGAGACTATTTTAGTCTTGTCCACCAAATGACCGCAAAACTGAACGTCACTGGATATATCAACGCCAAGGACCTCGAGATTTGGCTTCACATCAAGGAGAGAGTCTTGAAACTGAGGAGATACGATAAATGGAATCTTTTAGCGATAAACGCGCAAACTTGTGTCTTCTTGGGGTTGAATTGAACACAATTTTCCAGACCCCAAACCGAAACTTGATGGAATGAAGTTTCGATTTCAGACACAATTTTGTTCCGGTACTCTATAACTTTTGCCTGCGACATATTAGCATGGCCGCTGAACAAGGCATCTCCGGTACTGCCATCCGCATAGCAATGAATGTTGTTGACTTGTAACATGTCATTGATATGCAGAAGGAACGGAGTCGGAGATAGCACACAGCTTTGTGGAACACCAGCATTCACAGAGTGTGGGTCGGAGCAAGCACCAACGATAACGATCTTGATGCTCCGATCAGCGAGAAAACTGGCGACCCATTTGCATAACTTCGCAGGCAACCCAAAGGATAGTAGCTTTGAAAGAAGAGCCTTGTGCCAAACCCGATCAAAGGCCTTCGCAATATCCAGACTAACAGATAGGGCCTCACCCTTACTCTCAATAGCCTCTGCCTATCGATATGTCAGGTAGGTCAGTAACGTAGTATTACAATAGATTTCCAAGATTTTCGCCAGATTCAATTAATTAGAAAATTTTCATGTTATCTAATTTTAAATCACACTGGATAATTGAATAGGTAACCTATTCAATTAACACCGGTGTCAGAGTTGACTTCCATGGCCGTAACTACTAAATGCGTGAAATCAACCCGATAGAAACAATTTCTTATAAAGCACACGGATCTTTCACCAAAACCACATTTTTATTATACTGTATAAACAGATTATACGTATAAACATTTCATTACAATGAAATCAATGAATTACATTGTTATGATCGGATTACTGATTGCGGTGTGTTTGCCGGCACCAGCGAAATCGGATACTTGGACACCAGTTGCATCATATAACATTTTAAGACGACAGAGAATGTACTTACCGATCTACTCTAAATCTGACCCAAATATTGCTGTCATAAAGTCTTTTGAAGGACGACAAATCTTCGACGGCCGGTATTGTCCGGCGAATATGATCAAAGTTAACGGCAAATGTACGACTACAGATTGAATTATAGTGTGAATCAAACAAATTTCAAACCAGGTTTTCCAGTGTCGAGGTTTAGAATACAAGTATTACTGGGTTTATGAATCTGCCTAATTATTTTGATTTATTTAAATCCTTTATATAGTCTATTTAAATTTAGTTTTTACAATGTACGTTCGTCTGCTTACTCTATTCTTTCGCATTCGTTCCTATCCTATTCAATTCCAATTCATAAGATTCCTACCAATAAATCTTCTTCGTATCTTCTATTTGTTCGGCTCACGTGATCATATCGAATTAAAAATTAGAATGCAATAGCAATGAAAATAACTTTTTGCAATAAAGTTATAATATTGTAAATATTAATGAGGGTTTCGAGGTAAAGCGGACCTTATTTCGTGCAGTTTTTACGTTGTTACACGGGAGGATGTAGGCACCCTAAAAGTAGTAACAATAAAAGTCTGTGGTGAAAACTGAAGATAGTATAAAAACGACATTTGTATATTTTGAAAATTTTTAAATGAATTATGCTGCTATGTAGAGGTGAAGCCACCATTCCATAGTCGTTAGTTTAAAAATTCTTAGCATTAATATTTACATTTAAATATGGTGGCGCCACCTAAATTAGCTTTAATTTTTATAGACAAAGAAATTCAGTTACCCTGTAACAGTCTGTCAAAACAAATGACTGTCAATCAAATGTATCAAGCGTGTCATTCGTGACTTCTCTTTTTTAGTATTTTACGGCCCTGGAAATTTTCTTTCAGCCAAACAATGACTTGTCTTGTCATCAGTGTTGCCAATTTAGTATATGTTATGCTAGATTTGACATATTTTAAGTTGTTGAGCATATTTTTGGCATTATAATTTTATAAAAATTTAAGCATGAAATAATTCCACTGATAAAAGTTTATCCTTATCACACATGCAAGTTGGTATCAAACGAACAACTAATGTCAGAGTAATTTTACCCTATTTCCGAACTGTTATTAAGATTACATTTGTCATTATTAGGAATCTGTAGAACAACATCAACAATTTTTTTTTTCATTCAGGAACTTTTGTGCCAGTTTAATGAGACTGAGGTATAATGATACCATAAAATTAATTACTACATTATCTCACCAAAATCGAATAGCTTTAGCCGCACTATCTGTAGAATCAGCTAAGGACCAAGATATAAATTTTGTTCGATAACATAATTGATGATTGATTAAAAACTTAAAATTATATAACGTTTTATTTGACATTGAATGAAATGTTAGCATATTTTTAGCATAATTTTATAAAAAATATAATTATAAGCATATTATTGCATAATGTTGGTATAATTTTAACAGCAGTTATTACATTTTGTATTAGTAGTGTTGGCAACACAGCTTGTCATTTCGTAATTTCATTCGAAGCCGGCATGTGAATCCATAGTGCACGAGCTTCTTTTTATCTTTATTAAAATAAAATAAACATTCATTTTAATAGTATTTTTGAGAAGATCGTTTTATATATTAAACAAATATTCCAAAAAAGTCTTAACTTAAATACGTCTATTTTATGAACAACATTTCAAGAATTGAAGACTGCTGGATGAAAGTACCACGTGTCGCTTTGCTACTAACTTAAATTTTTATTAATAAAGAGTGTCCTGGCTGTAAACATATTTATAGAAAGTGAACAAGATCTTGGCGTTTCACATATTTGCTGGTATCGTTTCACAAAGGCTGTGTCACCACGTGCCAAGTGAAGTGTAACATGTTAGTCCCAACTGAAGGAGATTTGCGAGATGGTCTTTCTGCTGCGGAGATTTTCGCTAATAGCGAAGGTCTTACCTATAATGACTTTCTGTTATTACCTGGATTCATTGATTTTACTGCCGAAGAAGTGGATCTAACATCACCACTTACCAAAAAAATTCAATTGAAAGCACCTCTAGTGTCCACTCCCATGGACACAGTGACGGAGGCAGACATGGCAGTATCTATGGCCCTTTGCGGCGGTATCGGCATCATACACCACAACTGCACCCCTGAGTATCAAGCTAATGAAGTTCATAAAGTAAAGAAATATAAGCATGGATTTATCAGAGACCCTGTGTGCATGGGCCCAGAAAACACTGTTGCTGATGTTATAGAAGCAAAAAAGAAAAATGGTTTTACAGGATATCCCATCACAGAAAATGGAAAATTAGGTGGCCGCCTTATAGGCATTGTCACATCTAGAGACATAGACTTTAGGGAGGGAGATCCACAACTCAGCCTCAAAGAGGTCATGACTCCCATAGACGAAATGATCACTGCCCAGTCAGGTGTCACTCTGCAGGATGCCAATTATATTTTAGAAAAAAGTAAGAAAGGAAAACTGCCAATCATCAATGGATCTGGTGAGCTTGTGGCACTTATAGCTAGAACAGATCTAAAGAAAGCTCGCAGCTACCCAAATGCATCAAAAGACTCCAATAAACAACTACTGGTTGGAGCCGCTATTGGTACTCGTGAGGCTGACAGAGAACGACTCAAACTGCTTGTTGCAAATGGTGTGGATGTCATAGTTCTTGACTCTTCTCAAGGAAACTCTGTTTATCAAATTGAAATGGTTAAATTCATAAAAAATACATATCCCAATATCCAAGTTATTGGGGGTAATGTTGTAACAAGAATGCAAGCAAAGAATCTCATAGATGCTGGTGTGGATGCATTGAGAGTTGGTATGGGAAGTGGTTCCATATGTATCACACAAGAAGTAATGGCCTGTGGGTGTCCCCAAGCCACAGCAGTCTATCAGGTATCCTCATATGCTCGGCAATTTAATGTGCCGGTCATTGCTGATGGTGGCATCCAATCAGTTGGCCATATTGTTAAATCCTTAGCATTAGGAGCATCTTCAGTTATGATGGGATCACTCTTAGCTGGCACATCTGAAGCACCCGGTGAATACTTCTTTTCTGATGGTGTAAGACTTAAGAAATACAGAGGTATGGGTAGTTTGGAAGCCATGGAAAATAAAGATGGCAAAGGTTCAGCCATGAGCAGATATTTCCATAAGGAGACGGATAAGCACAGAGTGGCGCAAGGTGTTAGTGGTAGTATTGTAGATAAGGGATCTGTCTTAAGATTTCTTCCATATTTGCAAGCTGGAATGCAACACAGTTGCCAAGATATTGGCGCCAGATCAGTAGCTGTTTTACGTCAAATGAGTTATTCAGGTGACTTAAGATTCATGAAGAGAACATACTCTGCGCAATTGGAAGGCAATGTACATGGCTTGTTCTCTTATGAAAAACGCTTATTTTAAATATGTGTTTTGTGATATTGTATACTTAAAATTAAAGCCAAAATAAAAGTAATGAAAACACAATTTCAGTTTTACAGTAGACAATATTATTTTTTGTAAATGAAGATGTATAATTACTATATGACAGAGTAAAATATTATTAACTGGACTAATATAATATATACATTATATATATATATTTTCTGCAATTACGAAGTTTAAGCCAGTGTTACATAGTAACAATGGACCAGATTTGGAAATGTACTTGGTAATAAAGTGTGTAAACCTATACCAATTTACAATGTAATTTTATTTGACATCCCTAGATCGATATAATATTTATCCAATAATAATATTATTGACTATTGACAATTATAACTGACCTCGGTGATCTAATGGTTTAGAATACCACCTCCTGGTCACGGGATCGATTCCTCCCACGGTACAAACATTTGTATTTGGCTGGGTATTTTCTATGTAAATGTATCTCAGTATATCTATCAGTTATCTAATAGCCCTAACACAAAGTCTAGAAATGTGTCAACTCGAGTTACGGTGAATTCGAGTTAACTCGAGTTGGAAGAATTCAACTGGTAAATGAAAGAATGAAGTGAAAGAGCGAGAGCATGTTTCGTCGTCGAACCAACAATGACATGAAGTTTTCCGATAATTTTTATTATACAATTTTCACTCATCACAAATGTTTTTATACTGATTTGAGGTTGCTATCATTTTTTTTCACATATTCGTCCGATTATCTTTTTTTTTTTTCTTTTATCTATCTGCGATCAGCCAATTAGCTTTTCTCAGATTTTATAGCTTTCGTTATCTGTCGCTTTGAGTTACCACATCCATAATGTGGTCCTTTTTATATACATCAGCTGTTTTAAATCGTAGCCAGACGTGACCTTTTCAGCCTGCATACGTAGTTCCTAGAGTCCAGGAGAGTTGTTGCTAAAGGGTTGGTATGGTGTTGAAGTCTTTACCGGTAAGCCTTACAGGAGCGTTTTATCTCTTCGTGCACCGTAGGGATCTCTGTGTAGTCATGCACCTCCCGGTTTTTTACATACCAAGGTGCATTGGTTATGATCTTTAACACCTTACTTTGGTAACGCTGAATTATTTCGATATTGGAATGACTTGCCGATCCCCATAGCTCTATACCATATGTCCTTATAGGCCTTAAGATGGATTTGAATATAAGAACCTTATTTTCCAGGCTTAGAGCTGATTGTCTGCCTATTAGCCAGTGTATGTCTCTAAGTTTTATATTTGCCTGTTCTCTTTTGGCCTTAATATGATCACGCCAAGTAAGTCGTCTATCGAGATGCATACCCAAATATTTAACGGTATTGTTATGAGGCAGAATACAGCCGTCGAGCGTCACTGGTGGGCAGTCTCCTCTTTTCAGGGTAAAGGTAATGTGATTTGATTTTTCAGCACTGGCTCTTATGCGCCATTTTTTTAGCCATAACCCTATATGGTTCAGGTGTTCTTGTAGTCTTGCTGTAGCCACTTCAGGTTCTCTGTGGCAGGCAAGTATAGCTGTATCATCTGCATATGTTGCAATCACCACATTTTCTGAGGTAGGTAGATCTGCAGTATGTATGGTATATAATAAAGGACCCAACACGGAACCCTGAGGAACACCAGCATCTATTGGATAGAAGGAGGACAAACAGTCTTCGTATCGAACTTGAAATAGTCTGTGTTCTAGGTAGGATTTTATAAGCATAAAAGCAGAGTTGGGTAAGTAGAGTTTAAGCCTATATAACAGGCCTTTGTGCCAAACTCGGTCGAAAGCTTGCTGCACATCAAGAAAGGCAGCTGAACAATATTCTTTCTTTTCCATTGTTTGTCTGATGGTGTGAGCCACTCTGTGTATTTGTTCTGTCGTGCCATGTTGTTGACGGAAACCGAATTGGTGATGTGGTATAACATTTTGATCTTTTAGATGCGTTAGCAAACGTTTCAGAATAAGTTTCTGTTAAGTCTGCCATTGGCGCCTTAGTTTCCTCTTTTCAGCTATCTTGATTCTAATTTCGGTAGTATAATTCTTGTTTTGTGGCTCTATCTCAATACTAGGTGTTGACTTCCATGCTGCTGTTTGTATCAAATTTGTGGTGTACCATGTTGCATTATCAATATCTTCTTCGGTTTTGAGAGGCACGTGCAATTTTGTATTCTCTTCGATGTAATCTTTAAATGCTGGAATCTGTCTTTCTATTATACAAAGCCTCACGTGACTCTTTCGAGATAAGTGTGGTGCTTAATGTACATATTACTGGCGAATGGTCAGAAGACCCATCCAGACATGATTCAACTTTTGTGTATAATCCAGATATCACTTTGGTTATGAAGAAGTCTATAAGGTCTGGTATTTTATTACGGTCAGTAGGCCAATGTGTTGGTTCTCCAGTGGTAAGTACGTTCAGCTGTTTTCTTTCTAATGATTTAAATAATTCTCGACCTCTAGTGGTGGTAAGCCTAGAACCCCAGTAGGTATTTTTAGCGTTCCAATCTCCTCCGGCAATATATCTGCAACCTAGTCTGCAGAAGAAGTCATTGAATAATTGTTCGTCTAGTCGATGTCTTGGGGGACAGTATACAGCCGTCCGATTATCTTGTCATTAAAATTATTAAATTAGCGGTTGTCAGTTGTCATTTCTTTGCAGGTAAATTCTTAAAAACCTAGTCTTTCTTTTTATACCTACCACGTAGGTGGCAAACAAGCACACGACCCATCTGATGTTAAACGGTTACCGTAGCCCATTATGCCGTAATGTATATTTCCATTGACTTGACAGGAAATTCCTTGTTTTTTTAGTGTAAAATGTAAAAAAGCTTGAATTATTTTAAATAGATATGTAGGAAATACGAGCTTGTTATTGAATCATATTAAAAAAATAGCACTTATGTAGGAGAAGTTGACCTGAAGCCATGCATGTTCCATAAGTCTTTCCGCGGCTTTGAAGTGCCCGAAGTCGCCCCCTATGGTTCGGTGAAGCTTTCAAGGCTAGCTGCTGCAAATAACAGAATTGTTAAAAAAACTGTTTATTCCAGGTAACTCGAGTTACTTGAATTTTAACTCGAGTCATGTTTATTACGAGTTAGCACATTTCTAACACAAACTGTCTAGCTTGAGACTGAATGGCACTGTGTGAATTGTCCAGTGTTATTTTTATTCCTGACTGATCCTTAAATTCAAATACTGTAAGATATACCATTTAATAACTTGAAGACAAGTACAGGTCTACCAACACTAATGAGATTAGATTGATCAACCTGATCTTGTTGAGCGTTTCATTTGTTTGGCTTCCTACACCATTGAATAATCATTATAATATGTAGGTAGCTGGGTAGCTGGGTCCTATTCAATTTTCCGCTGCGTAGAATAGTAGTTTTTACAACGTTGACCATTGTCACGCAAATTCTGAAAAGAAAAGAAAATCGATTTATAGATTTTCTTTTCTATTATTGAAAGCATAGCTTGCCACATCTATCACAAGGAGATTGAGATGAAGAACTAAAAGGTTTTTTTTTTCATAATATGATAAACTTGTATTTTGTAATAATGTCTATGTCGTAATGACTGTCTTGGGCTCTACCCAAATATAAAGCAGAAGAGTATATTTATTGATGGCTCAAAAGTAAGTTTTAAGGCTCTTCTTTTACGTATCGGCAAACTTCGCTCTATACCATTAGATGAAGCTTCTGACATGAAAGTCTTATGAAACTATTAAAGTTATCTTGGTAAGAATTCAGTATGACGAACACAAATGGAAAATTTGAGTGAAACAAAAATTAAATAAGGGAATATTTGTTGGTCTTCAAATCAGGCCATTGATGAAATATGATATATTTAAAGAAAAGCTTAGTAAATTAGAAATATTAGCTTGGGACTCTTTCATGAAAGTAACTTCCAATTTTCTAGGAAATCATCGATCAAGTGACTATAAATGTATTGTCGCGGAGCTTTTATCTACTTTTATGGCTTTGGGCTGTAATATGTCGTTGAAAATACATTTTCTTCGTTCACACTTCTTTTCTAAAAATTTGGGCGTTGTCAGCGATGAACATGGTGAAAGATTCCATCAAGACATTACTATGACTTCGAAAAAACGATATCAGGGCAAGTCGAGCCCATGTATGCGGATTATTGTTGGACATTAAAATGTGACGTTCCTGAAGCAAAATACAGACGAAAATCATCAAAGTAAATAAGTGTTGCAATAAATTGAAATAACTTCTTTTTGTTGATAACAATTCAAAATTATTTCTAATATGTTATAAAATGGTATTACAAAAAAACTATCCGTATTTAAAGCATTTTAATTTTATTTATACTATCCTTTTCCTTGTCCTAAACTTAACCAGACGAAAAATTTCGTTTAAATTGTAATAATTATTAATAATTCGTTTAACATGCAAAAGCTTTGTTGACCAGTGATATATAATTATCAGTACAAAAATTGATTTCTTAATATTATTAACTATAGGTAGTACAACTAGACTAAATGCTATGTAAGTTTCTTTTTTATATGATGGCAGTGGATAAATAAAATGAAACACCCATAAATTCTAATAATCACAATTTATTGGAATTATAAATGCACAAGCTGCGCAGGCATGATTATCTTCATCTGACAATAAATATCATAAAGTGCTAATTTAAACAAAAATAAAAATAATAGTGCTACAATCTATGCTTTAGACTGGTGCGTCCAAAATGTTCGTACATTTCAAAACTGCATCCTAACTAATGCTAACTATACCTGCCTGTCCTGATTGCACACGCCTCATATACATTCCAATGTAATACTTTGGTTTCATACTAAGATCTGCTATCATAAATATCAATAGAGAGCATGCTAGACACAAATTATCCATTGTATAGTATATAATAGTTAAACTATAATTTCTATCATAATGACTTTCCTCATATTTTGATTACACAAATAATTTTAATTAATCTGGAAATCTCTGAGGACAACCGACTTATTTTGTTTTAATACTGGCTATGAATTTATCTTGCTCACTTTCATCAAGACAACCTAGCACTGTGTCGCGTACAGCGGCCGACACCGCCAATCCGACCTGCTAAGTTAACTAAACTTATATAATCATGATATATCAATAAATATAATTAAATACGAGATTATGTTTATTTCAATAATATAGTAAACTCAGCAGGTGAACGAGTTTCGTAACCATGTAAGTGCATCGCACCGCACGCACCAGTCGGGAATGCATGAAGTCAAGCGACCAAAGCGTATAAATCTTACTGAGATTACACCTTAGTAACTATTCAGTGCGTTTGACCGTTTCTATATTTATATCGCTAACAGAAACACGGCACCAGTTATCAGTTACCGGACTTAGAAATAAAAATCCAGTATTCCACATACAGCGTTACGTAAAAGTGAATTTAAACCATGCAAGCAAATTTTACCCTACTCTTTCAACTTTAATTTAATGTAATCATGCTAGGAGATATCTATGAGCAGGCTTCAGGTCCGCTGCAATCGCAAACAATTTCATACATTGTACTTGCGTTGTTACATTACTCTAAACAGCCTTGTTTCTGTGATTTCTATTGCGTTAGTCTAAATCCACCTTAAGGTGTTACCATTAGTCCGCTCTGTAAACAAATGCCATGATTTATAGGAAAGCTCTGTCTTCTGTAAGGATATATTTGTTCAAACGCACTGTTGGAATTGTATCGCTAGCGGGTGGCACACGACTACTCTTTGGCCGCGTCGCCGTCCGCGTCTTCATCTTCACGCCGGAACTCCGGTCCGTGAGTGACATCATCCTCGAACACGATCTCCTCTGGGTCGGGAGCGCGTGGCAAGAACTCCTCACCTGGGCAGATCTTCTTGAAAATCTCCTCCGCCTGCAAAGCATTCATCTTGTTATTTTCCTCATTATAACATACTATTTATTAATAGACACAAAATTAATAATGTAAATTATTGTAATTCATATTAAAGTAGATTGTATGACGTATGATCATGTTAACGTTTGGATTCCATATACCTACTTTTAAATAATTATTATGTTAACCTATAATGACTCTGGTGATGTATGTATAATACCTCAAACAGCGCTAAACTTAGGAGAGTTTGTTTTGACAGTCCATCATAGTAAATAGTAGTTCATATATGTATATCATCGGATGATACTACTTAGTATACTAAACTAGTATTTTTAGCACATTTACGTGCAATCTTAAAATTGACTAGACTTGAAATAACTATTATTCGTAAACATAAACGAGTCGTGTCAGTAGAAAGGGACAAAAAAATACAAAAATAGTGACATAATAACATAAAAGTTCGCATCAATCGATAGTCAACAAACTTTTTTCATTTATTAGGATTAACAACCATTAAATCAATATATAATTCAGAAATTCAATTCAGAAATATTGAAATTTAATTCCAAACAATGTTGTTACGGTTGTCTATTCTATTAACAATATGACTGTATGTATAGTATTGTATTGTTGTCTATAGTACGGTCTAAAACTCATATTGAACATAATACAATGTTCACATTGCTTACTTAATTCATGTTATCAAAATTCCGAAGAGCGACTGTCTCGTTGCCATATAACTAAAGAAGGCCTTTGTTTTTACACAGAACTAATGAATTCGTGTCTTACTACAGTAATTCTAAACGTTGATAACATCAATGGTAAATAATTTCCTAATCATCAAGTACCTAAGATAATTTGTAGTAATTATATTGAAACAAAATTATGTTAAAACAAAATGTAGTACAATTTCATTCATATTTAAATTTCATATAGGTCAAGTAAAATTACTGTTTACTATTTTTTTATAATGGTATGTTTACCTGCCTGCGCTAATAGTTTACGCTGGCGGGTCACTAGTGGAGGATGATAGGATGAGGTCAGGTCAGATAGGCCATCGTGGAAAATTCACGACATCACGTTCAAATCTATTGTGTAGTTTAGAAAAAGGCTACTATGTTTTCATAAATCGAAGTTGCTTCCGCTGTCTGTTCGCTAAAATCTTTTAAACTAATGGATTTTAATGCAGTTTTTAGCAATACATTAACTTATTCAAGAGGAAGGTTTATATGTATAATATGTGTACACCCGTGAGAAGCTGGGCATGTAGCTAGTGCTATATATAACATAAATACCTAATTACATATTAGTGCTCCTATCTAATATTTACCTCGGTTATCAATGATACAGATAATATTAAGTGCTGTTTACTTCTACGAGTGATAGTTACCACTTCCTATCAGATGGTCCTCCACTCTTAGTACGTAATATATAAATTCAATGTAGTATAAATATATGTCGTTGTGCAAATATTATTGACCTTGCTATATTTATATTATACTTATCTCGTATTATTATAATGCGAACAGTAATATTCGGGAGAATTGACTCATGAACGCACAGCTGTAACTACTGAAGCTAAAACAAAATGTGGAACGTGACCTCTTTTTACACTGATAAAAAGAAAAAAATGGGTTTTGTAACTTCCACAACTTACGAACGCACTTAAGAGATGTTCCCTTGGTATTTGGAGCAGAATAAATTATTTGAAACTAATAAGTATTTTAAATTTAAATATTCAGAAAGTTCTATTTATACTGCATGTTTACAGATAAGAAGTATAATATATTTTATAGCTATTTTTATATTAAAATATAATCAGCCTTTACATTTTTATTACGGCAAAATATGTATGTATCAAAGATCAATTAGTTATTTCGCGCATTTTGAATTCTTCAAATTTGTAAAAGCAATAAAGGCTTGTATAATATATTTTTTACAAAATCATCAGGCGTAAACTGGTAGCTATAATCTATATATATAACTCAAAGGTGACTGACATAGTGATCTATCAACACACAGCCCAAACCAATGGACGGATCGGGCTAAAACTTGGCATGCAGGTAGATGTTATGATGTAGGCATCCGCTAAGAAAGGATTTTGATAAATTCCACTCCTAAGGGGATAAATTAACGCGAGCGAAGTCGCGGGCAAAAGCTAGTAAAATATAATTCGCAATTGTAATTCTAAATAACCATTAGGCACTTACGTAAGCGATGACCTGTCATTAAAATTTATGTTAATTAACTGTTGCTATCTTACTATCATCAACCATAATCTGTAAGTAGTATTACATTTTTCAAAACTACACTAAAGAGTAGCTTCTGTAATCATTAAGTCCTGAGTGCGGTGATTATTAAAGACTATACGTATAGACTAGAATTATTAAATAAAATAATTACACAAATATGTAACCACAACGCGGTGTGGCGGCTCAAAGAATGTGTACTACATACATTGAATCTACATTTTCATCGACAGATATAATATCCATTCAAGAAATGAATACCACTACTGTAACACATACGTTATGATAATTTCATACATTTTCATATAAATCAGTATTATAAAGATTTGTTATTTTTTTTATTAAATTGTAATGGCAAGTAAGCGGATGAGTCACCCGATGGTAAGCGGTAACCGTTGAAAACATGACCACCACTACGGACATCACGTGATCATATGACATCTATGAAATGCTCATGAATTGCCATTGCAATGGATAAAATGTCATTATCTTATCCTGTAATTTCACTACCTAATCTGCAAGCCTACAACCAAAACTCAGGTTTAAGCCAAGCTGCTTGGTGGCTGAGATAGGTGAGTATGAGGTACCAACACAGATGATAAACGAAAATTTATTTTACTTTTGTTTTTTTTTACTAATTATACTACTAATTACGAGACTGATTATATTAAATTGTCCTTTGCCATAGAACACCTTCCTAAAATAAAAATAAAACATTTATTATTTACACTTCTGTGACCTACACATTTCTGTTTTAAGTTGACTGGAGAAGATCTCTTTCAGAGATAAACATGAATTTTAATTTCTGTATTTAAATGTGCAATAAAGAATATGTATTAATAAGAAGAATAGATACTTTCTGATTTGTTGTTGTTTTATAACACTAGCGATTAAATAGTTTATAGCCTAAGAGCTTGAGAACATTTGTGAAATTATTCTAGTGATGAATGCATAGCATGTAAAAGTACGATTAGCACCATTTGACAGGCATGACGATTGAGATCACGTGTATCTTGGATTGATACGCCTGACAATTTTTATCAATGATCACTAATTTCTAGTATTACAGAAAGTCAGTTGGTTATCTGATGGTTTACGAGAAAGTGGGTATATGAGATTTATTATTACTACCGGCAATCCGATACCACTGCCGCCGTGCATACATACTCTTCAACTATTGTCTGTTTAAATTAATGTAGAGAAGGTAAGTGCATTTAAAAGTTAATTGTCACATCCACCGTAGAGTATGTATTTTGATAATGTGATCAAAGTAACATTCGAAACTTAATCATTCACAATTTGGAACCCAGATAGTGTGGCTAAATACTCAGAGTATTTATATTAATCAGTTTTTGTTGTCGAATTGTCCAGAAACGGCTTGCGAGTTTTATAAAATTTTATAAATTTTTATTGCATATTTGATAGGCCTGGGAATAGATCGTAGGCTATATTTATATTGGTGATAAGGGTGGCCCTATCCAGAAATAATATAGGAAAACAACGTTTGCACAGTCAGATGATACACGTGGTAACAGTCTAGAAGAAAAGACAATCAGCGTATTTCTCATTTTTTTATTTAATTTACATATAACCTATTGCGAATATAAAATTCTATTTTTTACCGTGATTTGGTCTTGTTCTAAATACATTACGGTGGCTGTGGGTTCAATCCAAATACAGCACATGCAATTTGATTTATGACTGCTTGTATTCATCTGGGTGTTGTCCAAAGTGGTAAGTTTAGCACTAGATATTTCTGTACTATTTTCAAAATTCAATTTTTTTTAATCATCTAACTTATTTGTCACTCTAATATTGTGGGGCACAATGAGCACTACTTATCCTAAAGTACTTGATGTTTTTGTATTTAGGAAGCAGGGTAAAAGTAAGGGGCCATTATAGTTTATGGACAAATTGTAACATAATATAATATACTATATTAGTGTTATTTATTTATTTATTCATGTTAAATAAATAAATAACATACAAGACGGTCTACCTGACGGAAACAAGAGGTGTAGTACTTAATAATTATAATATAAATATAAAATAATAATAACATAATTATAATACATATACTTTTCAAAACAGTTGTTTCGATATATAACAAAGCAATTAAAATAGCGCCATCTAGTACCACGGTAAGCAAAGCTTGTGTTGTGGGTATTAGAGAACTAATATAAACACTTAGATTCTATGTATTATGTATGTATTTTTTGTAAATACATACAATAATACTTTACATAGAACACACCCAAACTGAATGGAACCCGCGGCCATCGGTACGCCGATTAATTTTTCATACAAAACAGTTCACCTTTTTTCTATATGTTATTTTTTGTGTCGACTGTCGAGTGTGATGGACGATAATGGAATGGTGATCCCGCCTGCGCTAACGAAATACGCTGGCGGGGCACTAGTGGACGATGGTAAGATGAGCATGAAGTCAGGTCAGTTAGCCCATCATGACAGATTCACCTGGAATTCGCGTGGTCCACGCGGTTCCTCCTGAAAACCATCGTGATAAATTCTTGTTGAATTTGTCATGATGGGCTAACTGACCTGACCTCATGCTCATCTTATCATCCTCCACTGGTGCCCCGCCAGCGTAAACCGTTAGCGCAGGCGAGTGCACCATTCCATTAGCAACCATTAAAAAAAAAAGTACCTTACAGGTAGAGCCAGGGCGGGTCAAAGCCCCACCCTGCCCCACCGCGGCTACGCGTATGCATGTATTTCTTGTATACAAGAGAATGGACCAACCTGTAAGACGGCACGATCGAAGTCGAGGCCGGCGTCGGGCCCGGCGCACACGTACACGCCGCCGGCGTCGCTCGCCGCAGCGCTGCTCACCCCGCCGCCGTCCGCCGCGTTGTAGAATAGCGACCACAGGCACTGCAATAAAACACATTTATATTACACTAGTCGTCGATATTCCATCATAATTAATTAACAAAACAGTATATATGCGTGGGTGGCTGTAAATATATGGCTGTGTGTGTTTGTTTTTTATTGTATATACTTATACTCATGTATGCCTAAAAATGCCAAGAAAATTCGTTGATTTTGATATGATATACCCTTTCCTGCAAAAAAATCTGTATGCTTCAAAAAATTCTCCAGTTCTAATCATATCTTATCTGCGTAGCATTAGACAGAACTGATCTTGGCAGCATATGGCAATTTAGGAACACACGCGTGTGAGTGGCGTGATCGCGATCCTCGGCTCTCTAATGATTAATGTATTATTTATGAATAGTTATAAAAATTGCTATATTCACTGCTATTCAAATTTACTTAAACACTATTTTACTGACAACTGTTTAACTGTCACAATCAAATTGATTTGTCAGATGTGGTCACCTTTGGTTTGTCAGATATGGAGGTCTGGTCGCCGCCAGACATATCGAATATTTTCTCAGCATATGGCCTCAGGTCACTTTCAGCGTCCGTCACTTTGTTCGTTATGAAGTACACCACAACTGCAACAATGGTAATAATAATTGAATAATGTATATAAAACCACATTTATCATATTTATCGATATTCCATTTTATTAATTAACTATTTACATTTGATTTTTTTTATTATTCAATAATAATAATAATAAACTTTATTCATAAATGCACGGTACAATTAAATATAGTTAGCCCTGGCTTTCGATATAGATGATATAATAATAATAACCCAGGGCAATTCACACTGCACCATTTAAACTAAGCAGAGCTTGTACTATGGAAGGAGGTTAAAAATGTTAATGGAAGGAATAACAAATACCCGAATAATGGCGTGTGGTTCAGCTAGTGTATGAATATGTGATACCCACAATACCAGTCATGTGATGTCATTCCTAATGACTAAAATGTCATGCCTCTTATCCTGTAATTTTACAGCCTTATCTCACGCATCAAGTGTAACATCTCACAAAGTAAGCTACTCAGTGACTGAAATAGGTAAGACAGGTAAGGTATCCGCACAGATGATTTTTTACAAAGTCTACCCTCGGTGTAAATAATAATAATAACAAATTGTGTTACCATACTCTAATTTAACATAGCAATCCTTATTGTATAATATTTACTAAATATGCAATTAATTAACACGTTAATTTCAACTTCTTGGATGTTAATAAGGTTATCGCTGTAAATTATTCATATTTCCTGATAGTATACTTTCTGAAAATAATATATGACGGTAATAAAATGACCTCCACTTTAGAGGTCATGACTATTACAAATTATAATTTGATAAATATTAAAACTGTAAATATGCATAAAATAAAATTGGCATCAGTTCAGCTCCACAGAATGATTTTTTGTATAATACAAAAAATATTTATCCTAACTGACTTAATATGGGACTAATAATATATACGTATACAAATATATATAAAGTAGATTAACTCTAGATAATAAAGGGAATCACCAAATATTTGCTCAGAAATGCGTTCTTATGTAAGTTTCTTCGTAATGTTTTTTATGTAAGTATTTAATAAAAATATAATTAAGTATTTCTATTAATTGTTATGATACACGCTCTGTTTAGTTTAAGCACCGAGAAGATGTGTGAGACATGGTTGAGTGAACTATCCTGGGTTATTATTATTTATGACATTATGTTGTATATACAATACACATGTGAATAGGAATACTTATCCTTTAAGTATAATAATTCATTCTCTTTTTTATATTAACAGCTCAATAAACATTGTGCACAATGAATTCAAACATTATTATATTATTCATATTATTGTTTCATAGCACGGTCATCTTTACTTTACTGAAACAACAACTAGAATGACTCACCAACGCTATTGAATTTAATGAAATATGAACACATATTCAGAGGATATGTTCCATTATTAAATAATAATGAAGAAAAATGCTAGCAAGTCACCAATAACATTTTTATGTGCAGACTTACACAAAAAACCTTTAATTATAATATCCAACAAGTTTATACTTTTTTTTGCAAATATTATAGGTAAGGTAGGAATAGGCAATAAATTTATATCAATCGTTTCACATTCGTTGTGTCTATATCTTGTTACCTATCAAGAAAATAGTTTAACTATTGCAATGACTTTTTTATCGAAATATAATATTTTAGAATATATGTTATGTTCTATGATAGGGTTCCAAGGATAAAACTTGACTTCTCCTTAGAATGTAGTCGCAATGAACGTGGGGTCTATCTATCTATTTATATGTCAACAGGATTATCACATATATAACTACAGTAAGAAATTTCATTAACTGATTATGTTTTTGTACAGTCATAACTTGAAAACGGAATTTGAATAAGTAATAGGTGTTTTATGCCCACTCTACATATATGTAGATGCTTCAAAGTACTTCTGTACACAAAACCAAGTGTCAATACACTCGTTGGCATGTACATATTACCACATACAACAGCGATCATTATTCGACAATGGTGAACCCAAGTAGGTTAGTGAATGACTCACACGTTACTTGCCGATAAAAACTGTAAAAACTCTTTTAAAAAAATCCACTGCTTACAGAGCAGCGCGAGTACAAAAAATCAAGCAAAAAATTAAATGATCAAGTGACCCTGGCTGGGACTATTATTGCGCGGTACTATAATTTTTTCTAGCCATATAAGGCAATAAAATAGTTATAATAACGAATGATCCTTGGAGTGAGTAAAGAGATAACTTCTATAAACATGGAGTTTAAATAAGAAACAGATGAAATAAATCTAAACCCTTAACTTAAAATTAATGTTTAGAATAAAAAATTCCCTTACTGTATTCTACATTTTAGCAAGGAAAAATATATAATGTTCAAAATATAGATGTAAAAAAGAATAACGGGAAATTAGAAATACTATTGGTGACCGTAAAAATTCAACCAACTCTACAAGTTTTTTAATTGAATTTGAATTTTTATTCTTCTCAGTAAGATTAGACAGATTGTATTTTATATGCTACGTGATACCTGCTGCCATGGTAATTTTATACCGACTTTGATAACACTGTTTTATAAAAGGATACTCCCGAATTGATTCCATACTAATTCAGTCAAGATGGACTGACTTCCAAAAAAGCAGTCCTGAATTAAACTATAGGTACTCATATATATGTGTGTAAGTATTCTGCACAATATATGTATTTGCTAAATATTCAGCGAATTTTATTAATTTACTTGTATAAAATAAAAAGTAACTACAACATCAAGCCATTGTAAATATTGAGCCTTGTTATCTCGTTCTATTGCTATTACGATATGAGTGGTATCTTTCTATGTATATGGAAATTTATTTATACAGTATCAGAATACTTACATAGTCCCTTTGGACAGGATCCAGTGGCTGCTCCGACTTCTAGCACAGTGACAGCATTGTCCTTTTCACTTAGTGGTGGGAAACGCAAAAGACTAAGTGGTTCTTTCTCGCTTGGCAAGATCGTGCCATTCGTTATGAAAATCGCTTTGGAGATATCGCAGCTCTCCGCTGGCTCCGGCGCGAGTAGCTCTTTGGGGCATTCATTGATCCCAATGACCAGATGGTCACAATTCAGCGTCTTGGATTTGCTCTCTATTGAGACGACAGTCTTGCCTTCGTCCACCATTTTCGTCTCCACTTTATCGATCGGCCGGTTCAAGCAGTACACGCCGCCGAATACCGCGCAAAGCCTAAGTAAAAATTACAAATACATATAAAGCTACATACTGACAAGGTTTAGTACACGTGATCTGCAAAATGACAAATTATTATTTACTAGCTTTCCGCCCTGGCTTCGCACGAGTGTACATGTATTATACATATAACCCTTCTTCTTGAATCACTCTATCTATTGCTACAAACTGCACTAAAATCTAAGCGAACAGCGAACAGACAGTGGAACTGGACTTCATTTAGTATTATGTAGGAAAAATATTATAAATGCGAAAGTGTGTCTGTCAGTTTATTACCTATACACGGCTAATCGGCTGAATAGATCTTAATGAAATTTAATATGAGATAGCATAGCACACTGTTTTTACTTCCGATGGCCGCGGGTTCGATTCTTCCCACAGTACAAACGTTTATATCTATACATATAAATAAAATTGGAGTGTCTGTTTGTAATATTGAAATAACCGTTTTTTACTACATGCATAGGAATATAAATACCAAAATAACATTTTTTACAATTTTTATTTGTCTGTTTGTTCCGGCTAATCTCTGAAATGGCTGGACCGATTTTGACAAGAATTTAATTGGCAGGTTGCTGATGTAATAAGGAGTAACCTAGGCTACTTTTATTTTAGAAAATAAAGATGTTTCGATTTTCAATAAAGAATATTTGTACCGATCTGGGTGTTATTTATATGATGTATCTGTTTACAATAAAAATATATTTAAGTATTGATATCAATTGTTTTGTACCCATAACACAAGCACTGCGTAGCTTGGGACTAGATAGCCCTGTGTGAATTGTCTTGAGGTTAGTACTATTATTATTTAAAGAGTAAGATATGATAATGAAACTACAGGGTTGGTAGCAATTATTGCAAGGTACCATTGGCACGGGTACAATGTACTTTGTAACGTCGGTAGTGCTATTCGTATTACAATATTTTGTATGTATATATATCTTATAGCTACATAGTTTGTTTGCCCGGCCGCTACTATATTCCATCAGGGGGGAAGGGGATAGTAATCTCTAATAAACCCAATGTACCATGTCAGGTTGACCTCCACGCGGCTCCCCCTTGAAATCATCGTGGTAAATAGCCATTTCCCTGGATGGGCTAACTGACCTGATTTCATGCTCATTTCGTCATCCTCCACTAGTGCCCCGCCAGAATATACCGTTAGCGCAGACGGGTACATCATTCCATTATCATCCATAAAAAATATATTCCATCGGGTTAGTCCAGTTATAATTATAAAAGATAAAAGAATAGTACGCATAAAAATAATACGCAAAAAAGCAACCATAATTTAAAAGGTGTTAATAACAGCGTTATCCTAATGATTAACTTCATCGAACCATAACACTGTAATGGTTACACGGTTAGTACTTAATGACATTGGTCAACAACCTTTTTAAAGAACTCTTCTGGTCATGAAATTAAATATATATATTTTAGATATTGAATACATATTTTTTTAAACCGTTCTGTTCCTCTTTAACCACATACAATACTCAGTGGAGAGTAGATTTTTTTCACTGACTTATAAAAAAGAGGTTTTAATTTCGAGACTAGTTATACCAATCTCGATAATTCTTTTAGCAATCAATAGAATTTATTTCTGTCTATTCCTTAATAACCTTATCAAGATCAAAATAGTTTTTTAATAGATTAGTTTCTGTTATTGCAATCAAAATGTATTGCCTTGAGGAATAATAATTATAAAAGTAACATAATTAATATAAAAAGAGCATAAACATTTATAATATCTCATTAGGTCCGCAAAACATACTAATTTCAAAACTTTGAAACACTGAAACGCGCGGCATGCAACATTAGAAAGTGTCTTCATTTTTATTTGCGTTAGTCAAGTTGATGCACATTTAGGTCATTGAACTATGTGCAAGGCAATATAGTTATGGTGCACTTTTTGCATAGGGACGGTATTACGTTACATTATTATACATAGCAGGTATGTCAACGTATACGTTGAAACCTACAGAAATCGGTCAAAATGATGATAAGAGTTTTAGAGAGCCAAATTGAGCTAAAATACGAAGAACGAAGCTAAATGTTTCAATGCTGGCAACCCTGTACATAAACTAGGTACAGCACGAGTGGTGTCGTAAAGATGAAAATTAAAAAGTAGTAAACGGTGCACACGCCATTAATTTAATCCATCCAAAATATTAATAAGATAATTTCATCCAAAAACAAATGTATTAAATTTATATTTAACAACTCTGGAAGAAAACAATGCAAATCATTTCATTGATTATGATTATGATGATTCATTACATATTTGAGACAAACTATTAACTATATTATTTATATTATATTTAACTCCACTTATTTTTTATATTACAAAATGTAACATTTCAATAGAATTGTTTCATCTATATATGAGGAATATCAATTGTTTCATCAAATTAAGACTTAAGTATTTACAAAACTGGAATCAAGTTATTACTCACCTACAGAAACACTGAGGCAGTTCCCCACTTCCATACATGGGCCAGAGGAATGGAGTGTTGCCATAACGGCCAAGGCTCATGAGGAACTTCTTGCATTCCTTCACCCCTTCCAGACACGGCATCTTGTCCGTGCCACCGGCGATCGCATACAATACATAGTGGATCAGATTTGGAGTCAGCCCCTTGTGTGTTAGGTACTCTTTAAATGTCTTGTCATTCCAATCTAGTATTGAAAAAAATACATTAATAAATAAAGATAATTTCGACTGTAATCCCATATACGACAGTTAGTGCGCTGTTTGACGTTTTGATATTATTGAGCGTTTATGTATAACATTTTTGGCTATTAGGCGTTTATTAGAGGTTTATGGAGTGTTTATAACGGTAATCGCTATTACAGCTTTGAAATACGTTTATGAATAATGATTTTTATAAAGTAGAGTATAGAGCAGCGGTCTTTAACGTTTTACAAATCAATGGCAAAAATATAGTTTTCTGCACAGCGGGACGCACCATAGGTATTTTTATAAGATATTTTTTAAATTTTATATTAAAGGTTTTTATTACTTAATTTTTGTCGTTATTGAGAGTGCGCCTATGCTGTTCACGGGCCGCAGAAAACACATCGGTGGGCCGCAAGAGGTCCGCGGGCCGCGGGTTGAAGACTCTTGGTATAGATTATTGAGAAACAAGTTATGGATGTGATGAAAGTAGCGCTCGCATTTAATACTGCGTAAAGTAAAATTACTTCAATATTTTTGTTTTAATTTATATTCCAAACTTCGAAATCTGATTCTAAAGAAACTACTATGCTTCGAATATCGAGGCTCTATTGACGCGTTTTATCTTTTAAAATTTCATTTGTAATCATAACAAAAACTGGATTACAACTTAACTATATTGTAATATGCCAGATATTTTTAGTTCAAGTTTTCTGACGTCGTAAAAACAAATATTTACCTTTAAACTCATTGTTCATTTCCTCTTCGTTGTAACCAACAATAGAGGTGAGCATCTTCATAAGCATCCTCTTCTCCACGATGCCGACCGCCTCAGTAGCGAACACATCGGCTCGGGAGCATGGCACCGGCATCAGACGGTCGTTAAGCCACGTTAGGACGCGAGTAACGCAACGAAACTCCGCGTAACGGGCGATATTGGATGAGATCAAGAGCTCCACAAGAGGACCACGGGAGAATAATAACTGGGAAAACCATGAGTATTGTGAAAAAGATGATGATGTAAAAGAGCCTAGTTTGCACTTATAAAAGTTATATTGGTAAACCTTATATATTGAACATCATAGTAGCTACCCGTCCCGGCTCCGAACATATATCTATATATATATATATATATATATATATATATAGATAACATTGGAGTGTCTGTTTTTAATATAACATATAATAACATATAACAATAACATATAATAATACAACCGTCTTTTACTACATGCATATGAATATAAGTACGGTACATACATCAAAATAACATTTTTACAATTTTTGTCTGTCTGTTTGTTTGTTCCGGCTAATCTCTGAAATGGCTGGACCGATTTTGACGGGACTTTTTTTGGCAGGTATCTGATGTAATAAGGAGTAACTTAGGCTACTTTTATTTTAGAAAAATAAAGTTAAATTCCACGCGGACGAACTCGCGGGAACAGCTGTTAAACATATAAACCATCCTCTTGAATCACTCCATCTATTGCTAAAATCTGAATTAGAATCCGTGGCGTAATTTTAACGATATAAGGGAACAGACAGCGGCGGCGACGGTGGTGTTTTGTAAAGATGAGTCATCAATAGAGATCTCTATATGTATATGACAACGAAGTTACAGGCTCCAATTGTTTCAAATAAGAATTTGTTGCATAAACATAGACTTGGACAATATAATAGATAGATTTCAAATTTAGAAAAATAATATACAGAAACATTTCTCAAAACACTTACTTTGGGAGTCATATCAATGTTAAATTTCCTATATTCAGATGTGAAGTTTGCTTGACTCCACACCTTCTTGGGAGGCTCAGCTTGGCTATCTTCAGTCTTTTCTTCTCCCTCTGCATTTTTTTCTTCTTGTGGAGAATCCCTAATGACATCATTGTTGTGACATTATTCTTATGTATACATATTAAATATAAGAAAATCGTGAAATACTGATGAAGCCAAAATTGTTTGTTTGTGTAAAGGTTTTACATACAAAGGGCTAAAAGAAAGAGACAGAATTTTTCATATAAATTGTTGTTAGTGGGTCAACACATAGGCAATAAAATTTTACAACAATACCACCCAAAGGTTTTTTTTATTAAGTTTAATAACATCATCATGTCTACAAAAATACACACAGAACAATGTCGCCTACACTACTTGTTGTTAATATTACTATATCCAGTTCAGATTTATAGATAATATATATATACCTATGTACTCACTTTTCTATATACCACTTTTCAGAAAGATTATAAACTTGTTGCTGTCTATTTGGATCAGAGTTTACTTCTTTAATGAATTTCTGGAGGCCATCAAAGTTGTAAGAAGCCCAAAGTCCACCATAGTGATCACTGGAGTCCAGGTGGAGAACATTTTTACCTATCCTACTGCAGGCGGCTGCTACTATTGATTCCACCATGCCTAAACAATATAACATGAATCAAATTTACAAATATACTATACTAGCTGTGTCCGCAACTTCATCCGCATTTTATAGTGACTTTGTACAAATAATCAATAATCTAAGCAGTTCTAAAAGTTTCATTGTTCTAACTTCAAAAATGACAATTTTCCATACAAACTTTCATCCTCTATTTTATTTCACCCCCTTCCTTTGTATATGCAATCAGTAACCTAAAACATAAGTTTCAATCTTTCAGTTCTAAAAGTTTCATTGTTCTAACTTCAAAAATGACAATTTTCCATACAAACTTTCATCCTCTATTTTATTTCACCCCCTTCCTTTGTATATGCAATCAGTAACCTAAAACATAAGTTTCAATCTTTTAGCTTTTAAAAATGATAATACTTTCATACAAACTTTCATCTCTCCTTCAACCTCTTACAACCCCTTATTCTCATTAAAATGTAGTCCTTTCTCAGGGTCTAGACAATCAGTGTATAGAATTTCATTTAAATCAGTTGAGTAGTTTTGGTGTGAAAGCGAGACAGATAGACAGACAGTCAGACAGAGTTACTTTCGCATTTATAATATTAGTAAGGATAAGAACATTTTTAAAGGAGGTGATATGGATGTAAAGTCTGATATAATTGTACTCTTCATAATAACTTAAATTAGTGTTTTACATCCGAAAATTATGAATTCAGATAGAATTGTGTGGTATGAAGAACATAAGAAATAAAAAAATAATTTAAAATAAGTTTAGTGTAGCAATCAATCTTTCCTCTATAATACCATCATTAACAAATTTATAAGAGTATTTTGCAGTGATATTTTTAAAGATGGAAAATTTACTTGTATTTCATACAATATTTAAATTATGTAATTATTATATGAAATACAAGTACCTATTAATATATTAATTGTAATTGTTACAGATTTTTTACTATAGGATAAGAGATTAGAAAAATGAAAGAAGAATGATACATGTTTACAAGTAATGATGTTTTACAGCATAAGAAAGTTATATAAAAGAAGTTTATTTTTTGGTGTCTAATATAAATTTAGTATAAAAAAGCATATATAATATAATATAGCATTAATAATTTCTAAAATATAAATAGCATATATTTTAAAGCCCTAAAAAGCAGTAAATTAAATTATTAACACATGAATTTTATTAGGCTATTATACCATATGGATATATTAGTAACATACTAATTCATTCTATTATAATTTATTATACTATTCCAACAAATTAAATATTTAGATCTGTTCTGAACTTAATTAAACTATTTAAAAGATTAACTTCTTAAATTGACTTTACATCATCTTCACTTCTATGTTATAAGATATCATGACTTCTCAATATCCACAGACATGAGTATACTCTATTCATAGGCTCAGAGTTCAGATTAACTTTAGACATTAAAAATGATAATACTCCAACTAAAGAACCTATATTACATATTTATTTCCATGTTAACTCTTTATATCTGTCTATGTCTCAATTGGGAAATAAAATAATCATAGTTAATTTGCTAAATAGTGCTGAACCAATTTTCAGAACTAATAATACAATCCAATTAAAAAAAAAAGAAAGTGCGTTATTAATTTTACTAATAAAATCTACGCAAATATTTAAATAATGAGTCAGATAGGATGTAGTGAATTTGGATCCGCATTTTCGCCTGCACACCTATTTTAAACAGGATATATTGCTGTAAATTTGGTGTGACGAATATTTATCAAGTATGAAAATTAAGTAGAATAAACTTTATTTAAAAGGAATTTCATAGCTAACAGTATTGGTGACTACGCAAAGAAAAAAAAATAAAGATCGATATGTAGGCTGCTATCGCCATCACGGTGAAATTAGGTACCTGTGCCAACGACGATGACCTGAAAGTCAGTCGGTAAATCGTCGTCCATTGTTTATTCCTATTATTCACACTTACTAATTTAAACGCGTTATTCAAAATTAAAATAAGATAGCAAGTTTTAACTTTCTTTTCTGTATAGTAGTATCACTTCGGCTTTTGGTGACTTGACAATCACAGATCAGAAAGACTATCCACGACTGACAACAAACTGACATGCGATCATGCCAAATTTATCAGCTCACAGAGTACTGATCCAGACCCACATTTTTCTTAAAAATAATAACGTTTCTGAATATTAGCAGTTCATAGTTCTGGAAAAGCCTAACTTTGTAGTCAGGTGTAAGATATTCAATGTAGTATGGAGATTTTAATGTTATATCCAAATAATGAATTTCGTTATACTATGCCTTTATAGAATGCGTATTAATTCATAATGAAATTTCTCAATAAAAGTTTTAATCCTCTTCGGGCAGTTTAATAATTAACAAATTGCAAGGTAGAAAACAAAGTACATCTCGTTGGTTTTTTTTTTTTGTATGATAATGGAATGGTGCTCTCGCCTGCGCTAACGGTTTACGCTGGCGGGGCACCAGTGGAGGATGATAAGATGAGCATGAGGTCAGGTCAGTTAGCCCATCGTGATAAATTCACCAGGAATTTAACACGATGGTTTCCAGGGGGAACCGCGTGGATTAGCGGATTAACAAATCGCCTTACTTACGATAGTCCTGGGTTGTATTCATCGCATGGTGCTAACATTTGTAGTCATGAGTAGGTTTGATTGTTTCTATCGGTTTAGGTGTTTTCCATTCATTATTTAAGCATATACAATAAATATATATTTAAGTGATTTTATCCATGGTTATTATTTTGTCTTAAAATATTTTTACGCAACTACTTTTATTTCTTACTTAATATTTTATTTTTCTTCTACTTAATATTTAGTAAAATATTAAGTACTTTATAATGTTATTACATACCTACGTCTATTAGATTACAGTCAATTATGAAGTTTAGAATGAATCATAGAATTATGCTACAGGAAACTAGCTGAAGAAATTAAGGCTATATATACATATAATCTAATATTTCAGTCTGACGTTGTAAATGAAATGATGCTGGAGCCTCCAGCGTATTCTCTGCAATAATTGTAAGGTCAAATCGTCTTGGCTTACACTGTATTTGCCCGTTCCAGGGAGACACTCGAGAACTCTCTTCCCTAAAGGCTTGGTTGAGCGTAAGGATTAGTCTGCTTCAGTCACCACGACCAACGACATATTTATTTCCATTACATGTACTTGTATTACATCTCTTTGATTTTTATATTTTCTTGTTCTTACGTCTGTTTAAAAACGAAATAGTCAAAATTCATGAACATTCTCCTTGACGATGTGGATTATCTCTCGGTAGAATAAAAAAATGGATAAGCATTCAAATTTTAAACAACACGTTCATATCAATAAAGATTGTTTCTATTCTATTCTGTTTACCTAATCTATTCTAAGTATTTAGTTCTTTATTACTATTGAAGATATAGTAGTTAAACGCATACAATAGAATACAATAAATGTTATATTAGTTGTTGCTTTAGTCACTGTGAATTAAAGAAAAGTGTATAATAAATGGAAAGATTGTTAACAACTTAACACTTGTTTCTCAGGTTCACAATGTTTTTTCTTTGTATAATTGCTTTTTTTTATGTTAACAAGTAAGAGCTGTTATATTATACAAATGCACGTAGACGTCACGATTAGACATTTAGTTTCAGATTCATACAGGCAGCGAAATAGAATATCCCAACCTAATGACGATGTACGTGAATATAACACGTTATTATTTTAGTTTTATGCTCCAATAATAAACCCACCAATGTTTATTTGGCTTACCAAAAAAATGTGGTCATGAAAAATGAAACAACAGATATTATGTTGTTTTATATTTACAATTTTTTTACATAGATTTCAACATTTTACAGACTACAGGGAGCTCTTTTTAATTCGAGCAACGAACATTACATAAACTAACACGTAAATCTAAATCGCAATAAAAACGACTTGTGTGAGTCAATCTGCTACTGGGACCGCGTACCGCCGTGGCCTGCGGTGGAATTGGTACACTAGAATCAATAAAATTCTGGTGTCCATTAAAATAAGAACAGTGGCAGTTTTGTTAGAAAAGGACATTGTTACGAGCAACGTTTATATCTTAGGCCGCTACCGACTTTATTTATTGTTCAAAGGACGAATTGGTCTTATGTGCCCTCCATTCGTTTAAGGGTAGTTACTTGACTAATTATAATACAATTATATGTTATCAAATTGACTTTGCACTGACGACTATCTACCCTAACAAGTAGAAGTACTATCTACAACACCATATTGAGTCGGCAAACTTCAAATTATAGTATACCCACTTTCAGTGGGCTTGGCACCTAGCCCGGTAATAGATGAAAACTTTATAAACACAATGGCCATTGTTAGAAGTTAAAAATTCTTCGAAAACTATTAAACTTGCCTATTAATAGTAAGTACATACATTTAATGCGCCTATAAAAGACTAATTCGGCAGATCTTTATTTTCTAATACTTTTACAAAGAACACTAGACGGTGTACATGCCACAGGATTAATGGTAAAGGGATTTTAAGTTCCGAGACTGAACGACACCAGCACACCACCATATCAATCAACTAGGCTGTTAGCAAAAAAACGAGCGATAATATACATCCGGCTATAAATATACATGTAAATTACAGTTTATCGTAATCTGTGAACATCAACATTGCGAAACATCAATTTATTAACAAAAACAAACTATTTACATACTATTCCTAATTTTATAAACATTAAAATATCGACTTTCTTCTTTTAACTTTTGTTATTTTATAATATTTAAAAGGAAGCAATTGATAAGCCAATTTACGCGAGAATAGCTTCAAAACAATTTATTTTTATAGTTTAAATATTTCTAAATTTGTCATTCCTTAAACAAATTAATTACTTATTAAAAAAAATAACGTGCTCCTATGCGTTTCCATTCTCTCTGGTATCTGACCGATCTCTTGATTTGTAACTTTAAATGATATGTGCTTTTAAAGTTCAATCTGATATGTTCTTTTCAAGTTAAATGCGAATTCAAATTAAATTACTATTAAAAAAAAGTCGATACTTTCATGTACCAGTAACATGTAACAGTCGGCAACATGTGCCAGCGACTAGAACAACGTTTCTCGCGAGTGCGAGGCACGATCTAACCTCAACGGTAGCGGCGTGGGTCGACTCGTTAACTCAGTACTTTCGCCGAGTGCCGTTGCCTCACCGCCACCACTATCCGTCGAAAATTGCTCCACCTCATCATCCGTAGAGTCTGCTTCATCTTCAGCAAACACAGAGTCTGCGCCCACAGATACTAACTCGCATTCTACCGCATAAGACGGCCCCACACTACCCACTGAGGCTAGTGGTGCTAACCGCTCACTTGGGCATGGCGACAACCGACGCTCTGGTAAAGCACACACTACAGACGAACCACGACGTTCCAAATACGAACTTCCAGAACTTGAGCAAGTCGCGGAGCTTAATCGTCTATCCCTAGCTCCACCTGAGGGGCGCCTCTCTGCAAATCGTAATGCAGATCCCGGTAATGAATCACCACGAAGAGTTGATAAACGACGAGGTGGTGCCAACAAACTTCCATAACCACCGCCGTACGATGCGAAGCGAGAAGTCCGTGGCCAAGGCGGTTCTTCGCTAATAGAAGGCCGTGAACGGGCTCGTTCTGATAAAGCCTCTTCTATAGCCGCCGTTAACTGTCGCTCTTCTTCAACCGCTTGCTCTTCAGCAACCACTGCCTCAGCTAGTTCTACTATTTTTGGATCGTTAAGAGCCTTTACAGATTTGCTTCGGCTTTTATAAACAATCAGAAATACCATTAGCGCGAAAAAGCCGCCCAAGGTGGCGGCTATGCGCACACCGGTCATGACGTCATAAGTAGCGTAAAATTCGATACGCACGCGATCACGAGCTGCTTGCAAGCGATCGGTATTGTTTTCAGCTGCACCCAAATCTCCGCCTCCCCATCCATCTCGATGCTCCATCGTAAGGTCAAGTGTTCATCGCCTGTAACAATGGTATATCGAAGATAGGATTACCATATTTTAGGATTTCACAGTTATTATTATACAATTTAATATCAGAATCAGCTATTTAATAATGCATACTAGAATTTTTATTTATAATAATATACCATACAAGGCTTTGTACAAAGTACGTAGGCAGCATTTTTACGATTCGTGTTATCATGAAAATAACTTTTATGTGTACCTAGACAAAAAATAGAAAAAAGAAAATTCTCTATTCCTACCAAAGCAAAGTTTGCGGAGACCAAACAACAATGTTGTCACGACTTCCGTTTGGCAGTTGCGGCGTAGCCTCGATAAATCTAGGACACGCTTACTCTATCACAGCTTCATAGAATAGGATATTCAGATATTATTTCAGGTTCAGATTACTGATTTTATATGTATAAAATCATTACAACATCACATTAAAGCACCAACATGGAAAGATGACCATAATACATGTGTGACCTAGATTTCATTCTTATCCTCGACGACCTCGGTGGTCTTGCGGTTTAGCACACCGCCTTACTTCCTTCAATTCCTCGCACAGCACAACTATTTGTATTTAATGAGTATGATTCTTTGTATCGGTCTGGGTGTTTTATAGAAAACATTTAAACCGATACAAACGATATAAATAGCTATATATATTTTAATAGATGATAATGGAATCATGTACCGGGCTGTGTTAAAACGCTGGCGGGGCACCAGTGGAGGGTGATAAGTTGTACATGAGGTCAGGTCAGTTAGTCCATTGTGACAAATCCATCAGGAATTTATCACGATGATTTGGAACCGCGTGGAGGTCAACCTGACATAGTACATTATTAGGGTCAACAGTCCACATTACTAACAATCCCCTTTCCCCCACATACGTATATTATGTATGTATTTACAAAAAACATGTATCGATGTATTTATATTAGTTGTGTAATACCAATGACACAAGCTCTGCTTAGCTTGAGACTAGATGACGCTGCATGAATTGTCCTGAGATTTATTGAGGTCCACTAATTCCTTAACTCATTCCCCACAAAGATCTACCAGTTTCACTTCTTGACCAACAAGGACTTTTAAGTCTTATCAAACTAAAAGTGATTATTTAAAATTATGTCTAAAAATATAGTACAAAACGATCGAACTAACCATAATTTTAAAGCGTGAATATTCCAGAAAATATTTCAGGAATCCCATAAATTAATGCCAAGGGCAAACCTCATTGTATTTGAGGTGTTGTGTAAGGGAAAACACTTTAACGCCGTATTTTCCATGAATCAATTGCCTGCTGGTCAATAAATTTATAAAAATAAACCATAACAATCAATCTACACCATCGAGAACATGATTATAAAATATCGTGCTGTCTAATAACTATAAGGACGTTTCGAGACAATGTTATTTGCTAAATAATTCAAAGTTATCTATGGCAAGTTGACGTCGTTCTTTTCTCTATTTGCGCTATATTCAAGTATAAAAAGTATAAAGCTATTATGTTTGCGAGTTTCGATGTTTAAAGTATAGTACTGGAGATTCGATCAATTTTTTATACTATTCTATTGAATAGGCTATCGTTATGTTACCTAATGTACAGTCTACCTCAATAAATAGGCGATAGCCTAATCATAACGTCATACTACAACGATACGACAAGAGCAGAGCTGCAATGAAGAATAATGCAAAAATTGGGAACAGTTCCGCGGGTCAAATCTAATATATAAAATTCTCGTGTCACAGGTTACATGTTTATACTCCTCCGAAACGGCTTGACCGATTTTGATGAAATTTTATAGATGTACATTCATTAGGTCTGAGAATACGTATATAATTAATTTTTATACCCTTAAGTGTTAAGGGTGGCACATCTAAAATTTTTTTTATGTTAAAATTTTTATTATGCGGTATTAAAAAATACATACAACCCTAAAATTTCACCCTTCTATCACCAACCCCTTATTTTTTATAGCATTATTAATTTATATGGCAAAACAACGTTTGCCGTGATGGCTAGTATAACATATAATAATTAAATACCTCTCCTATAGACGCACATTTAACGTATAATGCAGACGAAGTTTCGTGGGTCATAATTTATTTTATATATGTATAGACAATTTATTTGCATTTTGTTTCACTTTAGTCACTAAGTTTGGATAATACTGAACAAAATGGTAAAACAAAACCCTTTACGCATGTACGTCTATCCGTCTCACAAACTGAAACATTCTATTATAGAAACTATGAATAATTTTAAATACCGTTGGTTCACTAGTAATGGAACGTATTATTATTATATAAATTATAATTAAAAGGTTTCGAAATTACCTAATTACTACATACATCATATACAAGGAGTTTACACGTACTATAAGCGCCATTGCTTAGTTGGAGCATTTTTTTACTCATGATTGTGAACGACATGTTCTATTTGCCACATTTTGTATTGCCAGTTGTACTATAGATGTACTCATGTTTCACAACATACATAAAAGATACGAACAATTACTTATATTATAGTAAGTAACTCAGTATGGAGTACACGTTTTTTGCACGTGTATGTAGCACAAAATAAAAAAAAAGCCACACATGAGACTTCAGTTATAAATTACAATGTTCTTAATCTGTTACAGATATACGTATGTGGTTTATTAGAAAATATTTCTTTAATATTTCCAGAGGAACGGCCGAATTAAAGATTATAATATAATTCAAATGAAACATTCTATAATATAAACGAACGTGATTTGCTTTATTGTTTATCGCAGTATATCGATGCAGTTGCTCTAAATAAATGCAGGTGATCGATATATTGCGTCCAACAAACAATGAGAGTAAAAATAGCGACAAAGCTGAAGTACCAGTGTGAGTCGAGCGTTGATGAGGCAGCACCAGTTATTTTATTAGCTCGTGAGTGCTGTTATTTGTTGAATAAAACTGCAAGATTGACTCTATTATCCATTCGCACAAATATCCTTTCAATCGTTCCATGTGAATTTGTACACTATCATAATGCTAAAGCTTTTTCTCAACCGAAAAGAAAATTTCTAAAAGTTATTTTGACTGCAGTAGCGGAATTATATACTAAATATTTTTCTAAAAAAATGATTTTTTCCAAGAAGATTTTGACCAAGAAAAGTCCCGTCAAAATCGGTCCAGCCATTTCAGAGATTAGCCGGAAGAAACAGACAGACAAAAATTGTAAAAAAATGTTATTTTGGTGTATTTACTTCCGTATGCATGTAGTAAAAAACGGTTAATATTATATTACAATATTACAAACAGACACTCCAATTTTATTTATATGCATAGATGTATAGCTTACAAATCAGATTAACTGTCTCACTGATTGTTGTTCACGGATAAACGCCTAAAGAAATTTGATTAAATTTTATGGAGATACGTCCAACCCTGATAAAAGGCAGGTTACTTATTAAATCATTACAAAGTACCATTTCTACGCAAACGAAGTAAGGGTAACAAAGCCTTCGTACATTAGTACCTATTGAAAATGTAGGCTCTTTGTTATCAGTTTCAGTATCGAATCAATTTATGTGACGCACCTAGATAAATGAATATTCAAATAAATGGATAAATATTGTGAAAACGTTATTACGCGGAGAACGTCGATATAATATTTACGATAGTAGGAAGAAATAAAATTAAAACAAAACTAAATAGTTTTGAAATGTTACTTGTTATCCTATTAAGTAAAGGTACCTTCCAAAAATAGAAATACGTCGTAAAAATTGATTATGAGTGTTATTATTACCATTTATTATTTTGTCGTATGGCGTTACGCTTGTCAATTTTTAGAAAACATGTATAAAATTTACGTTCTCAGACTAGACATTTCGGCCGTATGTTATACCAAACAGACGTAGATGCATTGACATCCTAAATTTTTTGTAGGGAGTCCCTGTACGATGTAACAATTTTGTTTAACAGGGGATGATTATTATAGGTTTTATTTTGTTTATGATGACTAAAAGGCGACCAGAATACACCAATTGTATACGCTATGGGGTCAATATCATCCATTCCGATAAATGATGAATGATATAAAGTTAAACAAAATCAGGTCAGCCAGGACGCGCATCACCCGTGACTGATTCACCAAGAATTATAAACAAAGGTTTTCGTGTGGAGGTCGATCTAACAATAATATGCCTTACTTGAATAAACACCTACAACAATAATTATTGAAGCTTTTTTTTTAATAATAAAGATGTTATATTGTGGTAATGGACCTTTATTTAAACCTTCTTTATTATAATATAACTAGCATCCATCTCCGCCTTCGCATCTTATATAAAAAAAAAAAAGAATTTATAATTATCAGTTATCTGTAGTATTCGTAACACAAGCTATGCTTAGCTTGGGACTAGATGGCGTTGTGTGAATTGTCCAGGTTATTCACACAACGCCATCTAGTCCCAAGAATTATTTATCTTTACATAGTATAAAATGAAGTCCCTTCCGCTGTCTGTTCGCTTAGATCTTTTAGCAACAGATAGTGATTCAAGAGGAAGGTTTATATATGTAATTCATGTCCACCCGACATGACGGAAGGAAGACGGAGGATGTTTCATATACCATACATATAGAAAACACCCAGACCGATACAAACAGTCATACTTATGCATACAAATGTTTGCACCATGCGAGGAATTGAATCCGAGATCATCCGAATAAAGTATGCTAAAACCGCTAGACCACTGAGGCCTTAAAATACGTCCAAAGAATAATATTTACTCTGGAATTGTACTGAAACATCTTGTTTAACAAAAAGAACTATGATATAGTACCGAATTACCGACGGCGCCTACTTTAGTACGCCTACCTAAATCATCTATAGTGTGTAAAGTTTGACACATACAGCTACTTCCGCGTTACGAACAAATTCTATCGTATCACAAAACAAAAGTATATCGTGGCTGTCCCTATATATACATACACATATCTATAGGACTTATTTTTGGCATCCGCTCTGGACAGAGGATCTCGAGTTCTCGACTGGTTTGTATAATGTTATAACCAACTAGTTCGAATGCCGGCACAACATTAATTGTTCAATTTTATTGTGCGTATAAAACCGATTGAGTCTTGCTACTGATCTACTACATACTCATACTATCTATAAACATATTAGAACGATATATCATGGAACATGATTTTATTACTCTGAATCCATACTAATATTATGAATGCGATAGTGTATCTGTCTGTATGTTTGCAACTTCTTTATCAGCCTGTGTTATATAATTATTGGGTGTCGCCCGCGACTTCACCTGCGCATGCCCCATTCATCGTGAAGGTGGAAAGCGAGCAAATTCTGGTTCTTTCTCTACTCCTTTATTTTTAGGATTCCAAGACTTAATTAATTATGCGCTATTACTAACAATTCTTAATTTTAAGAAACTTAAATAAACGGGTAAGAAACTTTCTATGAAGCATTTGAAAGTTGCATGACTGTTAAATTGTTCATACCACATTGCAAAATCCTCAATTATAATGTTTCTTAAATTTTGTTACCCTCCCCTCTACCGTCTAAAAAGTTTATGCGGAAACATTACAGCACGATTGTGGTAGTCCGTTCGGTTTTACGTCAGTGACTCACAGGAGTATAGTTGAGAAACTGAATGCTACCAATTTAGATCATAATCTAACATACATATTTGCAATAAATTTAGATCATAATCTAATATACATATTTGCAATAAATTTAGATCATAATCTAATATACATATATTAATATTCTCCTGTCACAGTGTTTGTACATACATAAGGATTGTTATGATTTTTTGTGTATATTCACTAAATCTCAGAATAGGCCGTAAACCATTTAAATGACAAGGATGGTTCACCCCAATTACAATTAGTTTTTGAAAAAAAAAAAATTATGATACAGCATTCAAAAATAGATACAACGTTGAGTTTTTACCCGTTTTCCGTCAACCCCTAATTTATTATTTTTTAGGTAATAGGGTAATAATTGATTAATTTATGTGGCAAAACAGTGCTTACCAGATCAGCTAGTAAGAATATATACATCTTTATATCTACTATCCCAGATGTGGAAGTCAGCAGCACTATCAACTGTGGATGGTGTTGTAAACACAACACTTGATAAGCCTAGATCAGGGTACACAAATTTAAATAGACTGGCAATTTGAAGAAAATATATATAAAGAAAGAAAAAAAAGAAAGAAAATTGTTTAATTGGTACACTGAAAATAATTTTTAAAATTAAGTTTACATTTTATATTAATAATTAGAGTACCAACTAGGTCTCCGCTCAGCATATGTCGTGACGGGGTGCCACGACGCTGGTTTTCAGCGGACACCTTATATACAATAAATATAATAAAATAATAATAATAATACACATAGATACATAAATCCAGGCGGACAACACAAAGCAAACATTTACGACATAATACCATATATAAATAAAAACCAAACATAAACTACACACTGAAAACATAAAATAAACATAAACATAAATTCTGGTGATACTAGGATACCCTGCATTACCCCGCTCTTGGAGTGCAGACACATCACGGCACAGTTTTCTGAGTGAGGAGGAGTATTTTTTTAAATTTATTTTTAAAAATCTGCACAGTTATTATATTTAGTTTAGTATATTTTTTTCTCTCTTAGATTAGAGATCTACAGTCTGTAGAGTCAAGTAGGTGTTATAAATTACTAGGCTATATACTATACTAATAAATAATAATAATAAAATATATATGTAAAGGAATGCCTTTACATATATATTTACATATACCTTTACATATACTTAAGATTTAAATTTTTTACTGATGCCCATTAGGCATCAGTAAAAAATTTAAATCTTAAGACCATACTAAAACATATCCAGAATCTATGTGTATGGAAAGAAATTAAAAATTATGTCTAATGACAAATCACAACTATCCATGTTAAAGATAAAAAAAACAAATAATTAAACCACTGTCAACGCTGAAAAGAATGAAGATGGAAAAAATGCCTACATCAGATAAATTATTCTAGTAACAGAGAAAAGAAATGAGATATCCTAATTAGAAGTAGAGTCAATGACATTAAGTAGATCGCAGGGAAATCATGGAATCATATGGCATGATACAGTTATGTATAGAAAACTGAGAAGTGTTCTTTGCATCTTAACTGTTAACATGAAATAGGTAAAAAGTACTATAATAAAAAGAATAGTTCCTTCACAATACATATTAAAAAGAAAGCTTTATGTCTAATAAATAATATATTTATAAAGTTATACTTAATGTTTTAGTCTTAAAATTTATTCTTAAATATATACAGTTGTTCTATTAAAAAAAATTAAGAATGCTTTAGTTTAATTTTAACTACTCCTCTATTTTGTGAAATCTTTAGCATTAATGAAATGTTAGTAAAAATAATTTTGTTTATAACAAGAACCAAATATTTTAATAGCATAAAAATAAATAGACCATATTAAAATTACGGTAATATTAGAATGCTTTATATGTTACAGCTGCAATTGCATGTGGTTTATTACCACCTTTTTATAATAGTGTCATTTTAGATGTAACAGGTGGATTCATATACCTCTCTTATTATATCTTTATGTCAAAATACGGGAAAAAATGCAAGAAAGAATGCTAATAGGAATGAATATTTACCAGCTGAAGAGCATGATCCGTAGCCTGCAGAATTTGACGAATGCCTTGGGTAGCGATGATTTATTATAAACATGTCCTTGACAAATTGAGATAAAAATACAAACACTCATACATTGAAAACATTCCAAGTTTAACTACATTGTGCACTAAATAAAATATCTATAGATATTACTTATTATTAGATCGCACCAATGTATCTGTAATGTATGGTTTTATCCATGAATTATCGAATTTATTTTGTGAAAATAATTACCAACAAAATAAGTAAATAACTAAACTGATAATTTGATGATAAATTATTCAATTTGATTTAAAAAACAACAAAAATCAATTTTCATTATTTTCAGTTTGGATTTTATAGAAATGAAATGAGTTTGACATTATGACACTGACATAATAAAATGTGAATTTGAAAAATTCATTCATGATTTTCAGAGCTACCTCTGACTAAGCGAAAGAAAGATGCGTTCGAATTCTGAATTTTCTTATAATAACTTTCATGCAGTAAAATAAAAATGAAACATTTCTAATAATATTTCCGTAGGTTTTAGAAAATTTTGTTACTAATATTTGAATTTAATCTATAAGTTGGCACCAAAATTTATAACTTTATGGTCACTAAACACTAGACTACTCACAGAGTGTAAATGGTAGTCATAGGTTGTAGAGAAAGGAATATGGCAATGTACATCCTCTGAACCACTTTTGATGTGGACATGTTTTTTAATGTAATATGGCGTCATAATTTTTGACACCTTCATTTGACTCTTTCAATAATTACTGTGATAATTTCGATTGGGAGTTGGTTGATCTTCAAACTCTACTTCTCTCTTCTACTACTTCTGTAAACCGGACAGATTTTAACATTATAAGACGCAGTCAATTTGACATTGATAATCCTACATTCACTGTCATTCAGATATAAATAATGCTATCTGGCATTTCAAAATTCAGATTTTGCGACAGAAAATATATACTTGTTAGCTATTTATCGTTTAATTGAGTTGTAAAATTGCTGGTAGCATTTTGGAGAACAAAAAGAATACCGTGTAAGAACTTTTTTATGTTTCATACATTTATAATGTTTGTACTTCTTACAGGATCATATATTATTTTAGATAAATTAAACATTTACTTTTATCTTATTATCTAATAGAAGTTAGTTCAAGAATAGAAATGTCTGATGAATGGAAAGATTACGATAAAGATTCAAGACCTGCATGTAAGTATGGATCAAAGTGCTATCAAAAGAACCCTACACATCATGCAACCTATAAACATCCACCACTACAGAAGCGAGTTAAAAAGGAAAAGAATCGTATACATCCCTATAAGAAACCAATAAAACCTGATATTAAGACTAACGCTGAAAGTAGTGATAAGGAAAGTAAGAAACATAAGGAAGCTTCCACATCAACAAGTAAAACACAAAGCAAAGAAGTTCCATCCTGTACATATGAAACCACATGCAGTATACAGCTACCAGAGACCATAAACTACTATGATAAAGATACAGATCATAGTGTTATAAAGGAATTGTTTTTGGCAGATATGCCTTCTGATTTTTTCAAATTTTATGAATGTCTGAACTGTATGGAGAAAGGGATTGAGAAAACTTTATCAAGTGTGAATCTGGAAATGATTGGTCCATATGATTTGTTGACTGGAAAGTTGCCTAAAGTGGATGATAAAGAATTATATTTGATTCACTGGCGATTCTTCTATGATCCTCCAGAATTTCATGTAAGTACCATATATATAATTTAACTAGACTATTGTATTATTTATATCTTTTCATTATTTGTATATATATATACAAATAATGAAAAGATATATAAATGTAAATTTAGTATCTATATATTATATTATGAATTTTGTGTATTGTTCTAAGTTTTTAAGAGATATATATTTAAATTATAACATTTTTGTAACACCTTAAATTCAATATAAACTTATTACAAAAGTTATATTACTTTAATTAATATGATTATTTTTAAATTTGGATACTTCAACATTATACTGTCAGTGTTACCCACTTATTACTTGCTATTTACATTTACATTGCTATTCCATGCTGTTGGTTGACTGGGTAGAGACTGGGAAGAGATAAGTCCACCTTTGCTCACATTGTTTATAATTAAATTTGTTACTGTATTTCAAAGTGCAAGTAAAAACATATTAAATTTTATATATTACTATTACTTTACAGGCAGTCTTAAAAAAAAAGGGTAACAGTCAATATCATATTGGTTATTTTAGAGATGACCCTGATGAGGATCCAGTATTCTTGGGAAGCAATGATAGTGCCAAGGGCTGTACCATTAGTATTATGTCTGACAATATATTTGGAGCTGTATAGTAAGTAGAATATTTCAATAATATATGGTATGTATTATAAATTTAAAAACTAAGATACTGTATATACAAGTATATCTTTAAGATTCAGACTGCATATACAAGCCATAATTGTTTCTAATTGCCATGTCTAAGCCCCTGTGCCTACACATGTAATATTTCTCTCAACACTTGAGACCTGTCCATTAGTTTTCATCTCCACTAATAAAGATTTAAGTGTAAAGTCAGTCTATGTCCCGACTCCGCGTAGACTGTACGCATTATTACTAAGCCATGTAGCACACTACCAATAAACTTAATAATGTACAATTTTACTGGTATACTCACTACCTACATACTATAATATATTATGCTGCGCCATCTCATCACAACATATATAACACTACAGTGATGAGAATAAACACCGCGCTACACCCCAATTGGTTATATGACTGGCTGGTCTATTCTGTAAAATCTAAATCTGAACGAATGAAAATAGATTGCATCATTTCACACCATTTTATGTGCTTGAATTATACACTAGCAACATGATTAAATTCCATATTTTGTGTTCAACAAAAGTTCTAACTTACATTCATATCAATGTATTTGGTTAAATATGATCAAGTTGCAAAAAAACAGTGAAGATGTGAATTGAAATTGAAATCCATATTGTGATTAGACTGGGGTCTAATAGTAGACATACCATATTTAAAATTTGTATATTAAATTGAAATCAATATTGTGATTACACCCTATAGTAGACCTGACAGATTTAAAGATTGCGTATTAAATATTCACAATAGAAAATATAATTTTAAGAAATAAAGAGTATATGAAGAGAAATGCTGAGTCAAAATTCACTGTAATTATCTCATCTATTGTTTTGGGAATAGGTATTGTTCTTATTAAAGTAAGGAAATAAATTATGTAACATACTTTTACAGTATGTACTTGCAAAATGAAAAAAAAACATCTCCCTTTATTGCAATGGCATGTGAGAAACTCATTGAGAAGATTAAAAAAGTAGCAGAAGAAAATAATTATTCACTAGAATACAATATTAAGAAAAGATGGTCGCAGGCAGTGACTAAAACATTGCATGGAGCTGGGATAGTAGTGCCTTATAATAAGAAAACGCAACTTGGCTATAGACATTTAGTGGAATCTGATGGTTAGTCTTTCTTATTAACTATATAAAAAAATAAATTCGAGATTAATTATTTTAAAATTTCATTATTATTCGACAAATCGCGATTTTGTAATGAAATTATAATTTATTTATTAAGGTAAACAATGGATTCAAATATATTCTCAGTTATTTTTAACGCCACACTAAGCTTAACTGTTTTTCGTATATTAACATTATATTATTACTTTTAGCAAATATAAAAAAGTATTTCACACAACTTGAAGCAGCAGAATCTCAAAATGAAAGGGATAAGATACTCTCTGACCTGCAACCAGTAATAACATATGCCAATATAGCAGTGGACGAATGTGACTTTGGTACAGGTTTAGAAATTGGAATAGCTTTATTTTGTTCTGGACTAAAGATTCTTGAACAAAATGCTCTAAGTAATCTAACCTCTACATACACTTTACTTAAAAGGATGGAATTTATTAAAATAATCCAGGTATATGTGATTTCTAATGTATTTTTTCTTTTTATCTGTCTATAGACGCAACCAGGTTAATATTTGTAATAGTATTTATGAATGTCACACATATGGTAATTATGATACAAATTGCAGTATTGTTTTTAAGTCTTTGACAGTAATTACTTCTTTCATAATAAAAATTAATAAAGAAAATTAGAAAAGTTAAATCTGATTCAATATCTAATTAAAAAAATATTTTTTACCTAATTAATAAATAAATGTCTTAAATCTCTAATTAAAATCTTAGTGCCCTTAGTTTATTTAACTGGTATTATTATTTACATTAACAATTAATTAATCACCTAAAGCTTTTATTTATTTTCTCATATAAAGAAATATATAACAGTTGTTTCATTACTTACAGGCGCATATCAAGTATCGTCGCACAGGATCAAATATGTCCATGTTGGCCTCTAGTTAGTAAATTGAACAATAAGATTGGAAGGTGTGAACAATAGGAATGAATGTTGTAACAATCAACAATAATGTAACTAAAAATCTATTGTACTTAATTATTTTGTGTAATCTCTGTTTTTTTAAGTTATCTAATTTAATAAAATAAATGCTAAAATAATCGAGTATTGTTATGTGGAGAGTTCTAGTGGTTTTTACCTCGATTTATAATCCAAATGTCATGAGCATATCTAGCCAACACCAAGGAAATTTGTGTATAAATTTATATCTTTGCCTGACTCTACAATAATTAAATAATAATTTATAAATTCATTCGAAAGAAATGTGCTGAATACAGCTGGTTATAAACAACAAGGAATTAAATAACATATAATAATCAAGAATGCTTTATTATTTCAAACAAAATCAAAAATGACATCATGTCTATCACAAATCAAAAAAGAACAACTGTACAAAAAAAATATCTCAACATGAGTTGTCCATAGTCTTTAAACATAAGATTTATTAATTGAATTATTTTGGTTTCTCAGCACTGCTAAGATGTAGAAATAGTGAAATTGGACAGTGGTCACTGCCATAAACACTGCCCCTTATTACGTTGTCGCAAAGTGACGGTAAGATCCTTTGAGATACTATGAAGTAATCCAGACGCCTAAAACAAAACAGTAAACGTAAGTCGTAAAGTGACTAAGAGGGCGCTTTATACGATGATTTTACAAAGGCACTTCAGTGTGTTTAAAACACATCTATGACACTCAACAGCCCTGCCCATAGTAGAAATATTCCCACTATAGGCAGGGCTGTTGAGACTGACTAAATAGATTACTGTAAAATATATAGCTAGGGAAACATAAAGGTAGACTTACCATCCAACATTTTTGGACCTACTATTCATCATGTATGTCCAGAAAGTGTAAGCGCCCGTTTTGTCCGGATACAGGTGTCGGTACGTATCCACGAAGCCATCACCCAGTAAGTCTGTCATTCCAGTGCGCTCCTCTATTGTGAATCCAGCGTTCTTTTTGTTTGTTTTGGGGTTTGCCAAATCTGTTGATAGAATATAAGTTAAAACACTCACCATGATATTTTTAATAGGTAGGTAATATTATTTTGACGGAAAGAACAGTATCGTCTTATTAATTTAACTGATACACCATCAAATACCTTTATTAGTATACATGCATGATATGTTTATAATTTTTGTTGAAGGGGCTACGCGCTAATTAAGTGGTCCTGCCAAAAACCATTGTGTATTAAAAACAAAATTAATAATTACCTATTTCGTTATGCGCTACGTTCATATCTCCGCATATTATAACAGGTTTCTTCTTGTCTAACTCATTAACATATTTACGGAATTCCTCATTCCATTGCAGTCTCTTAGGAAGTGTGACTAGATTGCGGCCAGCATTAGGGACGTAAGTACAAATCAAATAGAAGTGTTCGTATTCAGCTGTTATTATACGACCTTCACTATCCAGATCCTCGTTTTGTAAGCCATATGTCACGTTCATTGCTAATTTAGTTGTATAAATTCCTACGCCCGCATACCCATCTTTGTCACTACACAGCCAATAAGCGTGGTAACCTGGCAAGTTGGTGACTTCATTAGGTAATTTGTCCCGGGAACATTTTATTTCTTGTAGGCATAAAATATCTGGTTTCTCGTGCTGTATATAGTCCAGGCCACCTTTAGATAGCCAAGCTCTTATGCCGTCGACATTCCAACTGGCTATCTTATAATTCCAGTCTTTACCTTGTGCATTTTTACATGAGTTTGAAAAATCTAAAGCTACATAATCGGTAGTTGCTTTATTTTTAGGTGATGGTTTCTTTTTAGCGTCCTCTGTTATGCCAATAGCTGAAAATCAATAATACCGTAATTTTAAATAAATCGACAGAGCGAATATAGTATCTAATGTTTTAGAGAGGACTTTGTACAAGGTGCCTTTTCAGATTTCTGTTGCTTTTTCTGTCTTCAAACAATACAACACATGAGGGCTAACATAGGCATAGGCATACAGCGTTATATGCTTGGTGCTGTTCATGTATACACATAGGCGACGCTTGCCACTTATCTGTATCATTAGATGTGCTGTCAGCACGGTATAAATTTTTGCGGAACATAAAACTTATTTTTACTCATGTTGAGATGTTTGAAATTGCGAAGCTAAGCGATAGTATTTCAAATGTTACTAATTGTTTAGTTAATTTCTGTATTAAGCGTGTAAAGCATTTGATATCTGTCCATGCAGTGGAGTTAGTAAGTAGTACAACATTGAATGGCACGGAATTATGGCATTAACTACAACTAGTTCCCAGTGAATTCGTCCTGGCAACAATTGCGAACACTTTACTTTGTGGCGATTGTCACAAACAATAAGTAAAATATAAAAAATACAATTTGTCGAATGCATGTGTCTAGACTTTTCGTTAATGAACATAGAACATATCAGATTAATGTATGCAAGCCTAGGCGAATCTGGTACTCTAAGTTTAATAAAACACTCATGTTACATTTCAAAATCGACTTTAAAATGTACTTCATTTAGCTAACAAGTACTATTTTTAGATGTTTGTGTAGGTATAATTTCTTGAAACGGCAGCACAATTTACACTATGTATGATCAGGGCAAATTGAATGAGCAATTTAAACAAGAGGAGATAGTTTTGGTCCTTGGGGATTTACTATTATATATACCAGAAACAAAAAAAAATGAAACAGGTGGCAACTAGATCTACAGAGGAAATTTAGTATGGGTGGCACTTGCGTTCATAGTTAAATGACTCTGTAATATAATATAATTAAAGAGCACTGCAAAAACTTACCTAGTTTGAATCAATAACACTCGACTTGAATTTTCCTTCAGGAATTTTCATGCCTGTACAGCAGTCATTGTCTTAAATCATGGAAAGGCTAGATAATATTTTTTATAGTCGAAAATATGAACTGGGTGAATACTGAATTTTTGCAGAGCTCTGTATAATCCAGTTGGTACCATCGTGAGAGTTTTGTACTACTAGTTATACCTTAAGCTTGTTAAGTTTGTGTAGTCTTTGGCCACCTATCCTATTGTATATACACATAGGTATATCCCCACTATAAAATTCACTAGAATAAAAGCAATCTTTTTAGGTTTATTCCTAGTGCTCCAAATCCAAATATTGTTTGTGCAGATTTAACTAATGTTGGAGATTTGAAAGTGAATTTAATTGTCACGATTTCGCATCTTAATAAATAATTCTGAAATTTGGAATTTACGAAAAGCTATAGGTAATAGGTTTTATATAAAGACGAAAATAGCTATTTTTCCCTGGTCATTGATAGCTAATAGGAAGAGTTTGCCAATAATGTTTAAACATAAAGATATGATAAAGTTGAATAAATTACTCTATATGTATGCGAAATATTTAATCGAAATACGGATATTAATTTTTTATTACATAATAATGTAAGCAACAATATGTAACAAATGGCAGCATGCTAATGGCTTATCTGGAAGAAAATGATGATATATGATTTGCATCAGACAGCTAAGTAGTATTAATGCCACCCTTGATATGGGGTTATTGCTCACCTGTTACAAGAAAACCTCTCTTGAACACATAGAAATCTGTACAGATTCTAATGTAATAATTCGAATGATTACTCTCATTTAGAGGTTTAGGTATATGTAAATAAATAAATGTTAATTCATTGGTTTAGGTTAATAAATCCATATTTCTTAGACAATATTTTCCCTGGTTAGGTTAGGTTAGTTCAATAACTACAGGATCTACAATTCTTCTACCATTAACCAACCAACAAATATAGATATCATCGATTTAGGTGTTGTACCCACAGGTATGCTTTCCATTTCAAACTTGTTGACATCAAATAAATTCTCTTTGTAAATTATATTTTAAGAACAATAATAAGTTCCGAAAACATAGTACTGGCTGATATTAAAATTTACCATTACAAATAAAACTTTTAAATTTTAAGATTTATTTATTAAATAATAATAAGTAACACTCAATCATAATAATAAAAACGTGAAACAATTATTGTCAAAGACATCCTCAACAGAACTTATTAATTACACATATTTACCCCTTTTCTTCTTCTTTGGTTCGCCTGTGTCTTGAGATTCATCTTCAGTAGGACTTGCGATTTCAGCTAATTTATTCTTTGCTGCTCGCTTTCCCTTAGCAGGTTTCACTTCTGCAATTCCATTCTCTTCTTGTATTTCTTCTTTCTCATCACCTTAAAATGAGATTTACATATATTGTCAGTATAACAAAACAGTAGTATGTACATTGCTTTCTATAAATTCTTAAATACTTGAGAATTCCATTGTAAACATTGAAAGTTAAAATGTTGTCATAGCTATTGTTACTAAGTTTACAATTACCAAATAGTCAAATTAATGAATTGGCATATTATGGCAAATACATCAATTCTGTACTTTTTCTGCAAAAGATTTTTTGGTAGCCTTTGTCACTGCAAATGCAAAATACTAAAAACACAGAATCAATTAACTACAGTTTTCTTCAATGTGAGTTTTTCTCCTAATACTGCCTCTTTTTATATTCTCTGTTACAATTTCTAACTAGAATATCTGCAATTATGTTACAATGTAAGCATTTTTATTTAGATACAGAGTAGAATATGTATAAGGACTTAAGACCTAATTATTCATTACTTATATGAATATATAACAAGTGTTAGCCTAAAACATGAACGAAATGAAATATATGTTATTAATTAGAGTTTCATTATTAAAATAAAGTTAAATATTTACCTTTAGGAAGTAGATGATGAGAGGGTGCCAAAAATTGTATTTGTCTAACAGAGTATACTAAAATGACTCTTTTAGAATTATGTAAAACTCTTATACATACCTTTACCTTTTTTTTCTTTCTTTACTTTTTTTTGTTTAGGTGCAGGTTCATTTTCCTTTTCTTTTACGTCCTCCTCTTTTTCTTTCACCTCCTCTTTACCCTGTGCTTTCTTTCCTTGACCTTTTCTAGCTTTAGTTTCCTTCTTTTTATTTTCTTCAATTGGTTTATATTCCTGAGATTCATTTTTATCACTATCTCCATTATTTTCTTTAATAGGTGCTTTGGCTCCTCTTTTTTTGCTTTTAACCGGAAGCTCAAATTTCACCTCTTCTTCAATAGTTTCAACATTTTTTTCTGGTTTAGTATCCTCGTCAACTTTGGTTTGAGGTTTACGGCCTCTCCTTTTGGCAGTAGATTTATCTTCTGCTTGTACTTCCTCTGTTTCACCATCATTAATCTTTTCTTTTTTAGTATTTTTTCTACTTTTTCCATTATCTTTTGGTTTGACTTCAGTTTCTTCTGATGCCAATTCTTTTTTAGTCCTTTTCTTACCTTTATCAGTGTTGACACTGGCTATTTCATCTGTATCCCCATTAGCTCCATTATAGTCACCATTTTGGTCATGTACTAACGCATTTACAACAATCTCATTAGCAGGTTTTTCTTCAGATGTCTTAAGTTCAGCCCCTTTTTTACCTTTTTTAGAAGGCGGTGCGGTTTCTTCAATTATGTCATTAATTTTATCCTGTTCAAGTGAATTGGCTGCTTTTCTTTTACCGCGTTTTGTCTTCTTTTCCGACACTACTGTAGGTTTTTCATGTATATCAACTTGATCTTTCAGATTTATCATGGGTACTTCAGTAATTTTCCCTTTGTTGCGACCCTGTTTTGGCACTTCATTTTCAAGGGTTTTGCTGTCTGTTTTCTACAAGAAACAGTGAAATTACATTAAATTATATTAAATGACATTATGTATTCATTTAAAAAATGCCAATTTCTATATCTCTAAAATATGATATTTATTGTACAAATATGCATTTGCATGTTGCTGAGCCATATTTATTAGTTATTAACTTTTATTATATAAAATATTTTTAACTACCACCTTACCTTACAAAACTTTAGGTACCTGTTGTTGTACATCTATTTGCAATAATAACTAAAATGTAGAATATTGCAAATTGTGGACTATGCTTTCGTTGATAAGAATAATAAAATTCACTTAAATAATATTATCAACATTTTTGGGAATTTGTATTATATTATGAATTATAAAAGATAAAGATCAATGAACATCATAAACTTTTGCACAATGTAATACATATACAATAAGTAGGAATTTAATATTGCATAGAGGCATTACTACACACAAAATACACTTCAATACAATGCTCAAGTACATTATGGCATATTTTCAGATGAATAATTATAATTTAATCATTCATATAAAAATATATCAAGTTTAATTCTAACTTTAAAATGACTGAGTAATATGTTAGGTAAACATATAAGGGTAAGTATTTATAATTAATAGGAAGTAAAAAATTAGGAGGGAAAATACGTTATTGAGATACATGGGGTGTAATAATATGCTGTATATATTTAGGCTATAATTAGGACATTCGGTCGCGTTCAGTTAAAAGTATCGATAAATTTAAAGAACATTCATGGTATGAGATGTGTCTGCAAAACACGCGGTCTTTAGTAACGGACAGAGGCATGTTAAGACAATATCTACTCCCTATCATTGACAAAGACGCAACCGACGATATGGTGAGTAACACATGGTCAAAACTACTATCATATCGGCCGATAAACGACATTAATGAAAATGGGAAAAGCAAAGTTTGAAATGATGTAAGTAAACATCTAAAAATGTTACCTAAAAGTTACTAAAACCACACTTTACCTTTGTCTTGGCAGTTCTTGGCGCCATTTCCAGTTTATCAATAAGCACGGTTATTAACAACTACTGTAGTAATTTTAATAACGAATTTTATGTAAAACCGGCACCGGTAAATGTTAGTGCGTAGTTTATTAAGAGTGACTGGGATTCTATAAATTAAATATTTAAACTAAGCAAATATGCGTTATCCCGAGATGTTTTTGGGAGTTGTTTCAGTTTGGGAGCGAAAATCACAGATCAGAAAGACCTAATAAAAATACTTAAATTAAATTACCGGCAAATTCAGAGAAAGTACATATACAAGATAATGACAAATTACTCATTCAAATATTCAAAATGACAGCAATACGTCATTCATAATCACAACAATACAAAAGCTGTGTAGGAGCCTTCCCTTTGCCTTTCCTCTAAAGGATAAATAAAACCAAAAATCTGTCCTGGAAATCATAGACAGTTGCTTGCTGTCATTGTCAAGTAATTTGATTTATTATTTCTGACTTGTATCGGTACTCGTGCCAGTTCATCAATTTTTAATTTAATTTTCCCATTTGTTTCCCATGCTGAAAGCATCAATCTCTGACAGACAATGGTATGCTTATTTTATTTATTGCACATATATAAAACAATATAAGTAGTCTAAGCAATTAAATGTACGGAAATCATCTCATGTTAAAAGTATGGTTATCCAACAGCACATATTTTTACTTTACATAAAAACTTTTACAATATATTCTATATCTTATTCATAAAATTCTTTAGATTGATTTTTGTTCCTAGCATCTATGTATAATTCTAAATTTAAGCGTAATATTCTTTGGTTAGTACACAAATTAATAATATCCATATGCTTATATTAAAACAAAAGAGGATAAAATGAGCCAAGTTTCCCCATATGGCTAGATAGTGCTTAATTATGCATACACACAAATTCAAGAGCTTTATTTCAGGTCATATTACCTACTGTAATAATATTAACTGAACAATTCAAGATCTTGTTAGATATTTAGTTTATCTAAAACAATTAAAAATGTAGGTTGAAATATTTCACCGAATTTTACAGTATGCCAGTGGCTTTGTAGCATTAATGGTTTAACCTCTAAGAACCTAGCTTTTTATAAATTTTAGTTAATGATCTTCATGAGTTGTCAGTAAATTATATTATAAGTTTATAATGATTTTAGGCAAATCTAGACAGAAAGGGCACCTTTAAGGTAGAGTATCTACAAGAGATTGAAAAGAAGGTCCAACAAAAATGGGATCTAGAGAAGATCTTTGAAATGGAAGCACCTGAGGATGGAAAGGCGTATGAAAAATTCATGTGCACTTTTCCATATCCTTACATGAATGGACGTTTACATTTGGGCCACACTTTTTCACTTTCCAAGTGTGAAGTAAGTTTATAATTTACTTGTATCAGATGCTAATTAATAATACAATAATTTATATTGTTTCATCATCCTCATTGCTTTGTCTTTGCATTTGTGTTTGAGGTCAGCAGCACAATAATAATAACAATATATATTAATTATGTATCAAGATATAACTTATCTATATAAATAAATAAAATTGAAGTGCCTGTTAGTGCATGTATGCATTTAGTGAAGCTGTTAAGTTGAAATTACATACTACAACTACATGTATAATAAAATAGAAGTATACTATTTTTTTGTCTCATGTGTTTGTTTGTCCTTACTAATCTCTGAAAGCTATTTGTATAATAAATACTGAGAGCAACCTACAAAGTATTTATTTATTTCAGTTTGCATCTAGATATCACAGATTAAAGGGGAAATTGGTGCTTTTTCCATTTGGTTTCCACTGTACTGGAATGCCAATTAAAGCTTGTGCTGATAAATTAAAAAGAGAAATGTCTGTGTATGGTTATCCACCAGTTTTTCCTGATGAAGATGAAATAACCATACAAGAGGAAGGAGACATAGTTCCAAAAGATAAGAGTAAAGGTAAAAAAAGTAAGGCAGTAGCTAAGGCAGGTTCTGCAAAATTCCAATGGCAGATTATGAGAAGTCTTGGAATACCTGAGGATGAAATTAAAGAATTTGCCAATGAGTCTTATTGGCTGGAGTATTTTCCACCTCGAGCTGTAGCAGACCTCAAAAGGATGGGTATACATGTGAGTTAAATTAGTAATCTCATGTTACAATAATAATCCTCAATCTACTATAGTCTGAGTTATTGTAAACAAACAATGATTTCTTAACTCAAAATTATATTGATTGAGAATGTAATCAATGATATTATTTATGCAAAATACAAATTAAAATTTAAACACAATAAAATTATAGTACCAAAGTCTTGCGCCATAGCTAATGTTTAATTATTGTGAACTAGTTTAAATAGCAATCAAATAAATCCTAAAAAACAATGTCTCAAAGAGATTATATATTATTGCTTGTTTTCCCTATTTGTTTTTAATCCCTTCGCAGGTTGACTGGCGTCGTAAATTCATCACGACAGATGCAAACCCATTTTATGATTCATTTATTAGATGGCAATTCAATCATTTAAAAGAGCGTAAGAAAATTATGTATGGCAAACGGTACACTATATTTTCACCTTTAGACAAACAGCCTTGCATGGACCATGACAGGAGCTCTGGAGAAGGTGCTGGGCCACAAGAATACACTCTAATCAAAATGGAAGTTCTAGAGCCTTATCCAGCTATACTAGCGTAAGTTTTAAAGAGTGTATTTATGCTTTATACAAAAAGTAATGAGTAGTAGAAATATTGTTATATGCATTGTTGTTATGTATTTTAGGAGTTACAAAGGCAAAAAAGTCAGCTTTGTTGCAGCAACACTAAGACCTGAGACAATGTATGGACAAACCAACTGTTGGGTACATCCTGATATTAAATACATAGCTTTTGAAACAGTCAAAGATGGTATATTTATATGTACAAAACGTGCTGCTAGAAACATGGCTTATCAAGACTTCACTAAACAGGATGGTGAATTCAAAATTGTGCAGGAAATTACAGGACAAGACTTACTAGGAGTGGCTTTGAAATCTCCATTCACTTGTTACACAAAAATCTATGCTTTACCCATGTTAACTATAAAAGAAGATAAAGGCACTGGTATTGTCACAAGTGTGCCTTCTGATTCTCCTGACGACTATGCAGCACTAGTTGATCTACAAAAGAAACCAGCTTTCCGGGAAAAGTATGGAATAACTGATGATATGGTAATGCCATTCAAACCTGTGCCTATACTCGAAATTCCTGAATTCGGAAATTTGTCGGCCGTACATGTGTATGATAAACTTAAAATTCAAAGTCAAAATGACAGAGAGAAGCTGACTCAAGCCAAAGAAATGGTGTACCTTAAAGGCTTCTATGATGGTGTTTTGCTAGTTGGTGAATACAAAGGAAGTAAAATTCAAGATGTGAAGAAGAATTTACAAAATAAACTGATACAGGAGAATGGTGCTGTGGTTTATTATGAACCTGAAAAAACTATTATATCACGTTCGGGCGACGAGTGCGTAGTTGCTCTTTGTAATCAATGGTACTTGGATTATGGGAATGAGGAGTGGAAGAGCCAGGCTGAAAAAGCCTTAGCAGCTATGAATACATACCATGATGAGGTTAGAAAGAATTTCCAGGCCACTCTGAAGTGGCTGCATGAGTATGCATGTTCAAGAACTTATGGTCTTGGTATGTAATCTATTCATACTAACATAAAACTATAAAACTAACTCCTTTGTTTTGGTATGGGTATTAATTGAACCACAAGGAACTTGTACTTTTTTTAATTACACTATATGGGCCCAAAATTGAGTAAATCACTAGTCATTATATATTTTATTCTTCATCCTAGTTCTAATTTAAGGAATATTTTTCAGGAACAAAATTACCCTGGGATACACAGTGGGTGATAGAATCTCTATCCGATTCAACTATCTACAATGCATACTACACTATAGCACACTTCCTTCAAGGTGATACTTTCAGAGGTAACAAAAAAAATGCCCTCAATATTAAACCTGAAGAGATGACTAGTGATGTGTGGGACTATATTTTCTTCAAAGATGCACCATTCCCAAAGAAGACAAAAATTGCAAAGGCATCCTTAGATCGAATGAAAAGATCTTTTCAATTCTGGTGGGTGAAATGATTAACTCATTAATTTATTCACCTCAACCTCAAATGAATTTATTTAATGTATGCTTAATTTCTTATTCAAATTCTTCATCAGGTATCCAGTTGATTTGAGAGTGTCAGGCAAGGATCTTATACAGAACCATTTGACATTCTATATTTACAACCACTGTGCGATATGGCCGAACGAGCAAAATAAATGGCCGAAAGGTATCAGGGCCAACGGACATCTGATGTTGAATTCCGCCAAAATGTCAAAGTCAGAAGGAAATTTCTTGACACTCACAGAATCCATTGAGAAATTCAGCGCGGATGGGATGCGGCTCACGCTGGCCGACGCTGGTGACTCTGTAGAAGATGCAAACTTTGTGGAGAGCACAGCTGATGCGGCTATATTAAGACTGTATACGTTTATTGAATGGGTTAAAGAGATAGTTACTACTAAGGCTACTTTAAGGACAGGTGAGATTTTTTTTCCTAAAATGTTGTTTTTAATTTTCTAATATAATGTACAATAATTGTAATATAAATATGTGACTATGTGCCAATGCTAAATAATGAAATAAAGACAAGTTTATGTTCATCCTATTTTGTATATCTTATTCAATGTTTTATATATATTTCATTTTTAGCAATAGAAATTTCTTAACTTATTATTACTTATTCTGGTAGATTAAAAATCTTTTTTCAATATAGGTAATCTAAATTTCCACGACAAAGTATTCGTAAGCGAAATGAATACGAAAGTGTCACAAACTGATGATAATTACAACAGAATGCTGTTCAAAGAAGCTCTAAAGACTGGTTTCTTCGAGTTGCAAGCAGCCAGAGACAAGTACAGAGAACTTTGTTCAGAGGGAGGAATGCATGCCGATCTTGTCACGAGGTACATTGAGACGCAGGCCAAGTTGATGTCGCCTATTTGCCCTCACGTTGCAGAACATGTTTGGGAATTGCTGGGAAATGTAAGTGATTACTAATCTTTATATAGTATAAAACAAAGTCGCCGCCACTATCTTTTAAATTACTCAACGGATTTTAATGAAATTTTCAGTAATGGATTTATCCCCTTAGGGGTGGAATTTATCAAAATCCTTTCTTAGGGTATGCCTACGTCACAGTAGTGTTTTATGCATGCAAAGTCTCAGCCCAATCGTTTTAAAATTGACAAAGTTTCATACAAACTGTCATCCCCTATTTATCCCCTTGGGGGTAGAATTAATCAAAATCCTTTCTTAGTGGATGCCTACGTCATAACATCTATCTGCATGCCAAATTTCAGCCCGATCTGTCCAGTGGTTTGGGCTGTATTTAGATACATGCGTGTTATAGTATAGAACAAGCCGAGATATTACAAGATTTAGGACGAGTAGTAAATAATAAACTATTTGACAGCTAGAACTTCAATGTTCCGCAGTCACTTATATCCATTGTAATGAATCTGTAATTTATATTAACCAAATAAAAATGTTAAAAGATGATAGTTGTTGGCATCCTACTGCCTCATATAGTTTATCATAAATAATATACAAGTAGTATCTTGCAGCTTATGAATTTATATATAATTACTTGTATATTTTTTAAGAAGTTATCTTTAACACTATTTTTTTTTATAGAAAACAAGCATTCTTCATGAGCTGTGGCCAGTAGTGGGTGATGTGGACGAGGTAGCGGTTAAGGCAAGCAACTACTTAATGGACGCCGCTCATTCTTTCCGCATATATCTGAAGAATCATTGCGCTGTCAAGAAGCCTAAGAAAGGCGAAATTTCAAAACCAGAGAGAAAGCCTAATAAAGCCACAATTTGGGTTGCTAAAGAGTACCCAAAATGGCAACATATTATTTTGACCACTCTAAAACAACTAAATGGGGTAAATATACTTGTATATTTTCAATTTTACGAGCCTTACCTCTACCGTATTATGTGGTGTTCATTATGACATCTTCAGTTGACAATCTCCCTGACTATTGTAATATTCTGTTACAGCCCGCGGGTCTTCCGGATAATAAGACAATATCTAGCAAATTAGGTGAAATTTCGGAACTAAAGAAGTACATGAAGCGAGTGATGCCATTCGTGCAAGCCACAAGGGAAAACGTGGAGCGCGTGGGGGCTGAAGCACTTTCTGTAGGGCTACCGTTCGACGAAGCTGCTATACTGGTGGACAATAAGCAATATTTACTTAGCACTTTAGACGTGAGTATTGTCTATATGGTGTTATGCCAAAATAGCTGAATTATGTTATTAATATTATCTTATGATATTACAATAACAAATGTATAATTATATCTAATCAATGTATATTTATGATCATTGAAGTGCGCGCTTTCAATGTCAGTAAAATATTAGAATAAGTCACTTAGCAATTATCCAGTGAGGTCACTACGTTCTGAGATTGTATTTTTTTTACTTCTTTTTTATTAGTTCAGAATTAGGGTTAGTAGTGTAGGTCATTTTTCAAATATTTTCTAAGTTTCTTAAGTAATCATTAGACATTCAATGTTTCGTGCGGCGGTACGAATTATTTAATCCTATATGTAGTTCCCTATCACAGACAACTAAGATGTTACGTCTTCTTATCCTGTAACTTTACTACCATATCCTCCCTAATACAAGCACAGTGAATAGGTGATATTGAACTACTCACATAGACTTTGTGCAGTGTCAACTGTTATTTATCTAAAATACTTCATTTACAGCTGGACAATATAGATGTTAAACATACGGATTCTGAAGACGCGCCGGAGAAGACGCGTGAGGATTGTGCGCCTGGCCAGCCTCACATCACCTTTAGCGTCGAGGCCGGTGTCACTGTAAACTTGATCAACCCAACTCCACAAAGTGGTCTGTTCTCCATTTCTATAAATCTGGCTGATGGGGATTCAATCGAGAAAGTAAAGTCGAAAATCGTAAAAGAAGTGAAGACAATTAAAGGTCGGTTGTTAACAATTTAGAATATTTTGTAATGTGCGATAGTATCATCATCATCTGCTTCTTCCTTATCCCATATATTTGGGGTCGGCGTAATATGTTTTTCTCTTCCATTCATCTCTGTTCGCAATCATCTCGTTTTTACGTTGTACTGTGTGATAGTATATAAGATAGAATATATTTTGTTGTACAAGATATCATTTAATCTTCAGAATTTAGAAAAAAATAATTTCTCATTTAATATTTATTAAACAACAAACATATTTATTAAAAAATTCATTACAAACAAATAGTTCTATGTAATAGTTCTAGTAAATAATTGTGTTAAATGTCAAAACGAAGTATTATTTCGACCCTTGTCATTTTTAACTAAATCATGAGATTAAAATATTTAAAAGTGTGTTCTAAAGGAACTTTTAATTTCAGATGCAAATTGTCTAAAATTATGGCGATACAAAGATCCCGCCCTGGGACCCAGGAAGATCCCGGTACCTGGAGACCATGAGACCAAATGCTTAGTTTTGGAAAATGATACAGTATTAAAAGTTGATGTGGCTACCAACAAAGTTGAGCTAGTCAGTAATGGCAAGAATATAGATATAGGCTTGCAAATAGTATACACTTATGAAAAGTAACTTTTCATAAAGACTTTTATTACTTCATGATAATAAATTATTTATTGAACAATTTTGATTTGTTATTTATTCTGAAATAATTTTGACGATTGCCGTGGAATACATTTTACCTTTTTAGTTTTTAGGAAGGCTAGTGACTGCGGTACACGGCCTGGAAAGACTGTCACATTTTAGCCCTTGTACCCACCATACAGCACAAATAGATCTTAACTAAATTGTCTATGCACAGAAGTTACTAAGTTTGGTGTACGTAGTTCCTCATTGACTAGAAAGAAAATTAGGACCCCTTGAATGATAAGTATAAATAACATGTAAGGCTAACTCTTTTCTTAAATTCTGTTACGAGGAAAGGTCTTCAAAATGATCTCTTAACTGGACTGTAGAGTTTATTTACTTAATTCGTGAAGAATATTCTTTATATTTTAATACAGTACTGCTTTGTTTAGTTTTATTCTTCTTAAATTAGCACGAATAAAGAAAAAATACTTTAAAATAGTTAACATAATTTAATTATTACATCGATATAATTATTATACAGTAAAATATGGGATATCATGAGATATGACTAAAGCCGGCATCAGACATGGCTCCAATGTATGGCACGGGTATTTGATTTTTTCAAAGCATTCCATATTCAATCAATGTGCTATGTTTATCTCTCTTTGTTTGGTATTATATGTTTTCAAAGGTCTACAAATATATTCCAACCTTTGAAGCTATGCCTGGCTCCCGGATTAATTAATTTAGTTAATTGCGGCTATATGCTGCAACAGTTCGCCCGCTAGGTGGGTGCGCCTGCGAATAGCCGCTCGAAAGCTACACCGTCCGCCTCGAGCGGACGCGGCCGCTCCACCGGCGGCATTGTCGGCAGGTTCAGGATCGATACCTCTTTCTTAAACAATTGTCCTACGTTGCGACCGATTAACTGAAAATATTTACAAAAACAATAAGCCTAATATTTTATTATATTTACAGTATTAATATTGACAAAAATAATACATTTGTGGCGGATTTGCAATTGAAAGAGCCATGCACGAGTAATCTTGGGGCACTCATTGTGTCACCTATGTATATGTATGTCAAAATTGTAGTCTATTTATTTATAATAGAAGTATACATCAAAATTATCGCAAAGTTAAAATAAAAACAATCACCCATGCGATGGTCCGACCAAGTCAAAGCAGCGGTGTTCCACCCCACGAGTGTACCAGAATTAGATACCAGTCTGTATTTTTTTTTATTTATTTAATTCAAGCTACTAGTGGCCTATATTATAAATACCTCATAGACATAAAATACGTATGAAATAATATTATAATAAAATAGAAATATAAATTACATTATCTATGGTCACGGCACTGACGACGGGAATATGTCAAGTTTGAAATGGCCAGCTGTCGTAAGATGACATCTACCTCTTACTCCACTACATAATGACCACGACCGTTCTGTCAAGAGTGTATTGAATAAGCAACTAAAACATAATTACCCTAGAGGTGATCTTCTTGAAGAGGTCCCGTTTACTTTTGTCGATCTTAGAGGGCTTGGTGGTATTGGCAGCAAGTTTCTCGTCAAGTCGGTGAAGATCGTGTTCGTCCACGTCGGGAATCTCCCGTAGCACGGCCGCCACGCTCGGGAACCGCGGCCGTAAAGTCTCGTACGCCTATAACACACAGATACAGTATTAAAAATTTATGTGTATATTATTTTGTGTATATTAAGTTTTACAATATTAATTTCAATGTTCAATCACTAATGTTATCAAAATTGCAATTTTCGAAGGCTTCGATTTAGAGAATATTCTTAAATGTTAACGGTCTCGGTGGTCTAGCGGTTTAGCACATCGCTTTACTTCCTGTGCTTGCGGGTTGGATTACTCACAAGGTTCGCATTAGTATTTATGGGGGAAGGGAATTGTTAGTAATGTGGATTGATGACTCCGTTGCTAGCAGTGTACCATCCATGTCAAGTTGACCTCCACGCAGTTGGCAGTTGTTGGCATCGTGCTGTCGCAGTTACAGTTAGCAGTACCTGCACGGCGAGCGCGAGCAGCGCGGCCTGGTTGGCATCGTGCTGCCCGTGAGTGCGACACGTACCTGCACGGCGAGCGCGAGCAGCGCGGCCTGGTTGGCATCGTGCTGCCCGTGTGAGTGCGACACGTACCTGCACGGCGAGCGCGAGCAGCGCGGCCTGGTTGGCATCGTGCTGCCCGTGAGTGCGACACGTACCTGCACGGCGAGCGCGAGCAGCGCGGCCTGGTTGGCATCGTGCTGCCCGTGAGTGCGACACGTACCTGCACGGCGAGCGCGAGCAGCGCGGCCTGGTTGGCATCGTGCTGCCCGTGAGTGCGACACGTACCTGCACGGCGAGCGCGAGCAGCGCGGCCTGGTTGGCATCGTGCTGCCCGTGAGTGCGACACGTACCTGCACGGCGAGCGCGAGCAGCGCGGCCTGGTTGGCATCGTGCTGCCCGTGAGTGCGACACGTACCTGCACGGCGAGCGCGAGCAGCGCGCGGCCTGGTTGGCATCGTGCTGCCCGTGAGTGCGACACGTACCTGCACGGCGAGCGCGAGCAGCGCGGCCTGGTTGGCATCGTGCTGCCCGTGAGTGCGACACGTACCTGCACGGCGAGCGCGAGCAGCGCGGCAAAAAAATGTTGTATACTGGTTGGCATCGTGCTGCCCGTGAGTGCGATTGACGTACCTGCACGGCGAGCGCGAGCAGCGCGGCCTGGTTGGCATCGTGCTGCCCTGATCTACAGTAATAAATGCAGCCTACTACATTGAGTGCGACACGTACCTGCACGGCGAGCGCGAGCAGCGCGGCCTGGTTGGCATCGTGCTGCCCGTGAGTGCGACACGTACCTGCACGGCGAGCGCGAGCAGCGCGGCCTGGTTGGCATCGTGCTGCCCGTGAGTGCGCAGCGCGTGCAGCGCCGCTGCGAGCGCGCCGTTAGCCTCCGCGGGCCCCACCAGGCCGGCCGCCAGCGCGCCGCGCAGCGCGGGCAGTGCCAGCGCACACGCACGCAGCGAAGAAGGGGAGTCGTTCCACATCAGCGCGCGTAGCACCTGCACGTACACGGACATTTACATTATTAGCAATCGTGCGACACTTTACTATATATATACTTTAGAACCTCTCGAGTACTAACTCGAGAGGTACTAAAGTGTATAGAGCACCGACTACATTGTATATCATAATCGATGCGGCCCTCAAATTTTTTTTCTTTATTTAAATTACTTAAATTAAATTATTTAAAAAACAAAAAAATGTTGTATACAGAAAATTATAATTTGGTTTTGATGAACAAATTATTTTCTCATTTGCTCTTATAAGCATGCACTGCATCTAGCTACTACCAATATTGACGTTAATGTTGAAAGACAAGTAAAGCTAAAATAAAATAATGATATTATACCAGCATTTTGTTATTACACATAATTTGCGTCAATGGATCGAGTCATTTTTATTAACCCTATATCTGATCAAGTTTGGAAGCACTGATCTACAGTAATAAATGCAGCCTACTACATTGGAGTAGTAATTTGTCCTCTCAACGTCCATCCCTTCTCATTCTCTTAATATACATTTACATGCTCATTGTTTACTGCGTGAAAAAGCGTACGTGTGTAAAGGCTTTAATGTGGTATTATTATGTTTTTATTATTAGTGAATGAAACTGATTTTATAATTTTTGATTGATTGAGAAAATACTGAAAATTATTAACCCGCACGGCGTATACGTACGGTGTGCAAGAGTGCGGGCCCGGCGCGCGGGTGCTGCAGCAGCGCGGCGCCCAGCTCGGACACGGTGTCGGCGGCGCGCGGCGGCAACGCTATACTCTCCTCCTCCATCTCGCCGCCGCCAGGGCTCTCCGCCACCAGCGGACCGTCCACCAGCGAGATCTGGAAAGTAATACCTCTCAAACTCTACACGCATAACAGCCCTAATGAAAGGCTAAATGCGGACGACAGCTGGTAACTTCCTTAAGGGATATGTTGTTGGATTTATCGATATAGGAAATAAACTAAAATATGTTTTACCTTGATCACCTCTAAGTGTTCTCTTGTCAAATGTCTAACGAGTATATCTTCGAGTACCTCTTGTGATTCACTGCCAGCTTCGTCTTCTAACTTGCCCGAGTCATATAGTGACGTAATATACTCCCATCTTTGTGATAAATGCATTAACACTGGAACAATAATTCAGCATTATATCATTACGATCAAAATAAAAATATTACTATGATAATGGAATGATGCGCACGCTTGCACGGCTTACGCAGGGCATCAGTGGAAGATGAACAGATAAGCATGACGTCAGGTCAGTTAGCCCATCCTGGTAAATACCACGATGGTTTTTAAGAGAACCATGTGACACACATGATCATGACACATTTGCAATGAAATGAATAGTCCATATTACTAACAATCCTATTCCCCTGCTTAGACATATATCAGCGCTTTTTGTAGTCAAGTGTAACGCGTACTCACTAAATGGAGCTATGTGGTCGTGAAGCGGTAGCGCGACGTCGGCGAAGTGTGCGGGCGGGCAGTGATGCAGCAGCGGCTTGAGAGCGTTACGAAAGATGGGCCGCAGCCAGTGGTCGGGCAGGTGGTCGAGCCCGTGCAGCAGCGAGCCCGCCACGAACCGCGCCAGCTCCGGCACCGCGTACAGCTCGCGGCCTAGGGAGCCCGCAGCCGCGCCCACCAGGTGGCACACCTGCAACCAACACATTACCTCACAATGCGTACTCATTAGCTGCCTTTACACGCTAGTACGCTGTTTCACACACGATCAGCAACGAAAGCCAGCGTACGATTGTTTTTCTTTCGTTTTTTTAGAACGTGTCATGTAAAGTTTCAATTATTCAAGTCAAGTTTCAATTATCATCTTCGGGGATTCACTTAGCTGACTAGTACTATTATTAATTTTTCTCATTATGCAGTTTGGTTTGAAGTGTCAGATATGACAGCAAGATTACAAGAATTTGCTCACGTTTCTAGGTTACCTATTTTGACCAGGTGGATCATAAGCTTGTTATTTTAATTTTATAAAGAAAAATGCATTTATTATAATTAGAACGGATGCGATGTCACGATGTTTAAAGTAAATTTGGTAATATGCTACATATACAAATTTACTTTAAATTTTGGGATCCTGCACGTAGACGCGCGCGCGCGCGTGTTAGTGTATGTAGTAGGGAGCGGCGGTACTTACGTTCTCGTGCAGCGTGTACAGGAAGTTCTGCATGCGGTCCTGCGGGAGGGCGGGCGCGAGCGGCGGGGGGTCGCGGTGCGCGAGCAGCGTGCGGCGCTCGGCGTGCGGCAGCAGCAGCGCGCGCGCGTGGCCCGCGTGCAGCGCGCCGCCCGCCGCGGGCGCGTGCAGCTCGTGCAGCGCGCGGCACAGCGCCAGCGCGCTCGGGAACAGCGGCAGCACGTGCGCGCTGCACGGGTTGCGCCACACGGGGTTGCCCGCCGCCGTCACGCCCGCGCTGAACCCGCCGCGAGCCGCTCTGATGACAATCGTATCACATTACTCACGTAATTGTAAGCATACCGTCAGTAAGGGGAATTGTTTAGTAAAAAAAGTTGTGGACAGATTGCTAGTAATGTATCACATAATATAGTGAAAGCTAGTCGGTGAATAGTCAGAATATAATAGTATTAAAATATGAGCTATCATTATAATAGTTGCCTTTACACATACTGAGTGTATAGACAGCTTAATAGCTCTTTCACGCGCGAATCGGCTTGCACGTAAGAAAGAAAAAGGATCTAAATGTAAATCAACGGCGCGGTACTCACTTGTCGGGGTCGGCGGGCACGCAGACCCGCTTGACGACGCCGAGCAGCAGCATGAGCGCGTGCATGAGCCCGCGGCGCGCGCGCGCGTGCTCGCCGCCGGCGGCGGGCGGCGCGGGCGGCGCGTCGAGCCCCACGAGCCGCGCGAGCGCCGCCGCGCTGCTCACGTGCGGCGTCAGCTCCGCCCACCGCGCCGTCCACGGGCCCAACATCTGCGCATCATCATATCACATTGTTCACTTGTTTTATTTATTTATATGTTGCCTCGAATGTGGTCGAGATGGATGCGTGGACCAGGAATGTGTATATACGAGGAAGGATTTGAAAGTTGCGCCAGTTATAGACAAGTTGCCAGGTAATTGAGGTTATATGAGCATGTTACGCAGAGGAGTGAGGATCATGTCTCAGAGAAAGTGTATAATATGGACAGACGGAAAAGGAAAAGATGCCCTAAAAAAAGATGAATGGATTGTGTGAAAGACGATATGAATAAAAGGAGAGTAGGTATGCTCAGATATGACGGCCGATAGAAATCAGTGGAAGACGATGACATAATGCGCCGACCCGACCGAATATTCATTATTCGGTCGGGTCGGCATAAAGGCAAGGAAATTATGACCACCATTTAGTAATGTTTGACGCCCTCGATGGATGATGATGTAGTGGTTTAACACACCACCTTACTTCGTGTGGTCGCAGGTTCGATTCGTCGCACATTGAACATTGTATTCATGAATATGGTTGTTTGTTTTGTTCTGGGTGTTTTCTATGTACAATACATATGTATTTATGAAAAAATATATATCTATGTATCAGTTATCTAGTAACCATAACACAAGCTGTAGCTAGCTTAACTTAGGTATAGATGGCGCTGTATGAATAGTCCTGTGATTATTATTATTATTATGTTATAATGGTAAAGTTATATACGTAATTAGACACCTGTTCAACTAGAGCAGCTTGCCGCTCATAACAGCAGCAATGGTTAGAGACCAACAAAAGGGCCTCCTGCAATGTAACACTTTCAACTGGACTGAGATCGGGCCGTGCCAGCGCCGCCCGACTCATCTCCAACAGACGCGGGAACACGGGCAGCAGTAACAGCGGGAACTAAACATATAAATATTTTTTATTGAATTTATTCAACAGTTTTCTAAGTATTTCTATTTATATTTAAAACAATCTAAATATATATAACTCAAAGGTGACTGACATAGTGATCTATCAATGCACAGCCCAAACCACTGGACAGATTGGGCTGAAATTTGGTATGCAGGTAGATGTTATGACGTAGGCATCCGCTAAGAAAGGATTTTGATTAATTCTACCCCCAAGGGTATAAAATAGGGGATGAAAGTTTGTATGAAGCTTTGTCAATTTTAAACCGATCGGGCTGAGATTTTGAATGCATAAAGCTGCTATGACGTAGGCATCCCCATAGAAAGGATTTTTATAAATTCCCCCCCTAAGGAGATAAATTAACGCGAGCGAAACCGCGGGCAAGAGCTGGTCCTGTATAAGTTTTGTATACAGGTAATTTTTTAATATATACATTTTTACATTATAGCTATACATATCACTTATAGACTACATAAAAGTAAATTTTAGGTATGTAAAAATGAGGCGAACCCTTTGCCTCAGGATCACCTCGAATTTAGCCTTTTAAAAACTAATAGAAATCAATTAAACTAAACATAACCTAACTTAAGAAGTAGAAGTAGTAGTGCCATACTTGGGGACTACTTTAATAATGTTTTCTTTTATTTTGTCCCTCTATGAACAACTGTGTTTAAAAATTACCGATACAAGTAACGAATCCTGTCGTTTCCCTGCAATCAACATACCGGATTATCAGAGTGTAATAGTGTGTAAATGTACCTTGGTCGCGAGTTTGACGAGTAGGCCGGCGGCGTGTCGTCGCACGTTCTTCACTGCACGCGGCCGGTGGCCGTGGTCGGCGTCCGCCTCCGCCGCGCCGCCGTCGCAGCCCGCGCCCCCCGCGCCCCCCGCGCCGCCCGCCGAGCCCTCGGTCACGAGCGCCGCGAAGATCTTGTCCAGCACGCGCGGCAGCAGGTCCGCACCCGCTGCCAGCGCACCCGCACCTGTCGACGACGACATACGTCGCTCTCAATACTGCTACGTAAATAATCGGTGATGCGACTTGCATTCTTCTAGTCGGTGATTTAGGATTTAAAATGCAATGGAAATATTTTAAGTTGCATCTATATAATTTATTGAACACCTTTTTTATAGCATGTTTAATGTGTGTAACTAGTTTCATTAAAATTTAAGTGAAAAATTATTTAATTATATTACGTATTTAGTTTTAATTAATTTAATCATAATGATATTATTATGTATATGTATAATAAATGAACCTCAATAAATATATTAATACGTTTTAGTGTACAAAAGAAATTACAAATAGGTATTTTGATAATTACGATGATATGATTTTACAAAACAGCGCTATGTATTGTAGTTTCTGGTGAAGATATTTAACGCAAAAAATGTCTAATTTACTTACCGGCGGTTTGACTATATGCACAACTTATGAACACGAACAAAGCAGATATAAAAGAGAGCAGGAGCGAGAGTATGAGAGGTGCTGGTGGCTCGCACGCCACGCAGCGCTGCAGTAGCTGAAGACCCTCCATTACATTTGGACGTGGTTCCGCTTGAAGCAGCCGGGAGAGCACCACGTCCAGTACCTGTAAACATATCACAGAAATATGTAAAATAAATACCTAGCCGTCAATAAATAAAACAGTGTGGTCAAAATAGAAGCAGTTATTTTGAGTTATTAGTAAGCAGTTTTATGGTAATTGTTGAAAGTTGACAATATACATGAATAATAATAATAATAATAAACTTTATTCATAAATGCACGGTACAATTAAATATAGTTAGCCCTGGCTTTCGATTTAGGTGAAACCTGTGTCACGAAAGCCAGTTCCCTCCAACATTCTGTAAACATTTTTTGGTACATCTGCAGTTGTGTACATAAAGGAATAAAAAAAAAAAGTTAAATACTTTTGAATAAAAAATAAATGTATAAAAGAGACGCTATTCTTTTTGACATACTAGATTGTACTGAACTTTTATTTAACACAGTGAAATGAGAAAAAAAAATTAAAGTAATGAATAAAAATGTAATGCTGAACAACATTTATTTAAATGAGCAACGCGCAAGTTTTATCGTCGATTTTTATTGCGATAAGTCAATGTTCCAAATGAGTGATAGAATAATAGAATAAATAGAAATAATTATATTATATTTTGTTTATTTTGGCACTTTCCCGCCGTTTTGCTTTTCTAAATCAGCGCGCTTTGTACTAACTACCAACCAGTAAAAAGAAAGCCCAAACCGGCTGTCAGTTCGAAATTTGAAAAAAAAACAGGCAGTCAATTAATATAATTTCACTAATTACGTTTTACAACCCACACGTGTTTTATGAGCTGCTTTATATATCGAAAATTAGATCAATTTTACGATCAAGTGTGTTGAAAATATTATTTCTATTTCTAGTTTTAGTCATTGGGTACATTTGGCGAGTATAACAGAATAGAGATAGTGTAGTGTAGTGACCATAGAGAGCGCCTCCCACTCGACGTGCAGCGGGTGCGCGGCGTGTACGCGCGGCGGACAGGACGGGACCTTGTGCAGCGCGGCGCGGGTCCACTGCTCCACGTACGACCACGTCACCAGCGGCGCCGCCACCATGCAGTGCCTGCCGACAGTGCAGAGTACAGTACAGTGTACTGCACGTGTGCTTTAAAATTGCCAGGACACTCTCAAAATCAGTTGCCGCTTAGCGCTCCGCAGGGAAGACATTATTAGAATTGGACAATTTTTTGAAGACATACAGATTTTTATGCAATACAATGTGTACTTAACTTAAATTCAGACTGCAATATAAAAGAAAATGATAACTATGAAACCTAGGAAATCTAATTACCTGAAGCTCTCTAAAATTTCTACTCGAAACCGGCTGAAAAATGCATTGAATTCTTGTTCGCTGTCATAGTCTATACACGCATAGGTGACCGCATCATTGACGTCACTCGTTCGTGACGTTGGGTACGTTACCTGTGGGAAAGAAACATTTTAAAATCATCCATTATAAATGATCGCATTTAAAAGCAATTAAAAAGGCTCAACAAATTTTAATGAAATTTAATGTAAAAATAGACTGTACTGACAACTGCACTACAAAAAACCCACAATTTGTAATATTTTTCAATATAAAACATATATAGGAGTATACTGAATTAGATAATTTTTACACCCTTCTTTGCCGAAGATACATCTTACTAATCTTATAAACGCGACCTTTGTGAGCATGGATGGATGTTTGGTAATCTTTCACACAAAAACTACTAACGTATTTTAATGAAATTTTACAGTAATATAGCCTATACATGAACAAAACGTAAGCTACAAATTCCATGCGGGTGAAACTGTGGGATCTAGTGGGGGTTCAAAAGGTTTATATGTATAATACATGTACACCCGTGCGAAGCCAGGGTAGGGTAGCTATTATATATATAAATAATAATATGTTAAATGGAAGTTAGATATATTTGAATGTGTACTTACTTTGAGTACTTTAGGAGCGGATGCTTGCAACCATCTAGGTATGACAGCGATCAATTGTTGCAAATTCGGTATATAGTCATGTCTCAAGAACATCAACCAAACAGTATTCACTGTCTGTGTTAGCGTGAGGGACGGATGTGACGTTAGCAGAAGCATTGTTTCTAGAAGGATCGGCATCCATAACTCAGCATTGTTGATATAGGTCCAAAGTGAGACCAGTTGTTGACCAAGACCGGCTATCACCTGGAAACATTTCGTATATAAAGAACAAAAAAGCATTTTATGTTGTATATTCGATAGAGGGTAGTAGTTGTCCTGCCCTGAAAAGACTGGATGCAAACTGCCCTGGATAGAGAGGGTTGGCAGAAGATGGAGAACTTTTACCTGAGGAGGCCACATAACAAGAAAAATTAAAAATCTATTAGTTTTATAGATTCTACTACATATTTTTCAAATTCACATATTTACACTAGTGTTACTAAACACTTATAAAAATATTGAGTTTATTATGCTAATCTTCTCTATCTTAGGTACACCAATATACTATATACTTGTATATTAATTTATAACCAACCATAGCGTTTCCAAAGGTTTTCCAAAGGCAGGCGCCGGCCGTAAAATGCTTATGCCAAAAACCTTTGCAGTATAGTATAGTATAAATACAAAAATAACCTGTGAGAGTTTCTTGAGGAACAAATAGTGGTTTTCATCCATTAGATTAATGCTAGCGACTGCCGCCCGGTGGATACATGAGATTGCGTCTTCACTAAATAATATGATGAGTGGTTTCCGCTCCTTAGTCTGTAACAAACTTTTATTTACAAACACACAACTTGAAAGTCTTGCACTTTTGCTGTTGGAATTATTAATAAATAGAATGCTACTATTACTGTATTTATTCATAATACCAAGACCAGTTTTTATATACGGTCAATTTGTTCACAGTGGTAAAATGGTGATTCAGGAATAGTCAATATCATTATATATATACATTCAGAGTATGTATTTCATTGCAGACCTATATAAAGTACAAGTCCTATTTAGTTGAACACAGATGGCTTTATGTGATATGCTATTATAAATTTATTCGCTTTACGATACTAGATAGGAGAGGACAATTACTATATTAGTGGATGCTGTTATTTAAGTGGATTTTAACTTACAGAGCCTTTCCTATTAACTATTTGCAGTAGACACTCTGCAGCTGGTAGCTGGAATGCATCATCTTGCAGTAAGATACATAGCATTTGTAGCAAGCGTCCATTGTTCATAACAACGTGGTTTATTGACACCCATTCTACAAATCCCGTTAATGTTAACAGCACAACCTGGAAATAAGATTTGTTTTTTTAAATTAGATATATGCTAACACCATTAATTCATTGCGGCAATTTTTGCGCTCGATTCAATTCAAAATATCTTTATTTATGTAGGTCTATTACAAACTCTTATGATAAGTCAAATCTACCGTCAGTTCGGAACGATTTAGAGATGAGAACTGACAAGATTACACTACGTATAAATAAAATGAATAGAATAGAATAGAATAGAATAGAAAATCATTTATTCAAATAAACTTACATTGAAGCACTTTTGAATAGTCATAACATTTTTTTTTTTAATCTACCGCTCATTCGGAATGCTGTCTCATCACAAGAAGAACAAGCAAGAAACTTGTGTGTTGCTCTTTTAAATAATTTATTCTTACTTACAATTTAAGTTTAAGTGTGTGAATACAAACCACCGATTAGCACTAATTCAATTAAATACTCAAAAAGAAAAAAATATTGAATACATAACCAACTGGTTAAACAATTAATAAGAGGAAATCAGTCATAGTGATTAGAGCAGACCAGTCCCTACAAGCAGAAAACATTACATGAAAACATATAATCAAATAAAGAGGACAAGTCTACCAGACATACATACATAAAGTTTTTGATATCAACCAGATTTGAACATACTGATAATAGAAGTTCGCAATCTATATATTAATACGTAAAGCAAAAACTTTGTACACAGTTGTTTGTTTTTTTATAAAAGTTGTGCGGATGGAGTATGTTAATTCGCACACTTATAGTTTATATGGAAGTATAGGAATTTAATATATATTTTTTTAATTATGCATAAAAATACCTTGAAACAATAAAAAAAAATCACATATGATCCGCACAGGCATATATACTTTTTTTTCTATTATTATTGAATACCATTATTGAATTTATAGTTCAATTTAATTATGGTCGAATTTAGACCATTTCGCGACCATTAGATCTTATTCTTATTATATGAAATGCTAATATTTACCTGAACAACTCTACCATTACTGGCAGCGGCAACATAATCGCCAGCAGCAGTCTTTTCTCTGAACTCCTGAACATGCAATTCTATCAAACGCATGAAGAAGCTGAAGATCTCCGACATGTTACTTGTTAGTGCTTGGTGTATGTCCTTCCGTCGTTGATGCTGCTCCAATGTCTGTTGACAGATATAAGGTAATTTTTATATCTTATCAATAGAATATTAGAAACTTCTTCTTAATAATAACAATTGAACTTGTTTTTATATATCTTCCCAAGACACAAATAATAGTGATAGAAGAATATGTTGTTTTTCTAGCATTTACAGAATACACTATCGTTTGCTAATAAGTAATTTGTAATAAGTTTCGATAATATACTGACAACAATATATGGAACTAGTAAAGAAGTCACGATTATGTAAGCGATCTCCAAAGCGGATTGGAATCGATTTATAAGAGCAGATAGACAATTGATTAAACTTTACAGAAATATACCTTACACATACTATTATTATGTGGACGACTTGAATATAGATATAACTAAAATAAAAAGTAGACCTTCTACATATATTTTTTTTATACTAGCTGTGGCCGCGGTTTCGTCCGAGTGAAATTTATATATATTCTGCCGTATAAGCTATATTACTGTAAAGTTTCACCAAAATCCGTTTAGTAGTTTTTATGTGAAAGAGTCTGTTACTCTTTCGCGTAAAAACGACTGAACCATCCATACTCACAAACTTTCATGTTTATAATATTAGTAAGAATCAGTCAACTAATTTGTAGATCAGTTTTTCAAATTTAATTAAGAAAATCGATTATTACTCCAAGAGTACAATATGTATTTTTATGGTTATGTGATTTTGTGTGTAATATAAGCGACATAATAGCATAAAAATAAACAAATATTTTTCAAAGTCTGTGGAAGAAACAAATAAAGTAGAATGCGGTATTTCCTATTCACTGCAAAGATCAACGGGTCATGCATGAAGAACACTGTCAAGGTTGATTGTGATTCAATTATATTACATCACTTATACTATCATACTCTATTTTAATTTAATTTGTTGATGCAATTAAAGCGAAATTTAAATTAGAACAAATCAACAAGAATATTTGAAAGTATTTAAATTATTATATTGTTGTTATTATAAGTGGCGTCAATTTACATAGGCACAGAATCTTATTACACTATAATATATTAATTAAATACAGATTATACAACATAAAGTAAATCATTACATCAATAGTCAAATGATCTTTACATTTAACTGATTTTTCAGCTAAAATTATAAATGCAACAGTGATCATGAAATTTGGCACTTGTAATGGTCCAAATATCACAATTATGCTATAAGATGCCGTCGCCTTACTATCAGGTAATCTCAGTAAATCATTTAGGTGATTACTCCAATAAGTTAGTACTTAAAGCCCCATAGACAGTCACAGGTTATTTGCAGCATCATCATTATATCTAGTTTGTACATAATTCCTCTAACCTGAAGTGTAGCAACATCTTCAACAAGCCTCAAGAACACATGCAACACAATCTGCGTATGGAGATGTCCTCTCGCGCAAGCGTCACTCAGTTCGGCAAGCAACGTAGACCACTGCTGAGGCCACTCACGCTTGATCATCTCCACAATAACTCGAGCCAGAGCGTCGTTAAGATGCGCTGTCTCCCACCCGCCCATGTATAATAGTTTCATGGCATTTTCCTAAAAAATCAGATAGATCAATAGCTAGATTACTACACATATTTTTTTGCAATTTGGCAATAAACTGATATAACACACACAGTTACTTGCGAAATTGTTTAATTTGAACTTACATCAAGTTAGCACTTCCCTCTATATATTGTTAGGTATCAGAGACATATGATTGATGTATGTGCGTGCGAGATCGAGCAGAACAAAAATAGTAAAGAACCCCTTTCCCTGCAGACATTATACATGTCATATCTCAATGGTTTAGTACCCTGACTTAAACTTTCAAGGTTTAAATATGAAGAACATAAAAAAACAATTTAATCAACAACAGGTTTGCTCCCATAGAAAGTGTGTGCATGTCAAATGTTACATTCCGATCGCCGATAGTTGATGAATTGCTTCACACTACCCTATTTAGGATAGCTGTTGTGAAAATATATTCTAAAATGAGTAATGACAAATATTATTGCGAAATTAGATTAAGAAATTTTTCTATTACCTTAATAAACAATTTTTCAGCTTGTGTAATCTGAGTCCATCTGTACTTGATAGTATGCTCCATGAGCTGCAGGCCAAAATGTTTTACAACTGCTGAATATTGGTTGCCACTAGCCAACAACAGCCCCGCCTGAGCACACCATGGAGAATTCTCTTTGAAGCTAAAAAAATAGTCAGATTACATTATAGCCTTAATTATACTCATACATAACTATAAAGTTGTAAATTTTAATCAATTTTAAATGAAAATTGTTAGTACGTCATTACCTAATTAACGCAAAATTACGCAAAAGCTAAAATTTCAATAAAGATATGTCTGAATAACGTTAAAAGAATATCAACTGCATTGATTCCTTATAATAGGATAATCCAGCAAATATAATATTCATGATTTTTAATGACCCTCATGCCCATCATTGTTTCAAAATCAATACAAACTGTCATAAATTGTTCTTAATTATAAAAAATAAATCCATTATCTGTATAATATGAAATTCTGACACAATCCAACATTGCATATTATTTTACGGGAAATAAATATAACATTTAAAATTTTTATACCAATAAGCTCTGCAGTACATACATTTACTAATAGTTTTAATATTTACATTCATAGCTACTTATTTACTCAGCTCGGTTGAGTTTTTTTAAATAAGTATATATTTATGTTGAACAAAATTATAATATTTTTAAAATCATTCAACTTTTAATTGGTTATTTATTCAATAATACCTTTCACAAGCATTGTAGGCCTGGTTCCGTGCATCCTGTGACACTGATGGATTCAGGGTGAGCTCTACAGCACGACTTAGGTCATCAGCTATAAGAGCCACTTCCCCTATACCCTGGCCGCTAACAACACCAATGTTCATTGCGGTATATGCTTCCTAGTGAGAAATTATTCAATTAATATGTTTATTGTACGATATAGGTATTAGGTAAATAAAAGTATTACAACATGTGTCTATGGAGGATTAGTCCTAAAGGGTATAAACTTTAGGACTAATATTTATGATCTTTCACAAATCTTTCTCAAGAGAGCAGGAAATAAAAAAATATTTTTAAAACCTTTGTAGAAACTGTACAATGATTTTGAATTAACTTTAAAAATTCCATTTCATTTCTTGGTAATAAATGTTCAGAGTATTTGACTTTCAACTTGTAAATTATCACAATATCATCCTAGCCTAAAAAGGCATAGGTTATTGGAACCCAATGACTAATAGGGTTAAATAAAGAGACAATTTAGTTTTTAGATTTTACTTGTTTTCACACTTGTGACATAACTTTTACCACATATACTTGAAGACTTCAACTGATTGCAAGTGCTCACGGAAAAAATTATAGTGTTCAACTTAATTAAACCTTTATAAATATCCCTTGTATGTAATACTTCCTGGCGATACAATAATATCCTACCGGATAATAATAATTCAAATAAATGGTAAACTGGTAGTCAAACTTACACAAAGATGGCCACAAATATATTTAAAGCAAGTATAATCTATAAAACTGTTAAATTCATTCAAAACTTCCTTGAATTATATCCATTATTCACATAAAACCCAAGATAAAAAATTAATTGCTATTAGATATTATTTATGTTAAAATGTGTTATACTCATTAATTATTTGCTTAAGCAGAATGATATCTAAAAAAATCATAAAAGTTGAAAGCTATGCTAAATAAAAAAATATTTACACTAGCTCATATATTCCTATATCTCAGATTCACTTTTGCTAGAAAGGCAAAAGTGAATCTGCACATATATAGGTGTGTATAGATAAATATGTGAGCAGATTTAGCTTTTTAGAGAACATTTTTTTTTTAATATACTTGTTACAATTTAATTTGTTTTTAAAAACCACTAGTGCTAGGAGCTTATCTACTGATTTAGAAGTATTTAAAAATCCAATAAGAATAGCTTTAGTTGTAATTTGACTACAAGGTTATTTAAATTTTTATAAAATTAATGAAAATAAATAAAGCAATAAGCATTTTTTATTTCACTTACCAACACACTGCAAGGTTAATATCCCCATAGAATAATACTTTAATTCATTTTCTCTGTACAAGGGTAGTTACTGAAATAATAAAAATATACATAAGATCAAGAATTCGAGTCAGCTGGCATAACAATGTACAATCTTCCTTCACCCGGTGAGGGCGTGCAAATCTTGAAATGCATATATTTAAACACTTACAAGATTTTTGCTTTGTTTCTTCGGAGATAAATAATTAAATACCCAATAATTAGTAGGTATATATCTTGCTAAACTTCGACGAAAAACTACAAATCAAAATTCAAAACATAGAAGTACCTCGTGTCGATTATAAAAAAGATTGTTAATTTTTTTATTTGATTTTTGGATTCTATTCATAGACAATATGATAAAATTTAATTTATCGCAACACTGTCAATTTATTTCGATAGATGGCGCATTGTATTATAACGTTATGAACGTATTACGCCATAAATATAAATGAACAGACCATAGAGTAATGTAATTCTGTGGTCACGTTGGCTGTGTGTTTTGCTATTGATGACTTTTAATAAGACAGTTTTATTGTAATGATTTTAATTAATATAAAATTAAGTTACATCAATTTATATTTCTGCTAATTGTTTGTTTCATACATATATAGCAACCAAATATCTGAAGAGACCGAGTTGTAACGCCAACTCGGTCTCTTCAGATTTTTGGTATTCCAAACCGTAAATCTAGTAAAAAAAATTCAGAACTGTCAATTTGAATTTTTGAAAGTGTTATTTGTTTATGTTTTGTTTTGGTCAGTTTCAATATTTCTTGATGTAATTGCGGTAAAGCGGGCCCATTTATGTAATTATCGTGTAAATGAAATAAAGTTGTTATACATATTCAAATATTAATAATTTTATACCATGGAGAATCAAATAGAAAATAAAATAACGCACTTGGAACCATTTTTAGAAAAGCAACTAAAGGGTCACCGTAACGCTATTACAGCAGTGTTTTTTAATCCAAATGAAAAACAAATAGCTTCCAGCTCTTTAGATAATAGTATTTTGGTAAGTATGCTTAATAGTTTAGATTTTTCTATTATCTCGTCAATATTAAAAATACAACTACTATTTCAGTTATGGGATTTACGAGGAACAATGCGAAGTTATAGATTTCAAGGCCACGATGAAGCTGTGTTGGACGTTACGTTTTCTCCGTCTGGAAAATATATGGCATCAGCTTCCCGTGATAAGACTGTGAGGCTTTGGGTACCAACAGTTATAGGAAGCACTGGGGTGTTTAAAGCACATTCACAGACTGTTCGGTCTGTCCAATTCAGTCCAGATGGATCTAAGGCAAGAGTTTACTTAAATTTCGCAAATGAGTTTTTGATAAATGTAAATTATGATAAAGATAATATATCAATATTTTAGATAATAACAGCTTCTGATGACAAAATTGTAAAACTGTGGGCGACTGAGAAACATAAATTTATTGCATCATTTGTTGGTCACACTAACTGGGTACGATGTGCAAGAATGTCTGGTGATGGATCTGTAATAGCCTCATGCTCTGATGATAAGACTACTAGACTGTGGAGCCCAGACACAGGGGAGTGTATACACACATATAAAGACCAGAATGGATATGGAGGTTGTGTAGCTTGGCATCCTTCAGGATGCTATATAGCTGTAGCAACCTCCTTGGGAAATGTTAAATTGTATGACACAAGAACTCACAATTTAGTACAATATTACAGGTATGGGTAAACATACTTTAAACATTTTTTTGATGATAGTAAATAATCTAAAGATTATTTACTATCATCAAAAAAATGTAAAAACAATATAAATATTGTTTAAAAAATTATTGTATATAAAATTAAATATTCCATGAATATGTAATTATTCTCTTATCTGTGATATATAAATAATAGTCATTTTTCTGACCCGCAATGACCGTAGGTGCGAATTTCTTTAGTTGCTGCGTCTGTTTGTGTGTGGCGAGCGCTTTTCGCGTATATCAGCAATTTGGCTGTTATATGCAATTAGTTTATTTCTTATTTATTTCTTTTGCCTGCATTAAAATACTGCAATCTCAAATTACAATTAAACAACTCTCATAACAATATAGAATTGTACTTATTTCAGTATACACAATGAAGCAGTGACAAATTTGGCATTCCATCCTAGTGGCAGTTATATACTTACTGCCAGTAAAGATGGGAAAATGAAGGTAATCACTATGATTTTAAGAAAAGGAAGAAACTTGATGTTTATAAATTTGAAATATATTTGAGTTTCCAAAATTTTAATTTGTATGTATTAATGTGTTCTTTTATAATTTATTTATACATTTATTAATATAAAATTAATTGATTGTGTCCTTAGGATAGACATTAAATGAGAGGTATGACTCTACCTCTAATATGACATCATGTAATACATGTATTAACATTTTAATATTTTTAAAAGTAACTATATATATTTTTAAAGGCAATTTAATATGTTGGTAAATGTTTTTTATGTTCATCCAGGTGATTGTATCATGCTACACAATAGTTGTTATATATAATCATGTCTGTTAAGGTTGTTAGTTAATAATGCATAGGCAGTTAGGTTACTACTTTTATCTTTGTTGTATAAAGTAAATGCAGGTTTTATTAAAATTTTCAGATATTGGACTTATTGGAGGGTCATCCAATATTCACATTGAGTGGGCATAGTGGGGCTGTTGCTGCTGTGTCTTTCTCACCTAGTGGAGATAGTTTTGCATCTGCTGGTGATGATAAATTGGTTAGTGTTTTTGTGACTTTTCTAGAGCATTAATTAAAATTGCCTAACAGATATACACTAACATATTTATGATATCATTTACAGGTATTTCTTTGGGAAACAAATTTCACACAGCTCTATAATGAAGTAAAAGAAAACATTCCACATAATCAATCTTCTGTGCCTAGATCTACATCTCACATGTCTAAATTAACTTCTACAACAAAAGGGGGAAATCAGGTTTTAAACAAAAGATTATTTTAAATTAGTTTCATACAAAATAATTACATTGCAATTTGTTATGAAAAGAACTATTATTTATAAGTGACATAAAATGAAATGTAATATAATTAACAATTATTATAAAAATGTCTTAATATTTCTTTTACATTTAGGATTGATCTTTAAAAGCTGTCAAAACCAAATATTTCTTATTCCTACAATATCTGTAATTCAAAGAAAATTAAGCTCTTCAAAATATGGTCAAACAATAATCTTCATATTAGATACGTTATTAAAAATATAATATATTAACTCTGTTGTCATCTGCAAATCAGGGTAAGATAAAAGCATGGTATAAGTGCTATCACACCATCAAATATCCTGTTACCACATTTGTTCACCTTGATGATGTGCCTGAGCCAGAAAAAGAATCTGATTTCCAAGAACCCAATGCTAATAGTACTCTGGTTGAACCAAATGAGAATAGTCCATCAAATATGAATTCCCAAAGGACAGCCATTACATCAACTCAATCAACAAGGTTTGCCCCTAATTCACCGCCTCTTACAGAATCTCAAGTCGAGCATTCCTACAATGTGGGTCACATAAGCCATATTCCTCGTACTCCACCCAGTCCTGCTACATACACAATCCCCTCAATTATAAGCAAGAGTACAGGTACCATACAAGATTATGATGATGGTATGTTTGGTATGATTAAGTTAAAGGAAAATGATGTGTGTTATACTAGTGGCACAATAGAGTGGGTTGGAAAGAAAAGAAGTTTTCCTATAAATAGTGGTTTTAAAATACTCAATGAGATGGACAGACAAACCACTGAGCCACACATAAAAAAATCTAAAAGATTAGATAAGATATTTAATAATGGAACTGATAAAATTAAACAATGTGAGTGTGCAGATGTGTTGCCCACTGTAAATGCTATTGTTGATCACTTGAATGCTCTGCATGAAGCAGTTGATCTTGTGGATTTAAGACTTAACACACTGGAAGATGTCATGAGTAAGGATTGAGTTATATCTATGCACCTCAAAGAACTTATATTATAATTTAAAAAAAGTTACTTTTCAGCAACATTAAACTTTATTTTAATAGAAAACATGTACTATAGATTCTTTATAATAAAAATTTATTATACCTACCTAATTATAAAAAAAGAATATTGTACTGTATATTTAAATTGTATATTGAATACATATTGTAATAAAAATATTTTAAAATACATAACAAGCTGCTGTAAAAATGGTTCTTCAAATACGAGTTTTAAATATTAATACAGCATTATGTTAAACTTATGAATAACTTTCACTGCTTACACATCACACCTGTATATACACATAGGGCATGGAGGATCCAAGTTTTACTGTACACCAACATAAGTAGTTTTTTTGCCAGTTTTCTTAATAATATCCAATAATTCATCACCACTGAGTGTAGATTTCACTACTACCTTCTGTTCTGGTAGGCTTATTGAAACATTATCTACACCCTGACCTTTAAGCCTGTTGAGCACTCTCTCCACTGCTGAGGAGCAACCTTCACATGTCATTTCTACATTAAACACGTGAGTCTGGAATAGAAGTTGCGAAACTATGTTATAAGTTATTGCATTTATATTTTCCCTCTTAAATTTAGTAATTTAATTATATTTAGTATACTTTGTACAAGGTTTAGATTTTTTTATATTTTTATATATGTAATGGTATTTTAGTAAAATTACTTACCGACATGATAATGGTATGTATGTTCTTTGTTATAAAATTGATTGGACTAACGAGTAAATCTTATCAAACTGATACGGTTAAGAAATAATCTACAGGTGAAGTAAAATAGACAACTTCGTCAGTAAACAGCTGGCAGTGTTGGTACCTTAGTGGTTTTACCCTCAGAAGTGGAATATTAAACCCGACTCTTAAATTTTTTAAATTTTTAGTAAGTTTGTATTTTACACAAAATAATGCTGATAATATAATTTATTTCTATAGTCAGAGAATTATTATTTAAAATGTAGTGTTGCTTTTTTAAAATAATTTTTGTAGATTTAGTAAGTAGTGGGGTTGCTTAAACTTTGAGGCAACACTCATTTTTGTGGTTTTTAAATTTGCTATATTAGTAGGTAAAGGTTTCTAACGCATAGAGCCAAGACCTTTTATTTGGCAAGTTTTCGTATTTTATATATCTAATACAAACTAAGCACAATTGTTCAGACATTTAGTTTTTTAATCAGCATAGAATCTATAATGTTCACTTTGCCACAGCAAAACGAAGAGCTATGGCATTTAAACCTTATGTATACGTGATAGTGTAACGGTTGTTGGCAGAATGATTTTTTATATACACACTGGCGTAGCAACGATGCGGCGCAACTTGGTTCTTAAGTTTTCCGTGATCCTTTTATGAGAAATAAAGAAAACTCTTTCTCTGTGGTTACACTTTAGCTGCGGCAAAATAAAAAGCGGAGGACCACAAACTATAAGGCGGATTACATTATGATATTGAATTATTTTCCTCCTCATTTGGAAGTTACACATGTAATAATCTCTAAGTACTAAACAACTGATACAAATACATAGATATTTTTTTTTGTAAATACATATATATTATACATACTGAACACTCAGACCGACACAAACAATTATACTCATAAATACAAAATATTTGTGCCGTGCGAGGAATCTAACTCGCGACCATCGGAAGTAAGGAAGTGTGTTAAACCGCTAGACCACCGAGGTCGATATATAGAAAAGAGAAAATAATTTAATTAATTAGAAATAATTTGTTATAACGATTAATCCAATCTTATGAAATCTGTACCAGAGATATATTCTAAATACTCTGTCTCAGTATATTTATGTGATCTGCGATCTAATGTCATAATTATTTTTTTCGGAATTTGTGATCTGTGGTTCTGTCATTGCCATTGCCACCGTATATTCCTGCCTTGTATTATTTTCATCGGTATTTTACTTTAATATAATATAATTTCAGTACAAATGAAAACATGTCTATCAAAGAGGATATTACAGAATTTGGCTGGTAATTTGAATACACTAAATTCTTATTAGATGTCATCACTTACCTTCTTTAATAAATTTGTACTTGTTTTAGGCATTTGAGTCAAGAAGGTATCGATACTATTAGTGAAAATGGTCAAATACAAGATGTAAATATTATTAAGAAGAAGGCTTTAGATGTAAGTATGAAATAAATGCATAATTTGTGTTAGTTATATATGTAACGTCACTATGTAGATGGACTCCAGTTGATGTGGCCTGTTGTCATTACAGTATGATTTGCGTGATGTTGGGGATGCTGCTTTTCCTGAGGATTTTACCAAGGATCCGACTAAACTAGAAAAACCTATAATAGTCCAAATTCAAAAGATACGTAATGTATCTGCACCGAAAGCAAATGAAGAATCTACATCTGCCCCTCGAATGTTGAAATTGACATTGCATGATGGGAAATCGTCATGTACGGGTTTAGAGACAAGTCCCATTCCAAGTCTCAGTATTAACACTCCTCCAGGAACTAAATTGTTACTCAAAAACGAAGGGCTGGAGGTATGTCATGGTGTCATTTGGCTTTCACCTAGTGTCATATCAGTATTGGGAGGAAAAGTGACACACATGATTGAAAAGTGGGAATTGAATCGGAGCCTTGCTAAACATACTAGAGGTCAGTGTACTCACAAATTAATACTTATATGTATTGGATATTCCAAAAGAAAAAATAAGATCACATAATAAAGATTTAACTTAAATGTAACTTAAGTATGTTAATATAATTATACTATTCAGTGTGCCATTTGTTTTGCATGCTTTATCTTTCTAGTTGTTTTCTCTCTTTTTTAACACTATGAATTCAGTGGTATTGGTGTCATTCAGTGATGTTGACTCCTGCAACCCTTTTACTTCATAGGACCATTTCTATAGTAAGTTCTCCAACCAGATCTCCCAACACGAGAGGTTAAACCCAATATTTTAATACAGTTACTAAATCAGTGTATTTATTAACGGTGTGCTCATACTAATACTGTAATATTCACATAGAGGTGAATTATGTTATAGTAAATAATTCTTTAACATTACATATTGAATATAATTTTATTATTATTAATATAATTCAACAGGAATTATAATGAATAATTACAAAAAATTATAAAGTGCTACTTGTAACTTATTAATTGAAAACTAATTGGCCACTTTTACTTTTTGTACTAAAGCAATAAATAAATGTTGTATCTATCGACTTATGTGGTGCTGATGTTTTTAGAGTATTAATATAAAACATATTTTTTTAATAAATACATTAATTTCAGGTGGCATTGGAGCAGATGGGGGTCCTCCACCATGGATTCCATTTGGACAGCGATTAGAAGCTCTCACTGTTGACAAACAATTCAAGAGTTTGCAGGAGGCTTCAAAACAGGATAATGCGGAATTTGAAGCCCAGAGAAAAGGAGCCATTGCTGAGGCACAGAGACTATCTGGTGTGAAAAAGGTACGTCTAAAGATTCATTTTATCAAACAAATCTTGCATTCTCAACTAATTTAAAGTTTTGGAAAATAGTAATATGATTTAATATTGTTATCATAGCAATAATTATTTAATATTATATAGTTCTGTATATTCTTACTCTGGTATTGTGTAGTCATAACAGTAATAGAAACTCATAATTATTGTCATTGTGGACATAATATTTAAATATTTTTAATTGTTAAACATACATTGTTTAATTAGTCTAGGCTTGTAGTAGATTTTGAGATGATAGTGACATCATACCCGGAGGGCCAAATTATTTGATTGAATGTACACTGTAATTATGTTGTAATTCTGTGTATTTTGTTTTTAGGTGTTTGGTGGTGGAACAAAACCCTTGTTGGATGCTAATGTACAGAAGATTGTTGATGCTGGTTTTTCAGAAGAACAGGCAGAGAATGCTCTGAAATATACTAAAAATAATGTTGACAGAGCATTAAAAATATTGCAAAAGAGGGACAACTCTGAAAATAGAAATAAAGAGAAACCACAAAAAGAACCCGACCAACCTAAGAGGAAGGGACGAAATAAAGAACCTAATGATGAAGACAGTATTCCTGTGAAGCCATCTGGAAAAGTATCATTGTTTGATTTTCTGGAAGATAAATTACCAAATGTACCAGAGAAGGACAGGAATAATCGGCAATACAATGCTAACACAGAAGAAAGGAATGATAGGAACTATGCAAATAGAGAAAAAAACAGTGCCAAAAACAATTCACGAGGCCAAGGGTCAAGATATGATAGTTCTAATCGCAATAGATCTGAAAACAGAGGTCACTACTCAAATGATAATCACCACACATCACATAGAGAGGAACGAAAGTATCAATCTATAAATGAAAAACCACCGAGGTTCCAAAAGAAACTAGAAGAAAAAAATAAGCAGCAACAACAGCAACAGCAGCAACAAATGAACAATATCAACATGAACATAAATTTACCATATAACAATTCATATCCCAACCAATCCCCCCATTATTCAGACAGAAATATGAGGAGTGATAGACATATTAATGAGAATAAGGTACATCAATCACAGAATTATCGTGGCAATCCTAACATCGATAGTTTAGTCGATGCGACTGCGAATTTGAACATTTTATCCAATCAGTCCCGGGCGAACGAGGAACTTCAGCAGCAGAGGGTCTATCAGCCCCACACGGAGCAACCATATCAAAAGCAGTCATATATTTCGAACCCGAACATGGCAGAGATACCGCCATTCAGAAGAAACAACGACATGCAGAAGTACCAAGAACAAACATATCAGCGGCGGCAACCGCAGCCGCCTAACGGGTACATGGAGCCGCAACAGAGTCAGATGTACCCCAACGTGAACTACATGGCGGGCGCGCAGGGCGGCTACGGCGGCCGCCAGTTCGGGTTCGGGCTGCGCGGCGGGCCGTTCCTGCCGGGCTCGCTGCTCGGCTTCCAGAACGCCGCCGTCAACGAGCAGGCGCGCGCCATGCTCGGCGTCGCCGACATCAGCTGGAAGGTCGGCGACCGCTGCCTCGCACTCTACTGGGAAGACAACAATGTAACTGTTTTATTTTTTCTCTGGATGTATTCACAGTTCGAGAATGTATCGGTTTCAGAATTTAATGACTGTAGAGTAAATAATTAACTAACACTAGTTTTACTTAAGTTAGCTACATCCTTTCAGTTCAGAATACTTAGTCGAAATGAACACGGTTTATTTCAGTTTATAAATAAATTTATTGGATTTTTTTACATTACAGTTCTATGAAGCCGAGATCACTGGTATTTCAGCTAATACAGTAGTAGTGAAGTTCTGTGCATATGGTAATCATGAAGAAATTTTAAAGTCAAACTGTTTGCCGTTCCCTAATCAAGGTAATATAATTACTTTTTTAATTGTAGTATAATTAATTTACTGCATGCCATTTATTTAATTTTGTATGTGACTTTGAAAATGGTGGTAGTGGTAAAAATATAGAAAGATAAAACCCATTGGAAAATGAATATAACAAAAATAATTTACGAGCGATCTGAAGCCGAAGATAAAAATAAAAAACCAAAGACTTGGTTATACAAATTTTTCATTATCGGTTATGTGAAAACAGTGGAAATACAAAAGTTCTTTCATAGGTGCTGTAGTTTGCTAGAGGTCGAGATAAACTGTTTTTTAACCTTGAATATTCACCACTATCCCCAGATCTCATAAATGATTTTTCCTTTCATTTTTGCTATATTATCTTCTTTTTTCAATGAGTTTCATCCTACTGTTATATATTTTGGTTTGAAAAATAACTGAACATTGTGTATAACGGAGTGATTGTTGCAGCGTCGGGCCACAACAACGGCGGGTACATGTCGCGGGCGGCGCGCCGGCCGTAGTGCCGCGCCGCGGCGTGGCCCGCGTCCGCCGCCGCCGCCTCCGCTCCCGCGCCCGCGCCCGCGTCCGCTTAAAGCGCCGAGCCGCTCGCGTCTTCTATCGATAGGCCTATATGAGTTTTTGACTCAGTCTTCACAACACTAGCTCGAATATGCGCCGTCTCTCGTTCTCGGATTTTGGAAACTGTAGTTCGCTTCCAAATTTAAATATGAGAGAGCGAAACGATTCAACTATTTTGTGAAGGAAAAATAAAGTTTTGATGTTCAACATTAAAACAGTATTTTCCTTCATGTAAAGGAAGTTATAACGAACACTTTCCAAAGTCCATATGAGAGAATAATGGCGCAAAACGAGTAGAGTTGAAATTTTACTTTTACTAGTTGAAATTTTGTAACGGACTAAATAGTATCTTTGTAGTTTCATTAGCTCGTACGCTCATTTCGAATTTTCATGGTTCACATCATTTATTAACTTTTATCGATTTTCCAATGCACTAAGTTGGCTTTAGCTTTATTTCTAATGCGTATTACAATGTTGGTACCATATAATGGCAGCTCATATAATATAAACATATAAATTATGTTGTCTGGTCCATTTATCATGACAGTCATAACCGTAGTATTATCGTTACATATGATTGTTATGAAATTAAGAAGAAAGAGTAACTAGCTGTTGAAATATTATTGCATATAGATACGTTCCGTGCTTACGTTTCTAAAAAGAGGTTTACAACATAAGTTTCACAAAAATCATTTGATTAAAATGTTTAAGAAATGATTAAGTCAAATGTAACCAACATATTCACTTTATAGACGTAGTGTTATTTTGCATAATAATAATTATTATTGTGTGAACAAAATAGTTTTTTTTCTTGTACTGCTTTGTTATTAGTTTCTTAATTGATGATCTGATCACCCACGATGAGAGGTATATGTTAACATGTGTTGTTAGAAGTGTTCATAAATATGACTAAATGAATTTTAATGCAATTTTTTATTTGTAATGTAACTATGAAAGAATCAGTTAGATAAGATATATAAGAGGAAATGTGCACGTCGAAACATTTGAAGAAATTTATTGGCTTTTGACTCGTATTTTCTATACTTTTTCAAGACATTATGCAGCATAAATAAACAGCGGAAGTAGTGATATCGTATTCCCTTGTTTTCTCCTTCAAAATTGGACGAATTGTAATGACTTCTGCGAGAATAATACAGAAAGGACTTTGGCTATGGTTCTATTTTTTATTTTATTTTCATGTGTCAAAGCAAATTTCATGATATATAATTATTGTAAGCCTTCTAGGTCTTTTTTATTTACAAATTAAATAAAAGAAAAATATAGGGGTATAGCATACATTTTATAAGGGGGGGGGGGGGGATATATAGTGTCATTATTTGGGGAAGAAATCAGGGAAAAACCTTTATATATATATATAGCAACGTATCATTTATTCAAAGGAAAATTTTTTTTTTATATCTTTTTATGTCATTATTCTTTCGAGGGTAACATTGTTTTCATCGTGGGTTTCATAAAACTGTAGTTTTAATATATACGCTTATTTAACTTTATTGCAGTAAAAATAAAAATGTAAATTGTGTACTACAACTAATTTGATGAATGAGTTGATTAATCAATTACCAGACTAGCCAAAAATCCACATGGGATCGTTGCAATGTAACTTTTCAACTCTATTCAATCCATCTATAGCCGTGTAGCTTCCGTTAATTGAAGTTTCAAAAGTATTTTTTTACACTAACTAAACAGAAAAGTTAAAATATTAAGCTTAAGGTTAAATTTAAATTCATTAGTTTAAATGTCTATTTAATGAGGATTACTAATTTTTCATAAATTTACTTATTTATTTCGACAACTACTGTAATGTTGTAGTTATTTAACGTCGTAAGCAACGGTTGCGTCGTAATATGAATAATCCCTCGTAAGTATAAATTGTGACTCAGGTTCTTCTATTAATTTCGGCCGATGTTTAGAATATTTATTTTCCTATTTATCGATCAATGATAGGTTTACAACATGGAAGAAGCTGTTTTAATAACAAAAAATCTAATTTACAGTTATATTATTTTATGTCTATCTTTTCAAGATGCCACGAAGAGCAACGTGGCGTGATAAATTTTATAAAATAAACAGGCTTTCTTTGAAATTTTTTTTTAAACTTATATTATAGTTATGAACATTTTTAGTTTAATATGTCAATTTTTTCTTTATTATATCTCAAATTACATAAGCCTCATCTTGCCCTCTCGCTAGTTAAAAACTATATTCGCATGTGTGTTGAGTTCTGTGTGATATCTGATAACTTTATTATCTAAATGTATACTTCCTAATGCTAAAGAGTAGTAATTACTTCAAAAAATAATAATGTCTTTGTGAATGTATATAAGAGATAATTGGGATAAGTGTAACGTAAATCTAGTTCAATCATTCTGTGCACATCGTTGCTATTTCGTATGGTATACCAACACTATCGACCTCCTATTCTGATCAAGTGGGGATCAAAATTACAACAGCTTTGGCTGAGGTTCTAAACCCAAGCGGTGCACTCAGACCGAAATCGTATCCATCAAGCAGGAGTTGACCTTCACTCGCTCCATGGGTCCATCCGCGTGCCCTTTGACCCATTTTCATATAGTGAACATGTAACCAACTGCTGCCACAGCATTAATATAAAAAAAAAATCGGATGCCTAAAAAATGCAACACGCGGTCTCGTAAGAGAGTCACATCCCTACGACTAAATCTCTATAATTACTATACCTTTTGGTCTAACTAAAGCGTTCTAGTTCACTAGGCTTCACGTTGGGACTTGACAGACTATAGGTCAAGATCAAAACTAATTTCCGGAAACTGCACGGCTCCTATGATGTTACTAGACCTAGTTTATGGTTTATTAAGTGTTTTAATTAGGAATGTAACATTAATAATGTCGTAACTCTTATGCGTCAGCATTAATTTATTGTCAGTATGTATGTATGTAACCACCATAGTAGCGTGTAGCTTGTATAAGTGTATTTTGTTATATTATAGCGCAAAACATGTAATATATTAAATTAATTACCAGTTTGTTAATGATATATTTTCAAAAGTATCGGTTTTTACATAATTACCAATGTATAAATATAATATTAGTATAATTATAGTTACGTGGTGAAATGAATGTTTTTTAACTATCCATATCTAACAAACGATTCGAAAAAATCTGAATGTACTGTAACTTACATTACTATAGTCAAGATGCATAATTATTTGATTGTCTACAATAAATTGTGTTTGTCTTACAAATATGACTACTAAAGGGTCATAATATCATAGGGGTTTGTTTAAAAGAGAATGCTTTTAGCGATATGGCCGCCCATTATTTTTTGTGTCAAATCTTTTTTGTTTTTATTATTTTAGGCAACATTAAAGAGTATCTATTTAAAATAAGACTACTAATGTATTACGTGCGTATAATGGGCTACATAGTGTATGTAATCTTTGATGTGAATGCAAGGTTTATATGCAATGTATTGTTTACGTTCATTGATATGTACTAATTTCCACCCGGCGAGTCGTCAATAGGTTAACATTTATATGCATAAAAAGCCAATTCACAATAAGTGGCTTAGCAATTGGTTAACAAGAAAAACGTGTAATTTATTTTATTATTTTTATAAATCAATAATTGTTTTATATAGTCTAAATTATGTTTGTGTTGTCTGTTAATGAGCGTCGCCCCTGATTTTATCCCAAACTGCATTAGAAGATAATTTGGTCCTCTCAATTTTGTTTCCGTTTGTATTTTCCTACATCATGCAATCATAAACAAAGGTGCGGTAAAACATATACATATACATATTGTAATATGTTGTTATTGTTCATTAGCGGATGACAGTAAAAAATTAATGTCCGTGTCGCGCCCTCGCTTGATCCGTGTGAACGTGAATATTATGTATCATGTGATTATTATTGTTTAACACGTTTTAATTGTTGGATTTAAACTCATGTAATCTGAAGGATTTCGCGGGGTAATTCTTATGTACATTATGAACTCATAAATAATATAAACGGCCGTAAAACGAATTTCCGAAGAAAAGATCTTTTGTATATGACAGTAGCAGCTAAAAAAACTTATTGTAAGAACAAGCTCAATTACAGCATCGTAAGTTAATCGTATGTATTTTAAATCAATGTAACATTTATCAGCATTACATTCATTCCTATTGATTTCCTGTTGAGTTAAAGTAACCATATTAACAAAAATACTAATAAAAGAAAACCGTGTATTATAATCTTGTTTAATTTTTATTCAAATAAAAAATAACCAAAATATAAATTTCGTGGGTTTATATATTATATTTTTTCAAGAATATAATACATGTATAATAATACACATGCATGTACAATAATGTACTCCACATTATAGTGAATCTTATGATATAATTTTTTCATTACTTTAATTCCAGATAGAATAGTGAAAGCCACTGTCAAAAACTGTCTCTGTAAACGTAACAGGGACGCATTTTCTACCATTTCCTTAATTAAACTAATTGTTTATTTGGAATCGAACATCCGCCTTTGATAACGGTTTAGCGGGAAACCAGTGGAGGATGATATGACGAGTATCAGGTCAGGTCAGTTCGACCAACGTGGCAAATATACTAGAAAGTTATAACGATGGTTTACAGGTGCGCGTGGATGTCAACCTGACATGGCGTACTGGCGTTCATCCCCTCCAATATAGTTTGTTATGCATGTTCTCATCATAGGAATCTCAAATATCGTTAAAAACTGGTGGATACTAGGTAAATTGGTTTTAATTGGTGACTGCCAGATGGAAACTTACAACTCTTAAGATACAGTAGTAGATCTTATCAGTGGGAGCAGTTAATCTACTACCAAGGTAGTACAGCGCCACAGCATGTCTCTCTCATTTTTTTGAAAGTTAATGGTGTCAAATAGTTATTAATCATATAAGAAACATTTATAGTTATCCATTTCTATACAAATCTTTTAT